ACTAAGGGCCGCCGGATGTAGCGAAGCCTAGGTAAAGGGAACTAGCTACGACGAGCGAATGTTAAAAGATAGTATATACTATTTTCGGAGCGTAGACTAGCTAGTTCTAGAGGGAGGGCGACTAGAAGGGGAGGGGAGGGGGTAATATAAAGGGCGAGCCTTAGGATAGGACGCGGGCATACGCCCGTACGTTCTTAGCGTCCGTACATTCTTTATCGGATTCTGCACATTCGTAGACTCCTTCCTACTTTTATTAAACCTGTTAAATCTTAACCTACCCTAAACCTCTATATATACGTAGTTTACCCGTAACAATAATCCTATCGAACTAACCTTCTATCTGCTTAAGTAGTAGCTCTAAGGACATAGAAACCTTATACTAAAGTAGGGATTAGAGAACTATAAGGAGAACTTTATTTAGTTCCTTCGCGAGGTAGTAGATATATGCCTTATAGAGGAAGACGTCCCTAACCTGTTTAGGAAGGCAAAGGTAAACTACTAGCTACATCTCGTCGTACATGTCTTTAAAGAGCTAATTATCTAACTTATCGTCCTTATCGACATCGTCTTCTATACTAATGACCTAAGGCTTCTCCCCCTACCGTCGAATCTAGTCCGCCTTCTTTGCTCTTATAAACCGAGGTAGGTTCTTATATACTATGTTTCTTACCCCCTAAGCGGTCATAAATTCCTTAAGCTATAACTCTAGTTGTTCCTTAATGTCGCCGAGGGTAATATGTTCGCGAGATAGCATAATAAGTGCTTTAGCTAATGCTAGTTTAGCGCTCTTATTCGTATTAATAAGATAGTCGAAAAATTCCTAAAGAGCCTCGGCACTGTTAATATTAGAGGGAAGTAGACTACTCTAGGGTTCGTTATAGTGCTCGGGTTACTACTAATATTGCTAATGATTTTGCTGCTACTAAGGCATACTAAAAGGAGCATTATAACCTCTAAAGGGAGTAGGGAAACCGTATAATACGTTCTAAATCGATAGTGTAGCAAATGGCAATGCTAGCGAGGGTAATATCGGTAGTGCCTACGACGGAGTCTTCTTCTTATTCTTAAACTTAGCGTCGCGGTAATCTAACTACCGCATAATAGTCTATATAATAGAGAGACTCGGTTGCTATGCTATATAGTTGCTAGCATTAATTTCTATACACCATTTATCTATACCCTTACCCTTGATCTCGTAATAAGTACCGTCCTCTTTAAGCTAAAGGCATCTAAGGGCACGCCGAGCTACGATATGGCATAAAGGCTTCTTATAGAGCTATATAGAACGTATGTCTTCGATGTGCTAACTACTATTTTCGAGATAGGCTTATGTTTGCTTTTAAGACTTCTTAGACTTCTTATTTCCTAGCTAAGATTCTCTAACTTGCGAATTCTAACCATTTCCGCTACTAATAGGGTTAGGGTTACCCTTAGCTAGAGATATCTGCTAGGTAGGCGACAGTTAAGCTAGGACGCTATCTAGTTTCCGAGACCACTTTTTAACTATAACTACTATATAATCCCTCTTCTTATTAGCATCATTAAAGGTGACGAGAGCCTCTATACTACTCTAGACATAGCTATTAATGTCCCTATTAAGGGGGAATAGGTCGGTAGAAGCCTTACCTCTATTATAGGTTACATTAACATAGGCAATTTGGCTAATAAGATGCTTCTATAGACCGTTATTAGCAGCGTAGTCGGAGGCGTACGTAGCAGCGAGTCTCCTAATCATAGACATAGCATTAATCCCTTAGTTAACCTCGTAAATAGTAGGAGGTTGCTCTTAAAGTAGAACACTATTAAAGGACGACACCTACTTAAGCTTATATCGAACGACTAGAGGCGGTAGCGGTAACTTCTTCTAGCGCTAAGACTAGCTCTAAGACTAGCTTCTCTGCTATCTATCCTCCTCTTAATTATTAACATTATTACCCTCGTCGATTTTAACTAGTTAAATGCGCTTAGTAGGAGGTGCCGTAGGAGGAGGCGACGGTCGCTTCTATAGAGCTAGCCTCTTTAATGCCGTCGATGCCTTCGATGTCTTCTTTAATATAGTCGCCTTTAGCGTAGTCGCCTTTACTAACTTTACAGTTATTCTAGTCTTCGCGGTTACGTTACTCGACTTCTTCTATAATGGTGTTCTCTTCCTTATAGGCGCCTTCTCCTACGCGCGAGCAGTACTCTCTATAGTAGCTTTTGTTAAAGGTTAACGAGCACGCTTTTAACTAGCATTAACGATGTTACCCTAGTCGACATCGAAGCGAACACCTTAAGCACTACGTTTAACCTCTTCGGCATTTACGATACTAGCTATCCGCGTAGCAATAGTAGTAGCCTCCTGCTCCTCTATCTATCTCCGAGCTCGCCTATAAATAGAAGCAAGCGCTATCTAAGTATCTAGGCCTATCTAGCTATCTTCCTCGGGTATATCGTGTATAGGAGGGAGTATCGGACTACTCTACTAAAGCGCGCCGAGGAGCGCGTCGACGTTGTCTCCGGGCGATTTAGGCGATAGTATATAGTAGTAGAGGGTCATAAAGTTGTCATTAGCTAAGGGGGCCTCTGGCGACGACATGGTATGTATATAAGACGACGAGAAGGTGTATAGATGGCTAATATCGAGTGTATACAGCTAACTAGTGCTTAGAAACCATGCCTAGAGGACCCGCCACGCCAAGTTTACCCCAAATTCCAGAGGAACTTGAATGCGAGAACAGACCCACCTGTCGGAAATACAGCAAGTCCCAAGGTCCCATCGAAAATCTCCAGAATGAAATAGCTACAAGCAAGGACAGTGGAGGAGGATGGACTCAAACACACGATGGACAGTAGAGCTCCGTGTGATGTCTTGGCGTTTTTCACAATCGGAGTCGCTGAGAGGGTGACCTTGGCTGCAATTGTCGACAGTGTGAACGTGGTTTGCAGGGAACTTTAGATATTTATTAGCATGGGATTAGATCATCAGAAACTTGATACCCTTGGATTAAGCTGACAGAGAAGCGATGCAGTATCGTGCGACGTGTGTCGACGTCCGATATCTTGTCATTCTTTCGTTTTGCTGGAAATCAGGAACATGAATGCGCTGTCCACGACATTTTCACGAGCTGCTGTTCAAGAAGAGGAAGATCATTAGAGAGTGGTACAAGGGAAAAAAAAAAGCATTTAGAGCCTTCTATGGAAGAGAAGACGAAAAAGAAAAAGAAGAAGAGAAGTAAAGAAACCGAGAGGTCAGGAGGCAGCAAGTGCAAAGCAAAACCCACCCATTTGTAGTAGTGAAACCCGAAAATTGTAATATCGAATCTTTGCGCCTGCCCTTTCGCCATGCTAATGTAAAGAAAACTTGGAAGACCGTCCGGAAATGCAATATGATTAACAAGAGTAGAAGGAAAAAAGGCCTCTACCAGAGGAAGAAGAGAAATGGTCCAAAAGGGGGAATTCAATGATTTGTTGGTCCACGAGCAGAATGGCGATTACGAGCTGTTGCAGCAAAAGTATAGTACTGTCGGGTGATGGTCTGGCAGAGGCGTTGGGTATCAAAGAACTGCTTCACCAGCCAAAGCCATACCCATTGTCCTGACCGGGGTTGTTGTTCTCAATGGGAGCCTGGGCAGGAACTTGAGCGGCATTGCCTTGTCGCGGGCGACCTAGCATGTTGAGCAGATTGCCATTGCCGTATTGGTGGTCGATTTGATTTTGAACCACATCTCTTGCCAGGTTCATGCCCGGGTTATGAGCCGCAGGTCTGACCGGGATAGGCGGCACTACTGGCATTGCTGGCATGCCTGGCATGGCGGGAAAGGCCTGCAACCCTTCCCAATTATGGTTGAAGTCGACTTCGAAGCCAAAGTCATTGCCGACTCCGGGCATCTCCGCACCTGCCTGAGCAGCGAAGTTGGCAAAGTCAAGATCACCTGGAGCAGCTTGGTTTCCTCCAAAGTAGCGATCAAATGCAGGTCTTGGTTGCATGTGATTGTTGTCATTCATGTGAAGAGCCATGTCTGGAGCGTAATGGTCGTGAGCTCCGACATTGGCTTGAGGCTCCTGTCTGATCGGGTTGAGATGATCGACCACAGGACCAGGGGCCCGAGGCTGACCGAACACAGCTGCTCCGAGGCCCTGGAATCTATTCAGAATATTTCTAGGTCTGTGTGGTTGATCAACGCGTTGAGCGCGACGGCGGTCCTGAGCTTGCTGTCCGCGTAAGAGCACACCATCCAGAAGATTGGGAATATGAGCTCCTTGTCTCGGGGGTGGCATTGGTGGCGCCAGGACGCGCTTCTCTGCTTCGGTGACGCTGTCCGAAAACTTGATGTGAAGGTGCTCCTTGTTGAGCTCAGGATGATCACGCAAAACTTCGGCCTCTGCAGCTTCAGCAGCTGCTTTGACCTCTTGATCATGTCTGGCTTCGATGGTGAGCTTCTCATCAAAGGTAGGGCAAGGGTTGGGTGGTTGGAAGTGGGAGTAGTTAGCAGTCACATTCGCACCGCAGAGATAACACTGGATGTTGTTGCAGGTAGGGCAAGTCATCTTGTTGCATCCCTCGCTTTTGATGAAAGCTCTCTTGCATGAGTTGCAATTGCGAATGAGAGCTTTACTTCTGGCTTCCTCAATCTTGTGTCGATGACCGAGAGCTGCATCCTTGGAACGTTTTCGCTGGAACTCTTCGCAAGATTCGGGGATGTGAGTCTTTTCCTTGCACTTGCGGCAGCTGGTGATGCTGCAGTCTTCGTTCTGACAATGGAACTCAAAGTCGACCTCGATGGGAAGACAGACGGTTTTGAAGTCACAGAATGGGCAACCTTCGACATCTTCGATGCCTGCCGTACGGATGTCATGCTCTTGTCGAAGGCGCATGAGCTCATCGACCTGTGGGTGAGTTTCGGGAACAAGACGCAATTGAAATTCGCCGAAAGTGTTTCCGCAACCACCTGGACACGCAAGCTTGAAGCTGGATTGTCCAGTCTCGGACTCCAAGTATGTCTTCATACAATCAAAACAGACGAAGTGTGCATCTGCCGAGTTGCATCGGACGACTCTGTTGAGAGGGTATTCATCAAAGCAGGCAGCACTGTGCACTGTTAGTCGTGTACCAAGCAAAGCATGAATGAAGGTCAACTCACCACTCAGCAAGCTTGCCGGAGGCCTTGGCCAGCTCCAGATTCTTCTCCTCGGATTGGGCCTTGAGGGCAGCCGTTTCTTCTTCCAATTTCTTTTGCGCAATGCTCTTGCGACGTTGGATGTTCCATTCGGCAGCAGCTCTCCTGGCAGCATTAAATTGCTCCATCAGGACAGGAATGTTGGCTTTCTGATCCTTGGTGCCTTGGAAGACTTGGAAGTTGACATCTCTGAGAGGTCTCCAGGGTGTCTTGCCATAAGGACGTAAGTCTGCGTGCTTTGCTTCGTTGAGGGCGAGGTAGGTTGCATAGAGGTGCTTCTTCTCCTTCTGGGTTTCTCTGATGTACTTGATGGGGATTGTGTTGAACTCATCCTTGAGGACTTCGATGCTAGGGACTATCAGTAAGAGTAAGAGTAGTCGATCAAGATAGTACATACATGACATCCTTCATCTTGCCAGAGAATATGTACTGCGGGTTGAGGAGGTTGGCCTTCTCTGCCTCTTCGGCCACCTTCTGGGCACGCAACTCGGCTTGTCTCTCGGCCTCCAGTCCAGCACGGACTTCGCTCGCCTTGGGATATGGCTTGTCGAACAGTTGCTCGATGACTCGCTCAACATTATCGTCTTGTCCAACAAGTAGCTCGAATGCGTAGGTGCGACAGACATCAGGGACGATCTCCATGATTTGGTCCAGCGTGGTCGGTTCGGGGACGAAGTCCGGCGCAGGACTGGGACTGAGATCGTGGAGCATGATGATTCCGTCCAGAGGGTCGGGTATCTCATCATCGTGAGCGTTGGGGAAGTCTTCATAGTCGAAGGGGAACGAAGGATCAAAGTCATGTTCGCTGCTGTCGACGGTCTGGGGAGAAGTCGCCGAGTGTCCTTGAGCATGTTTCGGAGAGGAATTGCGCACGTTTCTGACCGAGGGTCCCGCGCGCATCAGGTCATCCATGTTATGCTGCTGAAGATCATCGTCATCCTTGAAGTAGTTGAGGCCACGATGTGTTTTGTTCCGGCGCGCCATCTTGAGAGGTCGTTCAAACATGATCGTTTCGTCTTCACTGGAATCTGAGTTGATGGAGATAACATCGTAAGCTCTCTTCGCTGCCGCCATGACTCACGTCGGCGGTCAATGCTGCTCTTGGTATGAAGTGCGGCTGCGCGGCTGAAAATGGACGCGGCTGGTGAGGAGATGTAACGCGAGACACGGCGCAGTTGTGGAAAATTCTGGAGGTCAACGTGAGAGATGTTAATTATCAAGACCAGTTGACCAACACGAATGACGTCGGAATGCTTGTGATAATGAAGAGTGGCCGTAGAGTAGTGACGGCCTAGGGTATGATCCTGCGGCTGAAAAAGGAGGCGGCTGGTGGGGAGATGAACGCGATGTACGGCGTGGTTGAGGAAAATTTTGGAGACCAAGGTGAGGAATGGTCAATTATCAATGCCAATTGACCAACGCGAACAACGTCAGAGTGCTTGTGATACTGAGAATTGGGCGAGGGAGTGGTGGACCAGAGTGCGATAGTGCGGCTGAACAAGAACGCGGCTGATCAGGAGGTGACCGCGACGTCCGGCGCGATTGAGAAAAAAGTTGGAGGTCAGGTTGAGAGATGGTCAATCTCAAGATCAATTGACCAACACGAACGACGTCGGCAGTGCTGGTGATAATCAAGAAAGGCGGCTGGAGTGACGGTTCAGAGTGCGACTGCAAGTGCGAGTAGGAGCATATGCAAATCTGGATTCGAGGATGTTGTTGCAACCCTTGAGAAACACAGCTAAAACGGAAAGTCTTGACAGCCAAGTGTTGTTCATTGAGACAAGCTGATGTGGGCAGCAGCGGCGGGCGTTGCGGAATACTCAAAACATGCGATTTCACAAGGCAACCGCACTCTAACCAAAGATTCCGAGCTTGAATGAGAGCTGATAGACTTTTGGACAACAAGGCGGGCAGGAGGGATCGAGGTGGAGCCTCCTCTTGTCATTCCGACGGCCGGCGACGGCGTTTACGTGTCACACAAGAAGCAGCCAGCGATGCAGGAAGCAGAGGGCATACATGAACTAACAGGCGGCTAACTTCGTGAAAATACTTGCCTGGATTACCCAATAGTATGGCTCCTGTCGCTCGAGTGCAGAGAAGATGGAATGATTTGAAGTGTCGTCGAGGTCACAGCTCGACATGCGAAGCGAGACATGACGCCCTTGCAAAAGTGCTGGGCCTGCGGTTGAACCATCTGTCTTGAACCTTCGAGGTCACTCCTTGTCTAACAAACTCATCAACCATATCTGGAAACAACAAAAGGCCTTGATCATCTCTTACCCGACACAAATCGATCATGAGTCTACAGCTGCCTAGCAGTAAAGGCCCAGACGTTGAGCTCACTCAGCCGACTCATGAGGAAGCCGTCCACCAAACCGAGCTAAACAGCATTGAATGGAAGGGTGCACTATCACTCGACGCATACCTTCGTAGAGAAGATCATCTTGGGAAACAGGAATTAGTCCGTGATGGTGGTCTCACGTCCTGGGCACTGGTGACAGGCGACGGTGAATCTCGTGTCGTTCTGTCCAGCTGCGAAACAATTCGCAAAAAGGCCCTTGTTGCTCAAAATGGTCAGATTAAAGAAGTCATCTGTCATGGTGTTGCCAGCGTATTCTGTCCACCCGAGTATCGTGGCAAAGGATATGCTGGAAGAATGATCAAAGACTTGGGGGAGAAGCTGCAAACATGGCAGACTGACGGACATGATTGTTTGTTCAGCGTATTGTACTCGGACATTGGAAAGGTAAGTACAACCAGTACTGTTCTCTGCTCACTGCTTATATGCGCAATAGCAATTCTATGCAAACTATAAATGGCAACCATTCCCATCTGCCCATGTCTCCCTGCCTCCTTCTAGCGATACCAAGGAGACATCTCTCCCGAAAGCAAGAGCTCTGTATGCCACTGATCTTACAGAACTCTGCAATATTGATCTGAAGTTGGTTCGCAAGAAGCTCCGCAACGCAGCGTCCTCGGGCAAAACAATAGCCTCAATAGTGCCCGACGCCGAGACTCTTTCATGGCACCATGCTCGCGAGGAGTTTGTCGCAAACGAGCTGTACGGCAAGTCTCCCGAAGTCAAAGGCGCCATCGTCGGTACTGAAGAAGGCAAGCGAGTATGGTGTGTATGGATGCGGACATGGTACAACAGCGATCCTCAAAAAAGCAAAGGCAATTCACTGAACATCCTTCGACTTGTGGTGGAGGACCCTGAATATACCGACTTTAATGCAGCTTCGGATGATGGCGTGGAGCAAGCGAAGGGCTCTTACGTGACTGCAGCTATTGCGTCTCTCCTTGCTGCAGCACAGGCAGAAGCTAACAAATGGTACATGGGCTCAATCGACATCTGGAACCCTACATCTGCGACGCTCGCAGCCGCGAGACAATTGAAAGCTGGAACACAAGTTACTCACCGCGAGAACGACAGTATCGCGAGCTTGAGATGGTATGGGGAGGGATCAGTTCAAGATATCGAGTGGATGGACAACGAGAAGTATGCCTGGTGCTGAGTAAGGAGACGACATTGTCGCAGAATAAAGCAGAGCCAAGATCATTTCGCTCGATGCAGCAAATGCGCGTATGCAACATCGCATCATCACATTGCTGTTGGAGCGCATGAGAACACCTGCTTTCTACAGAAGTGTACATAGCTGCTAACAGAGATAACGAATTCCCGAATTTCACAGGGGCCAGAATTATTACCAATCCAAAGCTCTATCGAGCATGATGATCAAACAATAGTTTTGGCATCCAGGCATCTTGGATTTGACGATATGGTTCAGCTACTATGTGCTGAAGATGAAGAATTGACTGGTTGGGGATACTGATCGCATCAGTTTGGGTCGCAATGCTCAGGCACTGATTTCTTTTTGAACGCTCCCAACAATGCTAGCAGAAAAGTCCAGGTCAAAGCGAGAGCCGAGCCTCATGCGACAAGGAACACAAAGCGTGACAAAGGAAAGTGGTGCTGCAAGACATGTGAAGATGAATCATGGAGAAGCACGTTTCGTCAAACAGCATCAGGGTCGGCGGCAGAATGCGGGTGCGGTTAGGCTTCGAGATCAAGATGTCACTGGCCCCACCTTGGTCTCCTTACGATATTATTCTGCTTGGTGGATGCATCCTGATGACATGAATGTTGTTGCATTTGCTTGTAGAAGGCTGATTCCAAGTCACTGTGCAGTATTTTCTGCTGCCAGTTGTTTTGTTTACAGTTGGCAGCCATTTCTTCAACAAGGGGCGCAGTACCCATACAGCCACAATCATAGCTGTGGCTGAGCCGTCGGGTCGAGAGCAGTGGTCGCAAAGTATATTCTTGACATCACTTCCATCTCTTTAATGTGCCGAGGAGTTAAGGAAGAGGATGAAATCGCTGAGAGTCATGTTGGCGAGATCAGGGTCAAAGGGAAACGAGGTATGATCAGTACAGAGAATTGGGTAGTAAGTGCTGCACCTTGAAGAGTGGTGAGAGGCATATCACCCAACAAACGAAATAGCATAGGTGATTCGAGCAGCGTGTAGGCTGTGTGTGGTGCCCGCAATAACAGAATCCTTCGTTTCTGTTTCGCGTCAACTGCACCACACAGCTACAATTTCTACGCTCCGACATTAACGGTCTCAATTGCCTCGCACATGGACAATTGATCTGCTTATTATTTTCTCTCATAAAACCATCACCGTTTACCGACATTCCGACATTCGTGAGGGACGTTCGTTTTTGAGCCGAGCTTTCAGCACCCACTTTCCAAGGCTGCCTGCTGTCTCCGCTCCACCAAAACATCCCCCCCAAAGTCAAGGCTCAAGCCCTCGTTCAAGCCACAACCTCCTCATCTTTCCATAACAACAACAACACCCACATTACTACCCGCCCCTCTCGACGGCGACTTCTGTCCCTGCCGCCTTCGTCCAGGGAGGATCTTGCTCTTTCGCGTTCGGTCGGTGATATTCCGGCGCGCGCTCCTATCCCCTCCCATCGCGTGCGCCTTCCAACCGCGCCCTGTGTATGCCCGATAGACGACCTCCACCATGAGTAATAACGAGGATGCCGCCATTAGCGATCTCTGTCGCAAGATTGAGCGCGAAAAGACACTGATCGCTGGCTTTAATTCTATGCGACAGGCCACAAACAACAGCCAGGTCAACTCGCGTATCGACTCGCAAGTCCGCGATGCCCAAAGGAATCTCAAGTACTTTGAGAAGACTCTGCAAGACCTGCAGAGTCGCAAGCTCGGCGACAACATGTCCAACATGACCCTCAACAACGACTCAGGCCCGCTGCCGCCTTCGCACCAAGACGACCAAGACCCCGGCAGCTACGGAGCTCCCGGCCCCGGCGGATACAGCATGGGTGGCGGCAACGGCCTGATGCCCCCTCGCGCGCCGTACGCCCCGCCAGCACCCGGTCAATCCGGTCTCAAGAACCGTCCCAATTACAGCCGACTGGACCTGATCAAGGCCGAGACACCCCACCTCGGCCCGCGCATCCAGCTCATGCTGTCACAACTCGAGTTCAAGCTCAGCGTCGAAAAACAATACAAGGATGGTATCGAGAAGATGGTGCGCTTGTACCAGCTCGAGGGAGACCGCAAGAGCAGGGCAGAAGCCGAGGGTCGTCGCATTGAGAGTAGCCAGAAGATCCACCTTCTCAAGCAAGCTCTGAAGCGCCATGAGGATTTGCATGTTGCCGACATCAGCACCGACATGCAAGACGATGACAGTCTAAACATCCCCAGTCAGCGCAAGCCTCTCAGTGGTTACCTGTCTATCCGCATTCAAGCCATTGCCGATGTCGACCATGCCGCGACGGGTAGATTCTCGCGCGGTCCCGAGACGTTTGTCATCTTGAAGGTCGAGGACAGCTTCAAGGGCCGCACCAAGGCCACCCGTACCGACCGCTGGACCGACGAGCAACACGACTTCGATATTGACAAGGCCAACGAGATTGAGCTGACTGTCTACGATAAGGCGGGCGAGCACCCCATGCCCATTGGTATGCTGTGGGTACGCATCTCGGATATTGCAGAGGAGATGCGTCGCAAGCGTATCGAGAGCGAGGTTAAGAACTCTGGCTGGATCTCTGCCGATCACATGGGCGACTCAGGCCCGCGTCCCGACATGCAATTCTCTCCACCTCCAGGAAGTGCAGGTGCTGGCTCAGTACACGCTGGTCAACAAGGTCCCTCTGGCGGCTTTGGCGGAGGCCCAACACCGCTGACCAACCCTGTTGTAATTGACGACTGGTTCTCACTCGAGCCTGTTGGCAAGATCAAGCTGAACTTGAGCTTCGGTATGTCTCTCTTCTTCTGCAGATGTTCCATACACACTAACACTTCCCAGTCAAACAAACTCGCGAACGCAGACCATTCGACGTCGGACTTGGGCGTAAGGGAGCTGTTCGTCAGCGCAAGGAAGATGCAGTCGAGCAGTACGGCCACAAGTTTGTTCAGCAGACTTTCTACAACGTCATGCGCTGCTCTCTGTGTGGTGACTTCTTGAAGTACACGGCTGGTATGCAGTGCTCAGACTGCAGATTGACCTGCCACAAGAAGTGTTACCCAAGTGTCGTCACAAAGTGCATTAGTAAGTCCAACGCAGAGTCAGACCCTGACGAGGAGAAGATCAACCACCGCATTCCTCATCGCTTCGAGGCCTTCTCCAATATGGGAGCCAACTGGTGTTGCCACTGCGGTTACATGCTGCCTCTTGGAAGAAAGCAGGCTCGCAAGTGTTCTGAGTGCAGCTCTACCTGCCACAACAACTGCATCCACTTCGTTCCGGACTTCTGCGGTATCTCCAACGAAAAGGCCAATGAAATTCTTGGAGAAATCCGCAGAGCCACCAAGGGCCGCCAGGGCACAAGCATGTCGGAGCGCAAGTTGCGTCCTGGCACAGCCAACAGTGTTAGGCCCGCTGCTCAGCCCTCTCAGCCTTCGTTTATGCCTACACCCTCTCACCAGGATCAAACGGCGAACCCTCAGGACAGGCCACTCTCCTATGGTAAAGATCGCATGTCAGACGCCTATGATGCTCCACCTCGCAGCTCGACGTATGGCGCGCCTGCCACCTCGGTTGATGCTGCTCGTGCATCCTTCGCCGCTCCTCCTCAGTCTCCTCAACAACCGGAAGCTCGTCCACCACCCGCTCACCGTCAATACTCGTCCCAATCTGCTGCAGCGGCCGCAGCTGCAGCTCTTTCCGGCAAGCGCTCATCAGCGGCAGAACAGAGAATTCCTCCCTACAACCGCTCTTCCACCGACTACCAGAAGCAGCAGCAACAACAGCAGCAGCAGCAGGCCAGCCAGAGAAGCTCCACAGCGACGACAAGCGGCGATCAATACCCTCAGCAGAGAACTTCCCAGCCACAGCCTGCAGGCTACAACCCAGCAGACTATGCCGCTGTCAGTGGCTTCCCAGTCCAGCCTCTTCAACAGCCTCCTCAACAAGCTCAACCTCCTCGCCAGCAATACCCTCCTGTTCCAGCACAAAGCCCGCCTCCTACCACCACTCCTACGTCACCACCAAGCAAGACTGCAACATCTATGGGACCTCCTGCAAGAAAGACTCAAGGCGGGAACATCCGTGTCGGCCTCGACCACTTCAACTTCCTTGCTGTACTCGGTAAGGGTAACTTTGGTAAGGTTATGCTTGCCGAGACGAAGCAGTCGAAGCAACTGTATGCCATCAAGGTTTTGAAGAAGGAGTTCATTATCGAGAACGACGAGGTCGAGAGCACAAGGTCAGAGAAGCGTGTCTTTTTGATCGCTAACAAGGAGAGACATCCCTTCTTGACCAATCTCCACGCTTGTTTCCAGACCGAGACCAGAATCTATTTCGTCATGGAGTACATTAGTGGTGGTGATTTGATGTTGCACATTCAGCGTGGACAGTTCGGTACCAAGAGAGCTCAGTAAGTCTGCAATATCGGTCAGATACGAATTTTGCTAATACCTCACAGATTCTACGCCGCAGAGGTCTGCTTGGCGCTCAAGTACTTCCACGAGAACGGTGTCATCTACCGTGATTTGAAGCTTGACAACATCCTTCTTACATTGGATGGCCACATCAAGATTGCTGATTATGGTCTCTGTAAGGAGGATATGTGGTACGGCAGTACGACCAGCACGTTCTGTGGTACTCCCGAGTTTATGGCCCCCGAGGTAAGTTATATCTAGACTTGTACATATTGATCCCTGCTGACTCGTTGCGACAGATCCTTCTTGACAAGAAGTACGGTCGTTCTGTTGATTGGTGGGCATTTGGTGTTCTTATCTACCAGATGCTGCTTCAACAATCTCCATTCCGTGGTGAGGATGAAGACGAAATCTACGACGCCATTCTCGCAGATGAGCCGCTATACCCCATCCACATGCCTCGCGACTCGGTGTCGATCCTCCAGAAGTTACTCACACGTGAGCCCGAGCTCCGTCTGGGTAGTGGACCAACTGATGCTCAGGAAATCATGAGCCACCCCTTCTTCAAGAACATCAACTGGGAGGACATATACCACAAGCGTGTTCCTCCACCTTTCTTGCCCACCATCAAGGGCAAGGCTGATACCAGCAACTTCGACTCCGAGTTCACAAGCGTCACACCGGTACTTACACCAGTGCAATCCGTATTGACTCAAGGCATGCAAGAAGAGTTCAGAGGATTCTCATACACTGCCGATTTTGTGTGAGCACAGTCAGAACCAACCTCCCAGCCGACGAACATTCTGGCCTGGCGATTCGTATCGCGAGAGACATGACGAAGGTAGCTTCAACAGGATAGATTGCTCTCGTCCCTCGGACTACCTCACCATTGCCATGCATAGGGTTTTCAGCATTCTCTCTCTCCCTTCTCTCTTTACATCGCACCACGGATACAGTAGACGAGGATACCACAGCAAGGACGTCGAGAAGAAGGGACGAAAAATCACGCCGAGGCACTGCGGCATATCTTAGACAGGACACATGGAGCAGTAAGCATGTGGGAGAGAGGCTTCATCTGGTGAAGAATAGGAGAGTTGTCTTTCATTTCTTGTTTGGCTTGTTTGGACGGAGAGAGCAAGGCGAGAAGAGATGCGCGGATATAGAAGCTATCATCACACACACGTTGTAACGGCATATGAAACAGTAATTGACGAACCCTCTGGATATTCGAATGTCCTGCTATGATATGTTGAGCTTTAAAGGAGAGATTAGAGATTGAGAGCAGTGGGTTTCTTACTAAGGCTTCAGTGAGGCTTCAACTTGTCAATGTTGGTGTTCGGAAAAGGACTCCGAAACAGCTTCCCCTTCGTGCCCTCCCCTGCATCACGCAGCTGCTCCCTGGACGTACCTCCACTACCCAATGCGTCTTCTCTTCACTCCAAAGCCAATGCCTACTCATCATGTGAGATGTACAGGCGATGGATGACGATGGCTGAGTACATCTGAAATTAGCGCACCGCCACTGACTCGCTGAAACCGTTGCGGGGAGAGCTCCTCAACACCAAGAGATGAGCTGTCGTGTTTTTGCGGGCGCAATCATCTTGTTTCCCTACATAAACATCCTATCACAACCCCCAATTCACTGGTCAAGACTGATAGATCTCACGGCACGCTGTTGTTCACGACAAGACATCGCAGCATTCGCCTTCTGACCACTCGACATCTTTCGCGACCTCGGAAACTCATCACATTCGGACATCAAGGTGCTTCTCTATTCACCATGGGCGGAGGACACGAAATCCCCCACAGACATGCGACAACGAGTCAGCAACCTACCTCAGAGCCAGAATGGAACAAAGGCCTCTGGGGTCTTGTCGACATGGGCAGCAACGGCATCCGCCTCTCCATCACAGACCAAAGCGCACCAACAACTCGAGTTTTACCCACCGTCTACGCCTACCGCAACAAAATCTCCCTCTATGAAGCTCAATATGACGAGAACGGCACCAAAATCCCAATCTCTGCCGCTGTAATGGATGATGTGATTTCCATGTTGTTGAGGTTCCAAATCTTCTGTGCGGATTTTAGGGTTCCGCCCGAGCAGATTGAGATTGTGGCGACCGAGGCTACAAGGGCTGCTATCAATTCTGCAGAGTTTGTGGAGAAGATTAGAAAGGAGACTGGAATTAAGATGAGATTGTTGAGTAAAGAGGATGAGGGTAGGATTGGTGCGTATGGTGTTGCGAGTTCGTTTTCGTCTGTGAGAGGCTTGGTCATGGATATGGGTGGTGGTAGTACTCAAATTACTTGGATGATTGCGAAAGGGGGTGAGACTCAGATCAGTCCTGTCAGTGCTGTCAGTTTTCCATATGGAGCTGCTGCGTTGACTAGAAGGTTGGAAGAGTTGAAGAAGGGGAAGAGTAAGCATGAGGCGCACAAGGCGAGGGAGGAATTTCGCGCTCAGGTCAAGACGCAATTCCAGGAGGCCTACAGCAAAATTCAAGTCCCCAAAGAGCTTGTCAAGGATGCTATCAAGAATGGCGGCTTCCGTCTTTACTTGACTGGAGGTGGTTTCCGTGGTTGGGGTTACCTCTTGCTCCATCACGAACAGGTGGCTGGTGGAGGTTATCCATTCTCCATCATCAACGGATTCACAGCCCAGAAAGACGAATTCGAAGACACCGAGAAGATGAAGGAGATTGCCAGAGAAGCGAAGGAGATCTTCCGCGTATCGGATCGTCGTCGTGGTCAGGTACCTGCTGTATCCTTCCTCGTCAGCGTGCTCGCCGAAGCCATTCCTCATGGTATCCGCGAAGCTCATTTCTGTCAAGGAGGTGTCCGCGAGGGCGTTCTTTACAACCGCCTTCCTGCTGAGATCAGAGCCCAAGATCCCCTTGAAGTAGCGACAAGAGATATGGCTAAGCCAATCTCACCCAAACTCGCCGCTCTGGTTACACAGTCACTACCAAGTGGTACGGAGATACACGCCGGTGTGCCTGAATCCATCGATGTTCACATGATCCGCGCCTTCGCCAACATGTTTTACTTCCACGCCAACATGAACAAAGAAGTTTCTTCGACATCTGCGTTGTACAGCACAGGCACTGGCATTCTATGTTCCACCCATGGTTCTTCACATGCGGATAGAGCATTGCTTGCTCTCATGCTCGAAGCAAGATACGAAGGCGAACTGGCTCCTCGCGAAACAGATTATCGCGACCAACTCATCCGCTTGGTGTCAAATGAAGAAGCATGGTGGACCCAATACATCGGCGTCATCGGTCTCATCCTCAGTCGCGCTTTCCCAGCTGGTGTAGTTCAGGATGATCTCTACGACATCCACACCTCTACCATCCTGAAGAAACCCGAAATACGCATTTCCTCAGAATATGTGGATACGCTTGGCAAAAGAGGAGACAAGGAAGGACTGATGGTTACATTTACATTGGTCTGGCAGACGGAGAATAGAGATGATCCTATGGAGGTCAAGGAGACTTTGGAGCGACATATCAAGGATCTGGTCAAGGTTGGCAGGAAGAAGCATGCGGTTAATGGATGGAGGATCAAGGTTGGGGCGCAGGTCAAGGATGATTATCCTAATGATTTGAAGTAAGGTAGATGAGGCAAAGAGGTTTATATGTGTCAAATATTGTTACAATATGTCTTTTGTTGAAGACAATAATAGTCGCTGCCTTCACTCGAGACCATCTGGCCTCTTGGGTCAAATGCGCTGTCAAAAGACTCCGATGCTTACCAAGATATCACCAGATAGTCGCTTTCGCATGCATTTTATATTAAACCTCCTGCAGAGCTTATAAAGCGCTGACTCAGTCCACTGAAGAAAATACATACGTCAACCGATACCAAGAAAATCAAAGAGGATGCCTTTGCAGAAATGCGGTTCAAATCTCACCTGCAATCACCCCGCAATGCCTCGGCTGCCAGGCAGGCACCAGGGAAACGGCTATTGCGGGTATATAAAGAGTAAAGCTAACAACCTTCTACTTCAACACAACCTCAATCTTTTCTGAAGAAGGCAAGGTCTGCAGTGCCAGCTTCTTTAGACATCAACATGTCTTCCTTTGAGCAGAAATTCGAGCAAGCGGTCAAAGATGGTGTTTTCTCCGGCGCCATCTTGATGGCTAAAGATAAGAGCGGTAATCAACAACTCCTCCCTTCTCTATCCCATCACATCTATTGGCATATACTCATGTAGAGGCAGGAAAACTCGACTACGCCAAATCTTTCGGCACCCGCTCCATGGGCGAAAACGCCAAACCTCTCGACCTCAATACCCCCCTCTTCCTAGCCTCCATGACAAAACTCTTGACTTCAATCGCCTGCATGCAACTCATCGAACGCGGCCTCATCTCCCTCGACACCGACGTCAGCTCCTTCATCCCCGATCTCGCCGCCCAACCCATCCTCCATGGTTTCGACGACAATGATAAACCCATCCTCTCTGATCGCAAGAAACCAATCTTGTTTGTGCATTTACTCACCCACTCTGCTGGAACTGCTTATGATAAGATGGTCCCTGTGTTGGAAAAATACCGTGATCAGCAGGGTCAACCTGAGGATAGGGCTACAATGACGACTAAATGCGTGTATCCTCTTCTCTTCGAACCAGGCACTTATTGGTCCTATGGCACCGGTATCGATTGGGCGGGCAAAGTGCTGGAAGAACTCACCAGCCAAACATTGCAAGCATATATGGATGATAATATCTTCGCTCCTCTAGGCGTGGATAGGATCAAATTCACACCATTTCTAACGGAAGAAATGAAAAAGGAAAAAGCGACTATTGGGTTGAGAATTGGCGAAGAGGGCAACCTCATCAACCTCCCCGATACCAAAAACATCGACTACGGAGATGCTGAATGTTTCGGTGGTCACGGTGGCTACGCAGATCTATCCCAATATTTCAAAATCTTGGAATCGTTGCTTGCCGACGATGAAAAGTTGTTGAGCAAGGAAAGCACAAAGATTATGTTCTCGCCACAGCTGACGGAACAGGCGAGGAAGGGTATCAATCAGGTATTTAGGATGCCAGAGGTGGTTTCGCTGTTTGTTGGTTCTTTCCCAAAGGAGGTGGAATATGATTGGGGTGTTGGTGGTGTGTTGATTGATAGTGATGATGCTGCACAGAGGAAAAGAGGGACGATGATTTGGAGTGGGATGCCGAATCTTTTCTGGGTATGTTGTTCTGCTTGCTTACTGCTCCTTCATTTCTGCTTCTGTATGTGATTTGCTGACTTGAAAATGTGTAGTTCGTTGACAGAGAAGCTGGGGTTTGTGGGTTGTTCGGTACTCAAGTCTTCCCACCTGGAGATAAGAAGGTTGGAGAGATGATTAATCTGTTTGAGAAGGAGATGTATGACAGAGCTGCTGGAGCTAGTGGGGCAAAGTTGTGAGAGAATACGTGTGTGCTAAGGGAGTCGGGTCTTCACATATCCTACGAATCTTCAAGCCTTGATCTGATGTCCCTCCTCATCAAACTTTTGGACTTGACCACTGAGCAAAGCATCCTGCAAAGCCAAGCCAATCTCTAAACTCTGTATCCCAATGTCCAAAGCCACAGGAACATCTTTGTCCTCCAAGACACTCTCGCAGAATTCGATGGCCTCGGTGGCAAACGCGTCTTCGAATCTCTCCCAATACTCCGGCTGCACCTGATGAGAGATACCATTGCTTGAAGCCAACTCGACAAAATCGCTGCGGGGTTGCACATTGATGGATAATTTCCCAGCCGATCCGGTGACTTCGGTGCACACATCATGACCGTGAGCTTGAGTCCTGCTGACGTAGTAATATCCAAGACATCCATTAGTGTACTCGACAACACCAACACCATTGTCTACATCATTGAGCTCTTTCAATTCGGGATGATGGGTGATGGTTCCCACAGCCCAACAGGCCTTGGGCTTGACATCTCCCAGCAACCACAAAGTCAGATCGATATCGTGGATTGCGCAGTCGTAGAAGATGCCACCGTTTTTGGCTGCATAGCGGACGAAGAAACCGGTAGTGTCGAGGAGATCGGTGGTTTGGGAGCGTACGAGGAATGGTTTGCCGATACTGCCGGAAGTGATCTGAGCTTTGGCGGACCTGTAAGAGGCATCGAAACGACGGGAGTAGCCGGCCATGACTTTGAGGTGAGGGTTTTGCTTTGCAAGGGCGCATACATCACGAGCCTGTGATGGTTGTTAGTATGTATATATCGCACAAAGAGATATAGCGCAGCCATACCTCTTGCAAATTCTGGGAGACAGGCTTCTCGCAAAGAACGTGCAGATTCTTATTGATACAAGCAGTAGTCATGGAAGCATGAACGTTGGTGCTGGTAGACACCCAAACAGCTTGAAGCCCTTCCTTCTCGATCATTTGATCAAAAGAGGCAAAGACTTCGATGTTGCTGTCTTTGAAAAACTCGCGAGCCCACTTGAGTTCAGTCTCATCGTTCGAGCAGACGGCGACGAGATTGGCGTGAGGGACGCGATACATCAGGGTCTTTGCATGGCGTTTGCCCATTCTACCCAAGCCGACGACTGCAATGTTTAGTTTGGTCGAGGGAGCCTTCGAAGGCATGTTGTGCAAGGAGTCCATTGTGGCAAGGGGGTGGAAGATTTTTCCGATTGTAGAGAAGAGAGATACTGAAGCTGATGGGAGAATGAGAGTCTACTTTAGGTACCGACCTGTTTTATAGCATTGTTCGGGGACAATATCCTTTTCTTCCGGCACATGTTGAAGTCAAAGGCTACCGCTTGGCTGCCTGCAACCGTATGAAAGCGGGGTTTGATCTCACGGACCTACATCTTGAATGCTGAATTCGCTATTTTTGTGTTATCAAGAAAGAGATGATGGAAGCGTTTGAGCTCGGGAGAGAGAAAAGCGGCGTGGCTTCCCGAAACAGTAAAATAGCCGTGGTGGAACACGAAGCGGGGTGATCGACGTCTTCGGCTCGCTGCCTCCTTTTGTCTCTCACACTGTTTTTGGTTCCAACTCCGCAACTGACCAACACACATAGCAAGTGTTTCCGCAAAGCTCTCTTTCTAGATGCCGTCTCGATGTCCAGACGAAGCTCCAGAGCTGTCCGCTCCAAAACAGGTTGTCAGGTGTGCAACCCTTTCCGGTCGAGAAGGGAAAGAATGAACGTATCGCTGACGTGTCGAAGGGCTGTAGAGAGCGACACGTCAAATGTGATTGTCGCATGAGATCTCTGCCGAATTTTGTCCACTGACTGATTGACTGGCAGGCGATGCGGCTTCTGGTGACTGCTCGAGATGTGTGAAAAGAGGCATACCATGTTCACGGCCATTCGACGTTCGGTATAGGCACAGCTTTGCGGAAGCCGAATACGCTTTCTCGACATCCCAAATATGGACTTCTCCATCTTCGTCTCTGGTATTTGTTGACGAGAACGCTTGGGCTCCAGGTGAGATACCCGAGAAACCTCGAGCGACAGAGACCACTGTGGCAGCCCGCAGTATAGAGACACTCCTTTCCGAAGAGCCTGATCAGCCGAGGCGGTCGCTATCGAACACGGGCCGCTCATACACACCTAATGATGAGCTTCAAGTGGCGCCCATCTGCCCCTGGCCAGATGACCAAAGCACCACACACGATCTTACTGGCGTTTCAGACCGTTTCTCGCATGGCAATGCTCGCAGTCCGCTGTCAGACCACTTTCCGGGAGAAACGCACCATGTCCCTGGCCAGCACAATCTCAGTCCTCGAAATGGTTCGAATGGCTTGTATACACCTCGGCAGACTTGCATCAGCACTCGAGAAGAGTTGCATTTGTTCCGGTACTTCGTATCGACAGTCGCTCGCAATCTCGACATAACCGATCCGGCATGCCACTTCGCCAACGAAGCACCTCTTCAGGCCCAAAGCAATCAAGTGCTTGCATATGCTCTGTTGGCAGCCTCCGCTCGCCATCTCAGTCAGACGACTGAGTACTCACCAGTAATTGCCGACCGCTACTACCAACAGTGTCTCGAGCTGTTGATACCATTCCTTGACGACGCCACTGCTGTCTTGAGTGAAATCCTCCTGTCAACCATCGTGATACTGCGGTATTTGGAAGAGATTGATGCGTCTTTGGCCTTCAATCCAAGCCATCGCATAGGTACTCGTGCTTTTATCAACCTCCAAACCCACAATTCGGCCACTGATGATTTGCGATCCGCTGCCTTCTGGTTGGGAGTGCGGCAGGAGGTGTATTATGCCATTGCCAATCAGAAACCTACCATGCTACAATTCGATCGTGATGAGAGCGATGCAGAACTTGAGCCTACTCATGAGGGAGCTTGGGCGAACCGTATGGTGATGCATTGCGTAGGTGTCGTCAACTATTGCTTCAGTCCGCAGCGACAAGACATCACCTCAGAGTACGACGTGCTGCTGCAATACTGCAAAGCTTGGGCATCATCATTGCCTTCTTCTTACCGACCTATTCTGCACCAGGATCAAGGACAAGACACTCCTTTCCCAGATATTGCTTTTTTATCTTCTGCTGTGGTCATAGGGCTGCAGCATTATCATCTTGCTTCCATGCTGCTATGTGCGCACGATCCCAGAATACCGTGTATAGGTCTTGCTCGCATTTCGGCTTCCGAGACTGTAGACGATGGATTGAGGAATCATGCAAGAATGGTTTGCGGGCTTTCTGTCAGCAATGGTGAGTGTCGGTCTGCTCTCATTGCAAATACTGTTTGCTGACATCAATTACAGATGATGTCGCGCCTGGTTTTGTCAACGCATCTATGGCTATCTCGCTCGCCGGTGGATTGTTCAAGCAAGAGGATGAGCGGGAAGCTTGTTTTGGTATCCTCCGGAAGTGTCAGAAGTTGGGGTGGCCGACGGAGGAGATAGAGGTACAACTCAGGTCAAGCTGGAGATGAGTGTAGAGAATTCCAAGAAGCCGGGAAAACACACGTCTTCGGAGCAGGGCTTCAATCATCATGGCCCTCATTGTCAAACCATGACTAGATACCTTCTCTCAAAGCCTCGCGAGCGCACAAATTCCCTCCAAGCAATCCTCCCTCTTCCCAGAACTCGACTAAAAAAAATGCCATCTCGAACCCTAATCCCTCACCACCATCCCCAGACCAAAAGGAATGTCCCATAGCCCTCAGGCCGGCAAAAGTAGACGACGCCTGTGTGATTCGAACACACGCTCCCGAAGGAAATGCCTTAGCAGGGCATCGCGTTAACCACTCCGCCAAAGCGCCTTTATTTGCATCCCGAAATTGGTTAGATCTCGAAGCTGGATGAGTGTGGGTCAATTTTTGACAAATATCTATCATCAAATGAGCTGTGGAGTGGAGAGAAAGATGGCAGGGCTGTAAACGCGAATGTCCTGCTGAGGCATTTCGTTCCTGAGCGTGTATTCAGCTGGTAGCGTCGTGGGATTTTGGATGAGGGTGAATGAATCGGCCGTATTGGTCGCGCATGACAGGAAGAAATTGCAGCAGGAGGGGAAACAAAAAAGGCAATTTTCACACATAATCGAGAGTCACCTGGATATTTGGCAGCAATGGTCAACAAATGTGCCTTCTTAAACTTATCCGGCGCATGTCACACCTTGGATCCGATAATCCAGAAGAGCATGAATGGAAGTCTCGCAAAGATGGCTCTTCCTTCTATACAAGAGAGACTGATAATTATTGATTAAACACTACGTGATTATGACTGCCATGACTATATCGCTCCATAACCACCTCGACCTCTGCCTTCTCTGAGCCTTGCGAGACAGTACCAAGCACAACTGAGCATACAGAGACCAGCTCCAACCCAGCTATGCGCGGGCATCTTGAATTTGCTCAACACGACGATCTGGAAGACACTTCTCGGAAGTGAGACAAAGTTCGCCGATAGAGGTGAAGTCGCTTTGACGAGCAGCAAGAATGAGGAGAAGACACCAAACCCACCAAGTGCTGCGCAAGACATGAGAAACCAGAACCAGGGAACGTCCAGGAAGTAGCAGTTTCTGTGGATTTGCTTGAGCTCACCAGAAAACAGGACGAAAGGAACGAGCATGGCTATCGTGAGCGAAGACGTGTAATGCAGCACTCTCCAGTATGCACGTGTTTCTTCCTTTGTGCCCGTGTTGACAGTTGCTGTCCTGCGGTCAGAAGTACTCAGTAGATCGCCCTGAGGTACCAGATCGGAGACGAGCTGGCGATAACAGCGTAGGAGAAGGACAGGATATAGTGCGACAAAGGCAGAGCTAAAGACACCGGCAACGACAGACTCCCAGGGATCGCGCTCTCCGGGACGGATGCTGGTCATGAGAAGATTCAGTGTTGCAATCATGGCGGATGACATGGTCTGAATTGAATGTTGCTGGCGCAGCAAGACAGCTGTCAGAATGAGCGTTAGAGGGATGACGGCGATTCTGGAGATCATGTACATTGGCATGACAGCATACGCGAATGAGATGTTGGACAGAACAGTTTTCGCAAGGAAGACGATGGCGACGGGAAAGACATGCTTGGCAGTGTTGCGCTGGAATTCGAACAGGCCACCTCCTGCGATGCCTCCCGAACCATGGACAAACCAGTTCGAAACGTTCGTAAAGACGGATTTCGTCCTCAAGCCTCCGGTATATCTTGTGGGTCTATTTCCCTTGTTGTAGGCTTGCGAAGGAGCAACGATGGCGCCCAGTCCAATGATTCTCAGCGGACCAGCAAGTCCTCTCGTCAAGGCTGCGAAACCAAGCAGAAACAAGTGTGTGATGCAAAGCTGCAACAGCGTCAGGGTGAGTGGGTAGGGAAATTTGTATGTGCCGGTCCACAAGATGAACCTGTTCATGAGAAGAGTGCCGAACTGACAGCCTCCGACCCAGAAGATCAACAGACCCAAGTATACCCTCCATCCTACAGCAGTGCCGAACAAGAATTGGCCAATGCCACCCTTCTGGAAGATGCGTTGTGCGATACTCCGGTCGCCTTCCATGTTATCTTTTGCAACCAACGGCCTGCTCTGAGAGACATTGCACATCTCGTACTCCTCCTCATCTTCTGACTGGGCGGTGCTTTTGCTTGTTGCGAATGGCGATGGGGACCGAGATATGCTGACAATAGGGATGGTAGGACTAGGTCGCAATTCTGGTGAGGGACCGGCAGGCGCTTCCTTCATGATGACGGGTGAGTAGCGAGGCTCTGGAGTGTGTCGTTGGGCTTCTGTGTCTGAATCATCCAAGGACAGACTCCTGCGACGTGTCGTTATGTTGAAGGTGTTGGCAGATCCAAGGAGCGAAGCTGCCGGCTTGAAGAAGCTGTTCGAGGCGAACGGGTTCGGTCGATTCATCTGTGCATGTGGCTGCCTCGAACCTTGAGGCTATGTTTTGGTGCTGCTCGTGTTTAGGGGGGCTTGCTGACGACGCTCCAGTACGACTTCGTCTCACACGCACGTGGGAATGGGACGGACGGGTGGGAATTTTGTACGTCTGTTGAATTATGATATGGCATTACTGGAAGGAAGCCAGGTTCAATGCACTTGGGTTCCTCAATCAACTTCTGCCAATTTCATCTCGCAAATCAAAAGGTTCATGCCTCGATTCACCGAGCCTTCCCTCCGCACTCTCTTGGCAACTCTTCTTTGCCAGGGTCCACAACCTTCCCCAACAAGGAAGTCACTATCTCCGACCTTCCCAAACATTCCCTTCTTTTGCTACGCATGATTCTTCCTGGCACATGTGATTCTACCATCCAGCACGGATCCTCCTCAAGTCCTCAATTCTTGAGGTCGCACGAGAATCATGGCGGGTCTATCAAACTTCACCTCGGTCTTTTCTGCCAACACCGACACTCGTGTCGCAAAGCGCAACCGCCGCCCTTTGTCTTGCTCGACATGTCGGGCCAAAAAGTTGAAATGTGATCGCCAACAGCCATGCGTATCTTGTGTCAAGAAAGGAGAAGCCTCCATCTGTGATTACAGCTCAGTCGCCTCGAAGAAAGATCAGAGACCTCGCCCTGCTGTCAGTCAAGATGCTGCTGCTGGTCGCTTACAGAGACTCGAAGACATGGTCAACGGTTTGATGCATGCCGCTCCCATGAGTACTTTTGTAGTCACTCCTCCAGATTCGTTCAGTTCTCCCCAGGTCAACACTCCCGAATATTCGAGTGTTTCTGCAGGTGGTCACTTGAGCCAACAAGGTTCTCAAGTAAACTACATTGGTGGCGCGCACTGGGCTTCAATTCTCGAAAGTATTCACGACATTCGCTCCGTTATGGACTCTGATTTGAACGATGCGCCCTCTGAACCAGCACTCAAATCCGATCCCCTGTTTGGCCAAGAAAAGCTTGTGACTATTGAGCAAATACTTGCAACACTACCAGAGCGACACATCGTCGATAGCCTTGTTGCAACCTATTTCAAAGAGACTTTCCTGTCTTTAATGTTCGTTCATAGTGGCAAGTTCCAAAGGGAATACGAAGCTTTCTGGAAAGATCCATCATCAACCAGTTTCTGCTGGTTGAGCATACTATTCTCCATCATGTTCATGGCAGCCAAGTTGGCCGTTGCACGAGGTCTCGCTTCAGTTTCGGATCCGTGCAATACCAAGAGAGCTGGCGCATTGAGGATGGCTGCCAAATGCCTCGTTACAGGTCAATACCTCAAGGCTCAGCCATACTCCATCGAGGCATTGCTATTTCACTTTCACTGCATCTATGCTCTCCATGCGGATCCTGAGATTCAGCCCTGGCCGATACTGACCATGGCGACCAGACTTGCACAAAAGATGGGCTACCACAGGGATCCCCGACATCTGTCAGCCAAGCTTACCCCTTTCGAGAGCGAGATGCGACGAAGAGCGTGGCACTATATTGAGGTCTTTGATATCACCATGTCGGCGCAACAGGGTATCCCAGCCATGATCAACGAGGATGAATGCGATTGTCAGTTTCCGGTCAATCTGCTGGACGAGGACTTTGATGAGAACACTACCGTCATGCCATCACCCCGATCACATGCCACCCACATTCCAATGCTCTTCTTCACTTGTAAAGTCGTTGCTGTTCGGCATCTACGTCCAATCATTCGACATGCATTGTCTAGTCGGAGGTATGATCTGGAAGAAACCAACAGGCTTCACGAAGCACTTGAAATAAGTCACCAGAGCATTCCACCTTCCCTCCGTATCCGCCCCATCGCCGAAACCAGCTTTGTCGACCAAGATTATCTGATCATGCAACGGTTCATGCTTGAGCTACAGTATCTGAAAGGACTCTGCATCCTACATCGACCTTTCATGGCATACAAGAAGGACGATCCAGCATTCGGTACATCGCGAGAAATCTGTGTGAACTCTGCGTTGCGGCAACTTGACTTGCAGAACGACTACTACGAATCTCTCCAGCCAGAGGGACGTCTGTACACGAGTAGATGGATGTTTACCAATGTCACGCTCCATGAACAGTTCTCAGCTGCCATGATCGTGTGTTTGGACCTTTCAGAATCGAAGTCACAAAGGTATGTCGAGTCCCAAAGTTGATATTCACGCTGTGCTAACTCCGTTCTTCAAGTCCAGAGTCCAAGGCAAGAAAACTAGAAGCACTGCAGAAATCTCGACACGTCTGGTCCAGCAAAAAGCCTGCATATAGGGATGCTATTCGTGCAAGTCACGTACTCGGTGTCATGATAGCAAAGTTGACTGCTCAGGATACTCGCTCACCGCCAGCTGCTGAAACTGGTCAACTTGTCATGCCGGGATACTGCCCGTGCGCTCCTTTGGAGCATATATTGAACCGCCCAGAAACTCCACCTGCTGTTCAGCAAGTCACTGCACTCACCGAGGATTTGATGGACATTGGATCTCTCGAAAGCATACTAGATAATCCTGACATGCTGAACTGGGTAAGTGTTGTTGTGGTCTAACTCTAGCAAATGTATGCTAACATGCATGATAGAATGATATTGATACCTATTTGATTGATTACAGTGGTGAACTCAATTACGCGGAACAGCGTCCATTCGACATGCCAGATATCACGCTCTGATCTCCAGCTATCTATGCCCAGTTATTGTCAAACACCTTGCCGTTGACATAGTTGATCATCTCTTTGACAGGCGGCAACCTTTCACCCTCTCCAAACGCCATACCCTGCTTCATGACCTTTCTATAGTTCTTCCCTGGAGACACTTTTCCAAGCACATACTCCTGTCGCGTTTCAACCCGGTCAGGCACAGGAATCGATCGGCCAACAACTGCCTCCATTGCTTGCCACGCAAATGTTACCGCCTCCTTGGCACCAGCTGGAACACCTGCATCATCCAGCATGAATATCTTTGTGTTTGGGTAGTTCTTCTGAATGAAATCGGTAATGTTGGGGTTGTAAGCACCGCCACCGCACATGAAGATCTCATCAATGTCTTGCGATGGAGCGTAGCGACGGTAGTGGTCGACGATCGCCTGCGCAGTGATGCGAGTCACGGTGGCAACCACATCATCCTGTGACATTCCCAACTTCTCCGCTCTTTCAATCAATCCATGTGCCATGGTGTCTCGGAACACTTCTCTGCCAGTTGTCTTGGGTGGCTCAAGCTTGAAGTACTTGAATTCCAGGAATTCATCCACCAGTTTCTGGTTGACTGTACCGCGCTTGCCCATGGCACCGTCTTTGTCGTACTCTTGCTTTCCATTGGTGTAGTGTCGCACGACAGCATCGATGAAGACATTTCCCGGGCCAGTATCGAAGTCGAAGCACTTGTCTACGCCACCCGCATGGTCTGGAGGAATGAAACAGACATTCGCAATGCCGCCGATGTTTTGGCAAGCTCGTAGCTTATTCGGGTGGTGTAGTAGAAGGGCGTCGAAGAAGGCGATGAGTGGGGCTCCTTGCCGACCAGCTGCTTGGTCGCTGACTCTGAAATCTGTCACGGTTGTGATTCCCGTCTGTGCAGCAATGAATGTGCCTTCTGCCATGGTCAATGCACTTTTCGTTTGACCTGGTTCAGGCATGCTGAGTAGCCAGATTGTCTGGCCGTGTGATCCAATGACATCAATATTGTCCATGGACACGTCTTGCTCCTTGCAAAACTCCTTCACGGCCGATGCAAACGTGTTTCCTAGCAAAACATTTACTTCGGATAGTTCCTCAGGTGTTGTGCGGTTGTGTAGGATCATGTTCATGACTCGCTTCTTGATCTTTTGCTCCAATGGAATTTCGCCGTACTTGAGCAGTTCGAAGTGCATTGGTGCTTCAGCGCTCGTCTGTCGGAATCTGCATAGTGCGCAATCGATGCCATCCATACTGGTTCCGCTGTTCAAGCCGAGGACGGTCAGGTCAAGTGCCGTTGTGTCGCCATTGATGTGTTCCCTATGGCCGTCCATGTTGATGGTGTGTGAGAGGAATCAATGGTATGAGAGGGTAGTTGAGGTCGAAGATCAAACCGACCAGCAGGGACCCTGCGATGATAAATGTATTCCCCCATGACAACCCCAAAGTATCTGCCGACATGTGATACAAGATCGAGATGTTGCTGTTCATGAATTTGGAACATAAGCGGGGAAGGTTGTTCGGAAGTTCGGGCCGTGGTTACGGAAAGAGGATTAGGCGAATATCCGAATGACAATCTCGTCATCCCCACGACATCGGCAGTCCAGTACCGTTGTATGAGCTACGACTGCTTAACAATCGCAAACGCCATTTCCGGGGCCCCGAATGAATTCCTGGAGTCGTTCTCGGCTCCCGGTCACCTGGAAGTCAAGAGACGTTCTTCTAATCAATACTCCAGTTCAAGTACCATACTGGAGAAAAGAACATAAAACCAGTTGGATATCCCTCCATCTCGATCACTCATCTCACCCTCCATACCATCCACTGAATACCAGCACACTCCAAAACCATGGGCTTCACAACAGCCTGGAAGGGGCTCTCGCCTGCCAAACTCAACATCGCTATCCAGACATTCGCTTTGATCTCCATCTTCTTTGAAGGTTATGATCAAGGTGTCATGGGAGGCGTGAATGCTTCGCCAAACTATGTTACTGAGGTCAATATCGGTACTGCTGATGGCACTGTGACAAATACCACAAAGCAAGGTGGCATTGTCAGTATCGTAAGTTGATAGGCATGACTTTACAAGGGAATCAGAAGCTAAGACAACGCTTGCAGTACTATCTTGGTGCCATTGTTGGCTGTTTCGTCGGAGGATGGGCAGCCGATCGAATTGGCAGAATCAACGGTCTCTTCTTTGCTGCCATGTTTGCTCTTGTTGGAGGTGCCTTGCAAGCTGCAACCCAGAGTGCAGACTTCATCCTTGTCGCTCGTGTTGTCACTGGTCTCGGCACTGGAGGTAAGCATTGAATCCTGTGCTCTGACAATATCTCATCTGACCACTTTGCTCCTCAGCTCTCACCGGTATCACTCCTGTACTCGTATCGGAAGTCTCCAGCGCAGAACATCGTGGTGGTTTTCTTGGATACGTCTTCATCGCCAACTACCTCGGAATCTCAGTCGCCTATTGGCTCGACTTTGGTCTCTCCTTTGTGAACAACGGTTACTCGGCAGTCCGCTGGCGATTCCTCCTCGCTTTCCAATGTCTTCCTGCTCTTCTCCTCCTCGCAGGTATCAAGATGCTTCCCGATTCTCCCCGATACCTGGCTTCAGTCGGCAGAAACGAAGAAGCTCGCGAAGTTCTCGAACACGTCCGTGGAAATTACGGTCCAGCTGTCGAGCAAGAGTTCAATGAGATTGTCGCCATGGCTGAAGACACCAAGCCCGCTTCTCCTATCGAGTTTATTAAGATTATTCTTGGTCTTGACAAGACAAAAGGCGCGCATCTTGGTCGCAGAGCATGGCTTTGTATTTGGTTGCAGATTATGGCTTCTTGGACCGGAATCACTGCTGTTACTGCATACTCGCCAGTTCTTCTCCGTCAAGCAGGTTACAGCGAGATCAAGCAGAATGGACTTGCTGGAGGATTGAACACCATCGGTATCATCGGTACCATCATCTCCGCACAGATCGTCGACAGATACGGTAGACGCAAATGCTTGATGTGGGGAGCTGCCGGCCTGTTCGCTGTCAACTTGATTGTGAGTCTCCCTCCCGTTTCGCAAACGCCATTTGACCTGAATACTTGCTAACATTCTTCAGGCTGCCTCGCTCTACGAAGCTTCCCGCGCCGATCCTTCCAAAGCTGCCAGTATCGCTCCTGCCGCCGTAACCATGTTATTCCTGTTCAACCTCATCTACGCCTCCACCTGGGGCACAGTCGCTTTCCTGATCCCTACAGAAATCTTCCCCAGCAGAATGAGAGCACAAGGAAACGGTTTCGGCATCACCGGCTGGGCCATCGGTGTCGGCTGGACAGTCCTAGTCAACCCAATCATGTTCGAAAATATCCAGGTATGCTATACGTTGACCCCTCCTCCCTCCCCCAAACTTTTACCAGAACAGCCACTAACGAAATCCACAGAGTCGCACTTATTTCCTCTTTGCTGGATTGAATTTCATCTGGATCGGAATCGTCTACCTGATTTATCCGGAAACCGCAAATCGCTCGCTTGAATCTATCGAAGCTATGTTTACCACTTCGCCGTTTTATTGGCAGATGGAAAAGGCGTATGCGGAGAATAAGGATTTGTTTATCACAAAGGCGGAGATGGAAGGGGGGTTGGAGAAGCGGAAGCAATTTGAGTATTCCTCTCATGATGAGCTGCCTCAGGTATAACAAACATAGCAGACGAGGAAGATACAAGACTGAAACAAATGTTTAATTGAAATCGAACGCCCAAGACCAGTTCTCGAATAATTCTGCCGGAAAGTGTATCTGTGGTGATTCTTCAGATGTCATGAGCTGCTGCTGCTGATGTCCGGCACTGACATTCGGTGATGCAAAAGCATTGCCATCTACTTGCGTTGTTGCCCACGGAGACAAACGTTCCGCATCCACCGACCGCTGTATCTTCATAAACTCATCAATCCTCGACACCTGCGTGCGTAATTTATCGCTAGTCCCAGCTGCACAATACAACCCCACCTCCAGATTCGCAAGCAAATTTGCAAGATCAAGCAATACGGACCGCACACGTCGATAAGAGGATTCGGTGAGTCCGTTTTCAAAGGCCGAGCCCATTATACTGCCGATCCCTGCCAAGTGGTGGAAAAGTGGTGAACTGATTGCGCGAAGGTAGGCGACGGGTACACTGGCGAAACCGTTGATGACTTCACTGGCGATCTGGCATTTTTGGTCTACGGTGGAGTTTTCGGTGGTGAAGAGGACCATGCGGACGAGTTGGAGGGAGGCGGCGATGTTGGCGGCTTGGAAGCCGAAGAGGTCGTTTTCCAATCGGCCCGTTAGTGGTTGGGTGGACTTGAATATAGGAGGTAGGTGTTCGTATAGAGTCATGATGTTGTTGAGGACTGATGTGTGTGGAGTGCTGCTTTGCTCGATGAAGCTTTGAATGGAAGGGGTACGCCGTATTGGGTTTTGCAGATGGCCTAGACGATCGACCGTGTGTTCAAGGATTCTATATAGGTCGGTCACGAAGTTCCATCCTTTTATCCAAGTAGGCGCCTCATGGGACTCATTAGCAGTCGGAGCGTTTGTGTCGTTGAAAGATTCATCATCACACTCGGTTGGATAGCACACGCTGAAGCAAGCTTCTCTGCTGCGTGCAAAACCACCCCAGATGATAGAAGAGAAAATGTCCAGGGTATACGTAGACCAGAAGAGTCTTCTTCGCTCCTCAATTTCGACATGACCTATACCAGAAGGCCAATTGTCCTCATCTTGAAGCATACCCACAGCGACGAAGCTGTGGTAAAGACCAAGATAATAACTCATCTGACGAGAATCTCCATACTGGATTGAAGTGATAGCCAGCAATGCATACGCTCGCATGTAGTCGAGTTCTTGTGACAACGACGCGTCATGAGGGATGGCCTCTTTAGCGAACCTGAACAGCTCTTCAGATGAAGGATCTTTGAGCGATGCTGCGTTCCAATTAATTGTGTACAAAGCACCGTCGCGCACACGGGCAGAAGCAAGTGCACACATGGCCAGAACAGAAGCGAACAGAGGCCGACTTGAAGCGTACTCTCCTCGCGATACCCTTCGCAATAATGTCGGTCGATGGAAGAAGGGGAAGACCGGATACACAACCTCGAAATATATCTCCGTCAGGTCCATCACAATAGCTTGAGAAGGCATGACTCTTGGCTTCCAGGCATCAGTGTCCAGTGGAATTTCCTCATCTCTGCAAGACACTTGTGCTTGTACAGTGTCGCTCTGATTAGGCGTCTCCTGGTGAACATTCCTAGCCTGATTCACTGCTATCCTGGCCGCCTTCGGTTTTGCTCCTCGCGGTCTTATTGGTCGCTGAAAGGTGCATGTTTCGCCATAATCGATGCAATTCTGGCACTGCCCTTGTTCGCCATCAGCGCCGAGCCGACATTTAACACTACGGGCACTGCACTGATCGCAAGCTCGCCGATTTCGCCGTGATTTCTGGGGTCTCTGTGTGGCTTCGCTCTGACTCATGATGAACAACAGTCAAGGCCTGCATCATGTTGCTCTTGAATTTGACATTGAGAGTTTGTTCAGATTTGGATTGCGGTGTCGATGTTGGGTTACCGGTAGAGTCGAAGAGGTGGACAGAAATGACGACGCGATGAAAAAAGCATGTCGCGTTTGCGGGGCGGGCAAGAACCACCCAACCTTCCTTCCATCTATCAACCACAAACGCCCAGCGAAAACATTTGATAACAGCATGTCGGAGCAACAATTTGAGGACATGATCGCAATATTTCGAAAATCACTCGACGTATCAGAAACTTTGACGCAAGAAGAGCGCCACAAAGTCTCGTTTCGCCTTCCGCCAGCTGAAGAGGACGCCATTGTTCAAGCGAAGACGCGTTATACTTCTCGTGCATCACTGGTGCAAGGCTGTCTCGAAAGAGGTGCCTTGGATTTGACAGATGATGAGATAGACATTATAATCAGAGGTGTTGCATCAGGCCCAGCATCAGTAGGCGACAGTCTCCTAAGCTTCTTGACGCAGCAGTCTCCAGAAGTCAAAGAGTTGGCTGACAAAGTATACGAGAGTAACGACTTTACTGACCCGGGTGAGCTGAAGGCGATACTCCAATGCTACAAAGAGCAGGGTTATCGTAAGGAGCAGAAGCGAACAACAAGACAATTACATCGTCACCGACTGGTCGAGCGCCGCTACCTTGAATTGCTGCAGGACAGCATACAAAGGGACAAAACCAGTCATGGAAATGCCTTGAAAAGGAGGGCCCTTGAGCAGATCATGAGGGAAACCAAAGGTCAGGTCGAGTTTCCTCAGGCCCCTACCAACGATTCGACATCTCGGAAAATCCAGGATTTCGCCATAAAAGCACAACGCAAGCCATACCTAGATATCGGCATATGGGGCTTTGCAATTTTACGCCTCGATTATAGAGATGACACTTTATGGGAATCGTACAAGTCGCGTGTGGAGACGTGTACTCAAAAGGTCCTCACCGCCAACGATGTTCCCGAAAATGTATGCCGGATGCTGCGATTCACCTACCTCGAAGACGAAAGTGCTCTGTCTGGAGAGGTTGACCAGACTAAGCTAGTGAAATACTGGAGAGACAACAGATGGAATGAGAACGTGCATATTCACATGAACCACGATTTCTTCCTCTCTGCGGATTGGAAAGCAATGGACAACGAAAATACCACCGACCCACCCATGTACTTGCATGATGCCTATATTGAGGAGATGCCGACCGACTTATCTTCATTTCCTGGTTATATCACGATGACTGCTCTGCATTTCTGTTCGAAGGGCATTGCTGGGATCAACGATGACCGGCAGTACGTCAGGTCGATATGGGATATCCTCCATTGACACATGATTTGTGATACCGATAGAGACGCAAGGGAGAAACCGATAAGGAACTAGACCTCGGTAGGCCGCCCTCAGCCTGATCCTTCGCAGATCTGCCTTGTTAGGTTGCCAATCATATACCAAGAATAAGAGGGGTACGTGCGTAAGCCACAGCGTTCGCTTTCTACTCGAGTACTCGACCTTGCTGCACTACAAACATCTGAAGAAATATCCTGCATTGTCCTAATCTCAATCATTAGAGAAAATAACCACTCGACACCAACCATCAAACATGCCCATCGCCTTCGCGTTGTCACCAAGAGCTATGACCGCTTTAGGCGCCATGGCACTGATAACCCTCTGCTTCCAAACATTCGACTCTTCAGCAACTCCGTCCCAGTCCGATGCCATGACGCTCGCCCGTCTCAATATTGTTGATCAACAAATGGCTACTCTTCGGGCAACAATGAATCACGTCCTCAAGGAAACAAACACCACAATTCCCTCCAACCTGAAATGGCCAGCACAACCCACTGCATCAGACGACGCGCCCTTTTCGCAAATTGTGAAGATGCTCTTTTTCATTGTCGCAATGATAGGGTGGGCAAATAGCTTGGTCACCTTGTACTCCGAAGCTGGAGCTGCGGCGGATAAAATGATGGCGGCAGGTTTGTGGGGTGCTTGTGCTGCGTTTGTCAGCCTTTGGTTTCTCGGAGAGCCTAAAGAGTGGTATGGGTACCTGCTGGGTGCTACATGGGGCTTTTATGCGGCCATCTTCTTATGGAGGACGTTTGCTGAACAGGAATCTCATGTTGAGGTCGACGGTCTGAAAGCGTAATACCTGTGGGCAATTCTTCCTCTCCACACGCCGAAGCCTATCATACTTACCGCTTTTGAGATGCGTGATTCATTCCAGATTTGAAGTGCGTTCAACGAACATAAGCAATTCAACTTTGAATGGTCATATGTACGGCCTGTTCTCTGTCCTCCCAGGCATGGTTGTTCTTGTCTTCGGTGCGCCACCTGGCTTTGGTGTAGCTAATACTCGTGTGCTTCTTTCGGTTTCTATAGATTTGATCATCGCTTATCATGGTTTGTACATTACATCTTTCGATTCCTCCTCGGTCGAATCTTAAGTGCTCCCCGAAGGGGACTTCCTCGGTCCATCAGTCTGATGCAAGTAGTTCATGGCCCAACATTGCCCGATCAGCTCACCCATAAGCGTCGTCTGGCAGTCCGTCTTCCGAGGAGCTGGTTCTTCCAGCCGTTAGCAGACACAATGCTCTTGTTGCGATTGAACGTCCGACAAGAGTCCATAAAAGCTGCCGCTCACATTTTGAGTGCGAGAATCAAAACATCATGCCTTTTGACAGAGCCCTGTCATCAATAGTCGAGCTCCGGTATACAAAAGGAGCAAGCGTCCATAGAGCAAAAGAAATTCCCAACGTACAGCAGCAGGGATTCCCACGTGGTCACCCACCGTAGTACTAATCTGCCGTTCAACTGCTTATGTATGGCAGAGCGGACGGGATGCCCAGTTTTCAGCTGACTGTGGCCGTACGTACTTGATTTGCAATCTCACAAAAATATATACTATCAAGATTAGCACAGCAGGAACGGATGTGGATTTCCGAAAGGCGCGACACTAACGCGTCCGAGCAGACAAAGTTCAGTTTTTACAGCCTCTGCACGTCAACGCGTCGCTGATCTCTGCGATGCATCTCTAGACCATAACCTAGGTAATCTCTATGATGAATTTTCGCTACGCGACTTACACATGTCCTAAATATAGGTGTGTCGACAAGCCTACTGCATGCTACAGACCGCGCCCCGCGGGCCTAATCCACTTGTGCACGGCCTATTGGTCTATCACCAGAATTTATCCCAATGTTCTCTCAACAACTTATCTCGAAGGTTAGATTAGTCCTGGAGCCCGTAAAAGGATGGGATGACGGCTCATAGGGCGCTATGAAGGGGCAGTGAGTGGATCAAGTCCTAGCTATAAAGAATTTGCACGTCCAGTCCCTCTGCTCCTAACATTCCTATACACGTCCAGGCCACCTCATGATGCGCTCTTCTTTCACTGCCGCGGCATTGTCCTTGTCGGCTCTGACACAGGCTGATGCCACTACTATCTGGGCAACCAAGACAGTATCCGTTTGTCCTACTCAAGATGTAGTCTCCCAGAACGCTGGCATTGGCCAAACTGGAATCGTTGATACCACCCGCAAAATCACCGAAACAGTATACGCCCATCCTTCTACTGTCACCGTCACCGTCACTGAGGACAAGTTTACCGCAACCAAGACAATCTTGGTTGAATCTCATGTTCCTAGCAGCACCGAGTACACCGGAGCCGTCTCGAACGCCCCTGCTCAGAACATTGGTGCGGCTTCGACAATTGTTCAGTCCAGCAGCGTCAAGTCTGTTCCTTATTCGTTCCACAATACCACAGTTGTACCCGGTGTTTACCAAAACGCCACAGGCCCTGTGAGATTCTCAACCTCTACCCTCGCATCCATCCGCACACTCAATGCCACCTCCTCCGAACTTCCTGCGGTCACACCTATCGTTACTTACAAAGCTACTGGATCTCCAGTATTCAGCCAGAATGCGACCGTCTCTGGATATTCGACTTCCGCTGTTCTGTCTTGCCCTGCCGGCAAGGGAAACTCTACAATTCACATGACTAGCACTAATAACGGAGCCGCTCTTGCTGTCGTGTACATCACACCCCTTGCAGCTACGGTCTATACGACCACTACCGTGACTTCCACATCGACCATTCCCACCAAAGCAGGTTTCTTGCCAATCGTCGACACGACCGCCACAGTCTACCCTGGAGCGAATGCCAGCGATTACCCTGCTTTGACCCCCGATAGCGGTCTTACCAAGCGCGCCATCGAGGAGCCTGCCTCTCCTTGCACCAGTGCGGTGACCATTTTTGCCGTTCAGAGCGGTGCAGCCACCAGCACCTTGTCGCAGCAAGCTGTAACGAGCACATCTACCTCCGTAGTTACGGTCCCTTACTACGCAGCCTGCGGTGCCTCGAACCTTATCAACAAGGACCCTGTAACCGGTATGCAAATCGATGATGTGGCGCCGCTTGCAAACAAGTACAGCAACAACAATACCTACCTGTACAACTGGACCAATGCCTACGACTGCTGTGCCAAATGCCAGGAAGAGGAAACTTGCGCCTACAGCGCTTTCAGCCCAGATCTCCACGATGAAAGCGGTGCAAAGAGCAACACATGTATCTTGACTTACTGGGACACCTGCAACGTGGCGAACAACCAAGAACAGTGGTACGCTAGAGGTATTAACCAGTACGAGTACACTGTCAGTAACGGTAACTGTGGTTTCATGAGCCGTCATCGCAGTCCTAGATGTCGTTATGTCTATCGCGACAATCAGGTCCAGTGCGATATCAACTGCGATGGCTCGTATAGTCAGCATTTGACTTATGCTGAGTGGGAGGCTGCACCCGCTCTGGGTGAATGCCCTCTGGTGCCTGCCTAAGAATTGGGACTGTTTGTTATGAAAATATCTCCATAGCAATCATGGTCTGCTATATGAAACGAATAAAAGCACAATTGATTCCACAACCTTTCTGTAAGGGGAAGTACAACTGAGAGAGATGGAGCGTGGCAGGTCGCCGACATTGGCTTTACTGCGAGCACATTTGTCTGTGCGCTATCGCTTTAAGTTTGGCGCTTCATTCTTGAAAGTATTGATACGAAGAAGACGTAAAAGAAGACAATAGGCTCGGAAAATTGAAATGGGAAGGTTGGAAGTTTAGCTAAGAAACAAGGCGGCTGACTGAGCGATAATGGCCTTCCCCAGCCTTGTCCCACGCTCCTTCCTCTCTCCATACATCTTACCAATTCATCTTGAAAACAAGCATCGCGACATCATCATGCTGCAGCCCAACAGACTAGCGAATACCTCGAGTTGCTTTGCGGATCTCAAACCGGACCTTGTCCCGAGCAGGTGAAATCATCCGTTCCAAACACCTGCCTCACCGCATCCGCAATCGCTCCTCCGCTACAAAAGTCCGACTGGTTGAACGTGAAAGTGGTACCACCCTCCGCAGGATCTGTGCAACTGAAGTTGGTGACTGCAGCGCAACCGCCCTCGGCCTGCATGACCTGCTGGAATTTCATGCCATTGAGTGTCGCGTCGCAGCCTCCGTTGATTCCGCTGAGATTGACTGTCCTGTATGCAATGTTAGGCTTCCGAAAAGAAAAAGGAAACTTCGTATGTCTTTACTCACCAACTGAAGAAGAATAAGTTGAAGTTTGCTTTACAGACGTCTGCTAGGACGGCAGGAGAAAAGGTTGCTACTGCAAGGACGATGATTGACTTGAGCATTGTGATTGGTGAGTGGAGAGGTATGTGCTTGGTGCTAATGATAAGATGGAGATGTGTTGATCAGTTCGTTTCAGGCGGAATCCACACTGGATCTATATATGCTGGCTTGTCTTAGCAGAAAAAGTGCGATTCCATTCTTGGATGGAGCAATGATGCTTGCGACTACCCTGAACAACCAACATTGCGAAGTTGGGGTGCTTGCGTACGTCCTTGAGTCGCCAACTTGGCTGTTCCGACTTGTCCTCTGGTTCTTGATGGCTCAATTTCTTCAGATGAAGTGAACTCCTGATAGTCCAAGAAAACAGCGGACGCAATTGCGTACGCAAAATTCGGGTGTTGGAGATGTCTTATTTGTTAATAGGTGTGGCATGTCAGCAAAGCCTTCGTAAGTAGCACGTGCTTCTATAAAGTCCAGACCAAGGGAGCAATGTGACTGGACATGTTGGAGAAGGACAAGCACTTCTGTGTCCCATCGCCAAGCACTCTTGTTCATCATCATCCAACATTGTGGTCACCATGGTCTATATTTGGTCCTCATTTTACGCGGCCAAATACTCTGATGGACGAAATTAGCGACCACCGTCTATTTTCCCCTATGATTGCAGACTACATATAACCTTTCGTTTCCACCTTCTTGGCTCTCAGCACAATCAACAGCATCAATTCACAACATCTCTCTCCATCTCGACCTTCATAAACACTTAAAACACTACCAATAACCTTGAAATGGCACCCACCACACTCTCGATTCTCCTCGCCATCTTCGGCATCGCTGCCCAGCAAGGCGTCCTGGCCATGCCCGGGCTTTCAACCATGACCATGTACGATGGCGCTTCAGCAACCAAAACAACCACCATGACAACCTCCACCACTACCAGTTCATCTTCGTCCTCCTCCGACGATAGCACCACCACCAGCAGTAGCGCAACAAGCTCCGGCTCCATCCCCAACGTCGAATACACAACCATGTCCTCCAGCGCCATCATGTCCAAATACACCAGCGCCACTTCAATCATCATGGACGACATGATGTCCTCTATGAACTCTGCCATGTCCTCCGCCATGGGCAAATGCAATGACTACCTGACTTATGCGAATTATTACGTTTCGGTCAATGAGGGGTTGGCTACTGTCAGTGGGACTATTGGAAGTTCTGCTGGTGTGAGCAGCTCTGGGGTGGTTAGTGGTACTATGGTTAGTGGATCTGCTGGTGTTAGTGGTACTGCTGGTGTTAGTGGTACTGTAGTTAGTGGGTCTGCTACTACTACTGCTGGTGGTGGGAGTTTGAGCAGTGGGGTTACTGGTAAGACTACTCTTCGCTCGTCTAGTAGGACGTCCAAAGCTGCTTCTAAGACGAAGAGTTTGACTCAGTCGATTGTTACTGTTACTGCTGGTGCTTAACGATTGGGGCGCAAGGGGATCGGATGAATATGGATGGCAATTGAAGCGCGGTATCTTAGCTAGGTAGATTGAATTGAAGTGAGCTTGTTACAATGCTGTTTTCTCTTGACTTCTTGATTGCCACATGATGATTATCACCATTGTCGAAACTTATCTGATCAATCTCTAAACCCGTTCCATGGGCTGTTTCATACAGTTGAAGCGTTGTTTAATACAGACATGAAGTTCTCCATCTCCTTCTTCGTCTGACGCAAAACCATGAATGCAAGTTCACCCCATGGAGGCGGCGTATACGCAGCTTCCTCTTCATCAAGCTCCTTCCAAACCTGATCTGCTTCGCCTCCTCTAACCGCCACCGTAAGATAATCTTGAACTCCTTGATCATCATTTCCCAACACGCAGAGTACACCAGTGTACTTGAATAACAACACATTCATAATCAAACGACACATGCGGCCATTACCATCTGCGAACGGATGAATATTAACAAACTTGTGACAGTACTTTGCCGCCAGTACAAAAGGGTCAATTTGCCCGAGCTTTTCCGCAGTGATGATGTCGGCAGAGAGGTCTGAGATAAATGCTTTCATTTCCGATGCGACGTATTGGGGTAATGTGAAATCTGAGAAGCCAGCGAATACGCGAGTGGTGCGAAAGACGCCGCCGTAGTTTTTGTAGCTTTCATTAGAGGAATCGACTTTGTATGTCAGGATCTTATGGGCCTCGAGTATGAGGGTTTCGGATAGCGGGTTGTCTTGAGTGACGACTTTGGAGATGAGGAAGTTGAGTGCACGATAATGTTGTATGACTTCGTGATAGCTTTTCTGAATTTCGGCTTCGTTGGTGGAACGGTTTTGCTTGAACAGGTCGTCTTTGAGAAGATTGTAGAGGGAGTCTTGTGGAGATATGTCCTCTGTGGTATTTTCTGGGGTTTCAAGTGCAATCTTGCGAAGGGCATGTGTAACTTCCAAAATCGAGCCAGCTTTTTCGATCAAGTTTGAGCCATGAACTACGCGGCTGATCAGATCCAAAAAGTAGTCATTTATCAGTGCGTCTCGACTAGCGGAAGACTGCAAGAAGGAGGAGATTCGGGCGCGCGTCTTCTTTATATCTGTAAATACGTCTTCCGGATCTTCAGCATGATCGTGATGAGAGTCATCGTAGGCGCCACTGTCGAGACATGTTGCGGCAGCGTTGCTCAGACAGTAGTGGTCCACGGCATACTGGACAATCGACATGTTTATGGCGGACAGCGTTGCAGATAGTTGGTGAAGTTGCTGTGTGAATATTGTTGCGATGAGAAAGATCGAATATTGTGAATGGGCGTCGGCTTTGTGGTCGATTTGGAGAGTCCTTTTGACGTGACTCACGAATGGAAAGAGTCAACTTCGCGCACGTGGGCACCGACCGCATACCTAGTACCTGCCTCAGTCATTGTCAATAATCACCATCTTCTTTACGGCGACATGGCGACACGGCGTATTCGACCATCTGAAATCAGTCAAGGCTATGGGCGAAAAGGAAGCGGTCTGTACGTTCAAATGATAGTATGATTTTCTGATTATACCTAAAAAGAGAGTGTGCCAACCTTGCACTAAAGCATCTCATCGGTGTTGTGCATCCTTGAATGTTCGAGCTCTTGTTGACTCAGTCCTGTCTGCGGTGCGATGCGGTCGGCAGAGGGACGTTTACACCATCATGATCATCCTCGCCGGACACCCCGGTGAGCGCGCTCAGGCTTGTTGATCCTCCTCTTATGCTAAGTCCTTGGATATGGATGGCATCGGCCGTCACGGTGGTCCTGCCGTCGCGCGTTGAGGGCGAGGTCGAGGGTCTGAGCAGGTGACGAAGAGTCTCTGCAGAGTACATACCAATGCCCTGAGTCGACGATGCTTCAGCTCGGTTACCTGTAGCGGTAATGCGCCCTTCGACGTCGAGGTTATCCGTCCCGAGCAACTGTCGTGAATTGGTGTTGGCTGTGTTGTTGGTGAAACTCAGGTCGACATTGCGGTGACGTTCAAGGGCCGTCTCAGCGGCTTGGCATGCTGCCACATTCGCTTCGAGACTTCTTCTTTCCTTCTCAAGCACTTCCTTGAGAGACTTCTGCACCCCGACCAGATCTCCATTGACCACTCTCAGATCATACTCTAGATCTTTCTTGATACTGATCAGTTGTTCCTTTAGCTTGTTAACATCGTCTCTGATTGCCGACGATTCTTCGCTATGACGAGTCAGTGTCGCGTCAAATCAGCCGCGTCAAATCAACTCACAGCTCAATGACCTGAAGTGCAATGCTCAAATACGACTTGTAGCTCAAGAGTCTCGCCTTCAAATCTTCAATTGCTCTTCCTCTGAACTGCAGCCTTAGCCAGTCTCGTACACCCGGGCTGCCCAGACTCTTCAAAGATTTGTTCAGCTCATCACAGCAATCAAAACATCCCTTCAGCGGTGCTTCTAGCAATTCGTCTTTGCTCGACAGGGCCTTTGTCGACTTCTGCTGCAGTTGTTTCAATATTGTGGATAGCATTCTGAACTCATCGCGCATGCTTTCCACTTCTCTGGGATGGCCTTGGATGCTCTGTGATAGCTCGTACAGCTTCTTCGACGCGTTCAACGCGAGTGTCAGAATCCCGATGACTCCAGAAGCGATGCTGAGGGGATCACCCATCTCGGTGTGGGTGCTGATATTGCCTAAGATAGGCCACGACTGAGACCAGTAACTTAATGACAACATGGACGGAAAGACACCGGAGAAATGGTGCATCAACCCAACACTTATGTCTCCACGTGGCCTTTGTTGGACAGACCAGAACCTGCTTTTCTGATCCATCCTTGTAAGGATTGACTGGTCTGCCCAACTGGAACGTTCCAGGGCATGCATACATTGTTTAGCATGTCTAGAAAAGCCACATCTTAGAAGCATGTCGTATCTCTTTGATACACGCAAACATGCCATCAAAGACGACTGCACGCCAACGCAGCCTTATATGAATGGTTTTTCGACCAGTTCATCATGAGCGTTGATCACCTCATCAACATAAGTGGCGAGCTAACTGTCAACGTTCGCGACAATATCGCAGGAGCAAATGCTACTCAGATTATCAATACCGTTATTCGCCAACCTACTGCATCCATTCAAGCTTGTCTACGTGCGCTAGACTGCCCCGACGCCGGTGCCATCAAGACGGAAATCCATTCTGCCGACGGCGTGATACTGGAATGCATCGAGTGGATATTTCAGGATGACCGATTTCTCAAATGGAAAGAGCCAGGAGAGAACTCAGTCCTCTGGATCAACGGCAGTCCTGGAAAGGGCAAGACCCGCATGGCAACGGGCATCGTTGACAGCCTGCTCAAGGAAACAGACAATTCCACAGTCAATGGAATAGCAGGATTCTTCTTCTGCCAGAGTACGGATGATCGCTTGAACAATGCCGTTGGTGTCCTAAAGGGTATCATCCGAAGTCTTATAGAACAACGACCTCTCACCGTAGAACACCTGCATCGTCATTGGATCGATGAAGAGCAGATTTTCGACATGGACTTCAACCAAATAGCTCCTCTGTGGACTGTCCTCAAGCGAATCATCAACGATAACGGCCATCTGGTAACACACATTGTCATTGACGCGATCGATGAATGTAATCACCAGACCGAAGAACTTTTACGTCTCATCTTTACCGACGGACTCGCCTTTCCACGGAGCATTAAATGGCTTCTCACAAGTCGTCCTTTGAATCTTCGTCTTCAAGAGATCATCTACGGCAGCTCTGAACGAATTGAAGTCGATCTCGATGGCTCTTCGGCGCAGGTCGAAGACGCTGTGAAGAGATACATCAAAGCCAAGACGAGATGGATGAACAACAACAGATTCTCGATGGTTGACCAAGCACACATCAATGAATCCCCTTTCACGAATTCAGAATCCACGTTCTTGTGGGTTGCATTCGTTTGTCAAGAAGTCAGAAACTTGCCAGCAGCTGAGGTCATCCAGGCTGTCTTGGCCATGCCAAAAGGACTTCGAAATTTGTACGAAAGGAGTATGCGACTCCTTGACCAAGCGTGTCACAATAGCGACGAATTTGCCATTGATCATCGAAAGCTTATCTGGACTCTTCATTCTCTGTCAAGCAGCCCTCACATGTTGGAGCTTGCTGTGCTTGCTGGCTTGCCGACAGAAAGAGCTAAAGACGAGAGCTACCTACTCCGAGTTATCCGAGAACGCAACACATTTTTGATACTCACCACAGACGACGCTGTTCGATTGGTTCATAAATCTGTTGATGACTATCTCTATGAAGTGCAATCATTGACACCGCAACTGGCGATGCTGCCTTCGCAAGAACTCATCGCACGACGATGCATACAAGTCCTGCAAACATCGCTTTGTCGGAACATCGCTAAGTTGCGTGCGGTTGATTCTGAAGCTGAAGAGGCATGTACGAAAATCCTAGAAAAGCTTTCCATCAAGATAGGATACTCGTGCATCCATTGGCTTGATCACGTTACAAGATCTGGAACACGTCGCTGTGCGTTGACTGTTTACGTGTTCCTGCAGCGCCATTTGCTACACTGGATTGAGGTCATGAGTCTTCTCAATAGGACGGACACATCCAGAGAACAGTTACTCCAATTCGAAGTATCCATAGAAGCTATGTCCAGTGGTAGCCCCTTGCCGAGTCAGCGGAGCCTGAACTTGACTGGTCTTTGTGAATTCGTCAAGTCAGCTCGAGACTTTGCTACATCTAACGGCAATCTGGTACGTAGATGGCCCTTACAAGTATACTCCTCTTCATTGGTTTTCTTCTCGTCGCACGAAGGCTTTTCCAAAGCTTTCGCTGAAGAGCTTCCCGCATGGATATCAGGTCATTTCGTCCCGGTGCATCGTATGTGGTATCCAACTCCATCCATAACCATTGAGCACGGACATGAAGAGAACGTTCAAGCAATGTTGTCCAAAAATGGAGAGCGACTCGTCACAGTGTCTCACAACTCTTGCAAGATCTGGAATTTGATTGAACCACAGCGCTTTACAGAGCTCCAAGGCAATCATTACTCCTCAGAACTGCAAATGGAGTTTTTGCATGGAGAGAAACAGTTCCAAGCTGTTTGGACAAAAGTCATCCCTTTGGGACCTTTTCAGATACAAAATCTCTATCGGGAGACCTGGCAGTGTGATTCAGGAACCTCTTCTGGACAGTCACAGACCCCGATAGTGATACCAATCGACGATCCTTCAGATCCTCTTATTCCGTTCTACCACCATAATTGTATCTCAACTGATGGCAAGTTAGTTGCTGCCCTCGACAAAACACATCCGAAGCTGCGGATGTGGTCGACCGTCGGGGAAGAAGAGCTGGCCTTTGTGCATCTGCGCATCCTTGAAGCCGAGCTGCCCTCTATCGATTTGCACATCCTTGTAGCCGAGCTACCCATGCTTGAACATGAGACATTGCAGTTCTGCTGCAACGACAAGTTCATAGTGTATGAAGCCCATGATGAGAGGAAACAATTTCTCTTGGTATGCGACCTTGAGAAGGCTGATGTTATGGTGCAGACCAAATGCATTGACCATAATCGTACTTGGATGCAGTACCCATGGGCTATCTCTCCTGGCGGCGAGTACTTCGCTTCTACCACTCAAGGTGACAAGTCTTTGCCTTTTGTCGCGAAGATCAGCATCCGTGAGATCCCGACACGGCGTGTGATGTTCACAATTTTGGTATCAGCCATCAGTGGCTTAGCCTTGTCTACAAATCCGCTGCGAGTGGCTGCAGCTTCTCACGATGGGACCATCAGAGTCTGGGATATCGATGAAGCCAGATCCCACGATTATGTACAGAGTGCCATTGACATATACAGTGGCATACCCAGCACATCTTCCCGGATACTCTCTCTCTCTGAATCATGGATGGGTGGATGCTTCCAATGTCTTGCGGCTGCCTGGCTACCTTCGCCGGACTGTGAGTTTCTGCTTTTCTTGGGCAGTCTAGACGGCCTCAGCAAGAATCTACTGACCTTGGCTCACACATCCTGCGGATACTCAAGAGACACATCAGGCCCTTGGGAACTGGGTACCATTTTGACTTGCACATTTTCTCCAGACGGTTCATTGCTCACCATATGTTACTATGTCGAAGATAGCAGCTTCAGTGGTGGACGGTCTTCTGGTACGTTCTTGACCACATATGAGGTTTCGATCGAGCATCTTCATGGTCAATCATTCGACCCTCGCCAATTGAGCTTGTGGACCTCCCATGTTATCACCACTGCAGACGACACAGAACGTACAACTCTTGCAACGAAGCCCGCATCGGCTGCCGTGACTTATTCTGAAGATCAGTCATTGATACTATGCTCGTTTTTGATTGGGAATCGTGCCGTCTTTGGCGAGCTCGATGTTCATGACCGTAATGGGAAATACGCGTTGGTTGACCTCAAGTCTAGTCTATTGACTGACCGAGCTGGCACGACACAAGCAATCTGTGTTTCTCCAGATCATCACTTGATTGCATGTTCTTTTTCTCTCAAAGCCCGTCAGGGACCTTCTTGTGTGAACTGTAAACAGGTTCACGAAGTCTCTCGTGTCTACATCCTCCAAGACTATCGCTACCATAGTGATGCTTTTGGTTTCGAAACTCAAGACGTCAGCCTTCTCAAGTTCTCGCATTCAGCAGAGCTTCTTGTCGCGTTGTCAGAAGGAAGACAGCACATCAAGGTCTTCAAGATCCTTCAGATCTCCGCAAAGACGTCACATGACGCGACGGACCCGCCACAACAGCTCCATCTCATCGCCGAGTTTACGGATCATGGCTTTATCAGTGATGTAGAGTTCACCAAGAACAACAGGGCTCTTAGGACAAACCGTGGAACCATCCAACTGTTCTCAGACCTACCATCAGCTTCCTTGTCCTCGGCGGCTCCTCTTCCCGGTCTTTACTTTGATGGCCAATGGATTTGCATGATGGAGAATCCTATCTTGTATATCCCAGCTGAGTACAGACCTGCTTCGGGTAATAGAAAGCTAGGCTTCCTGGAACATAAGTCCGTTATCATACAGGGCTCCTGGGTCATATTCAGAACGGTCACTCGACATATCGTGAAGCTGAAGTTTGACCGACAGTTGATCTGGAAAATTCTTTCTCATGGTGAGCTTCTATAGAACCAAAATTGTTCTTTCAGTCTTGCCATCAGCATCAAGTATTTTGAGACTTTCTATAGGCTCTAGATTGTTCATACAATTTCAGTGGTGCTACCTACGAATGCAAAGAAGAACCCTGAACGCTCCGTACACATCTCCATGCATAAATTGATTTTCACGCGATCTCAAAAAGCAGTAGGCCTGGAACTCGTTTAGTAATGCATTGACCGCCTCTGAGACCACTTTCCATATCAAGGCCAGTGTGTCCGAAGATCCTACTCTCCTGCCGCACTCTACCGCACTGAAGTTGATGAAGAGGAACCACATAAGACGGGAATCGTTCGAAGGATCGGTAGGCGGACACCCTAAGGATGACAAACTTATGCTACATCCATCTCGTATCATCTCCAAAGTTTCCTCATCTATTGATAATGTTCCACCTTAGCCAATAAGTAATATTAATGCCATAGTCTTAGTTTGTCGCAGTATGACCCGCTAAAGCTCTAGACTTCTTTGTCTGCAGCTTAAAGCTTAGAGGAGCTCCTGTTTGTGCCCCTCTCTGCGGCTTCCGTATCCGCTATATCTCCTTCTGTTCCTAACTTCTCAAATTCTTACCTCCTACAATCATTGTCTATCAGTTGGTAATCACAACACAAAATGGATACTTAGAACATTAGTACTGACGGAGGAGAAAACTCTACCACTAAAGTGCAGGAGTTCGGCGTTCAAAGCATGCTAGGCATGTTTCTCTTTTGCTCGTTTCACACGTTGACAATACTATAGCACCTACTAATCCCGCCAATCCTGCTTTTTAGAAGACTCTTTAGGCCCGTGAGCTTCTTTAAGGCGTCAAACTCAAGTTTAGTTTACTGCTCATGTCGTAAGCTGAGCGGGCACAAGCTAAACATTTCTGGAGTTGTCTGCAGACTATTCCAGCACAAGATTGGATCATGATGTTCATCGTTAGACTTCCAGAAGATGCCCTCAGATTTGCTCTCGAATTTGCTCTTGGATTTTCAAATGGCAAAGGATGTCTCACATAGGGCCTCGACTAGTAGGTAGCAATGAAGAGACAGAATTAAATCCAAAGGTAAGATCTGTTTGTTAATTAAGAGGCTAGACAATCATGGCATCTGCAAAACAAGTCGCAACACATTCGTTTCGACGCATCCCTTTTCTGTCGTGTTCGAAGTCATGTCGCCGAATCGCCGGGGTTTGCTGGTCACTGCCTCCCATGACTTCCGGAACTGCTTGAGCCACAGTCGACAAGTATATCTGCCGCGTCATAATCTCGACGCTGTGTTCTTACTGCGGAGGTACAGAATTTTGGGTAAGCACGACACACGATATTCTGTCAACGCAATCAAACAGGAGCCGCGTCAGTGTAGGCTGCCCTGCTGTACGCTGTTCCTTTGACTCGAACAACGCAGACTATGTCCACTGCACTCAGTATAGATGAGCTGTGCTGCTTTTGGGTTGCAATCATAGCACAAGAAAAACGCGTTCAACAGCAAACACCACCATACGCGTTCGTTACTCGCACGTCGTTGTCCAAATTCATGAAAAACGTGGCGGGACCTCGGAAGAGGCGAGTGTTCATGCACGCTAAGCGAGTCCGTATTCTGGTATTACAGGTTGTAAAAACAATCTTTTTACTGATGTGGTTGCTGCTGTGCTCTGCCTCCTGGTCAAGCGTCGTAATATGTGGCGTGTTCCTCTCCGCCGTTGTTTGGATGTCATGACGATGCGACGATATGGACTTGTCGCCAAACCGGTCGTCACAGTTGGTTTCCTGAGGCATGCAAAGAAGCGTTGTGTCTCGAGAAGAAGACGTGACTGACCTGTAGAAACTGATAAGGGGAGCAAGATGGTATTGTATATGATAGAAGATGTGGCTTTTGTAAACTAGAACAAGAATTTCGAGACACAAGTCTCATACAAAGATGCAAAAATGCCCGTCACGAGACGTTATTAAACTCAGATACAAGATCTAGAAACCTTATCCAACACAATGCTGATCATTTTCACCGCTGCAACATCTCATTGATGTCCAGCCTCCTTCTCTTCCTCGGACTACCCGACCCTTCTGCGGCTTCGGCATCTTCTTCACTGCTCGCTCTCTCGATATGATGTCTTTGCTGTACAGGTGAGCTTTGGAAGACTGGTACTGTGGCCCCGCTGTCTGCTCGTAGTCGTGTTTGGATGTGTCGGCCTAGTGAGTCCATGGTATCTGATCTGGGTCTGTTTTGACGGGGGTGGATTGGAGGTGGGAGGAATGATGGTTGGATACTACTGGAACCTGAGCCTGCGGTTCCTGGTCGTTGATCTGAAGTTTGAGATAGCGGTGGCGGAGGAAGCATTTGTTGCGGCTGGTGTGGGGGCGGTTGTTGTTGTTGGAAGGTGTGCTGTGATTGATATTGCATGCTCTGGGCATATGCAGCTTGCTGTTCACTCAGAGAATACCGACGAGGATGCGAGTAATGTTGTGGTACAGGATCAGCTGTAGGGAAAGCGTAATAAGTCGATGGTGGTTCTGAGATGCCAGGTTGTTGCTCCATCATACGTGGACTTCCTTGGAATGGTGCAGGTGGGGGCGCTGTGTTGCGAGCAGGAAACATCACCGGCGGTGGTTGCGGAGTCGGAATCTGCTCGGTAACTTGCGGTGGTAGTGGCGGTAGGAACAAAGTAACAAAGTAGACAGACGTCTTGGCCAGACGCATGCGAACAGGTAAAGTCTGGTCGATTCCCCCTCCCAAGCGAAAAGTCCAAGCGAATTGATGATCGGCGAACCCTCGGGTGACTTCTTCCACATCATGATCAGTTGTTCCGATACCTGCCACTGGATCCAGTCTTGGTTGTAATATTGGCGGTAGGTAGGCTGGCTCTCGAACTTCCCTTTCTTCCCTCAGCCTGTTCCGGGCATTCTGAAAGCTATCGCCGTCCAATGGCTTTGCGATGTCTGATAGACGCATTCCCCTAATTTCTTGCAACCACGAGAATAGACGTTGGAAAGTTGCATTGGCCTTCAAGACGACAAAGTCGGTGTCGAGGAAAGCTATCGGTACCTCAGGAGAGGGGGCCAAGCGTGGCTGTCTGCTAGGAGGCGCGAATCGTGTCGACGAACCTCCACCTAGAGAATATGCAGGTCCATGCGTTGCCGCCGAGGCGTTGAAAGTATTCGAAGGCTGATGACTCTGCTCGGCCGCAAAAGCAGCAAGCGTTCGCAAGGAAGCTGTTTTCCGATGTCCTGGTCGAGCCATTGGTCTGCCCGTTGATGGTCCCAGTCCTGGACTTTCCATTCCTTCTGCTTCGGATCCGCCTTGTTGAATATTAAACTGGCCCTCATCTCGCAGACGTGGTCGACCACGCTTCTTGTGAGGTACATCGCGGCACGTATCCTGTAGATTTGTTAGCTTGGCAACAAGACATGAGCTTGCATCGTACTCACAGCTTTGCCAGTAGCGACACATCTGCCACAGGGTCGCTCGACGTCACAGCTTAGATGTGCGCGTTTACAGTTGTTGCATGCATTGGCGACGTGAGTCTTGGCCCTTCGACCTCCTCGTCCTACGTTTGGTGATGTTGGTCCGGCCCTGGGTCCAGCAGTAGGGAGAGTGTCTGGTACATTGCTGGCACTTGATGCAGATTCGGTTCGACGAAGCAATGCAAGACTTTCTTTAGAAGATGTTGAGTAGGTGCGAGGAACTTCTGGGTGTGCTGTCGGCGGAGGGGCAGCGAAAGACTGAGATATGCCTTGTAGTGAGGATGTAGCTGGACCTGCTGATGCCGGCGGTATGGTAAAGCCAGAACTAGTAGTCGATGGATTGGTAGAGGTAGTAGTGCCAGAGAGTGTAAGCTCCGAAAATGTTGTAGCTGGAGGAGGCTGTGTATCAGATACCTTCCTCTGTGGGGAAGGCGGGCTGGACATAGGCGGTGAAGGGTATGACGGAAGGAACTGCCACGGCGGAGACCCGCCTTTTGCGAAAGCAAGGTCTGAATAATCGATCTGAGGTCGAAACTCGTAAGGTAAGTAGAAGTAATTGGGCTGTGATGACCCGGTCATACTTTCCCGAAAACGAAAAGACTGCGAATCGAGTTGCCGAGTGGGGGAAGAGCGAATGACAACAGCTCAGGTGTATTTGATCGCAGCCAGTTTTAACAACGAGCTTTGACTATTTTTCTGCTCAATTGCGATTTGCAAAAGCACTCTTTGGAATGAAACTCAGTCGTTCTCCATAGGAATGTCTGTTTGTTGATCGAGTTCTGCCTACGGACAATTATACAGAATTGCGGAGGCCGAAGTGGGCGTTTCGAGGCCGGAGTCGGAGAACAAGAAGATCAGGAAAGAAGATTTGTATAAATGATAAAGGGTTGAAAGCGAGTGGAAGAGGACAGGTTGTCGGTGAGATTGACGTTGACAAACGAAACAGTTGACGGGAAACAGAAACAATGATCAAGTTGACAAGCCAGACTAGATGAGACCAGAGGGTAGGGAGATGGACGGAGGGAGAGACGCACTGAGCACCTTGAATTGGGTTAGCATTGGACACACTCGTACATAAGACTGGAAGCAACAACAGTCGGACAGCCCAGACAGTCATGGCGTAATGCGCGTGAACTAAGGTTGGGATCATGGGGAAATCCGCACAGGAGAGGGCATAACAGTGATTGCAGACATGTCATATGGACCGCACATCTCTTCTTCTCTGGCGCTGACAGGGCGGATTCCCATTATTGCGCAGCCCAAATACAATGCATCCGGGTCACCGTGCCCTGTCTTTGAGAAGACCCATGAGTTGGTCCTGCGCGTTTCGGTTCCACCATTGCTTGGCATATCGACAATGTCGCTACAAAAGGACGCAGAGGCAATGGTGCAGGGCAGTAGATCATTGAACGCCTTTGATCCATCGGCGACAACAAGCCCCGACCTGCACCGTGTACGAAACGGCGTGCGGGACGGCGCATGCTTCGACCTCCTGGGCTCGTGTTTAAATGCTCTCTAGGCAGCGATTGCCGCACGAAGGTGGGCATGGCCAGGAGCTGGCGCGGCCAGAGGGGTCATGTCGACCAATCAGAAGCTCAACGGGTCCTAGACTGAGAGACGTAGGTGACGGTACAGGTGCAGCTCCCGGAAGGAAGATCTTGAAACGCCTCGATTAAGCTCGATTGCTTGCTGGCGGCGGGTCATTGTTTCCAAAGAGTGGCTGTCGTTGTTGACAGGAGCGCGGGGCCGGATCGGCAGCTTTGACCTACACTCATCACCACTCATCACTACAGACAGATGGCTTCAGACTTAGGAAGACTGATCTTGCGAGCATTGAAGAAGAAGGGAAACCTTCTCGGTTTCGGTCCTCAATTGTTTAGCTTCTGTATCAGTGTGCATTCCCCGATCACCGTCCTCAAACAGGTTTCGTTGTGTCCGCAAAGAAGCATCGGACTTGCAAGCTGTGTTGCTATTTTCCCACGGCCGGCCCTGGCCAGAGTCCGGAATGTGAAGAGAAAGACTACCTGCGGGAGTATCAAACACGAGACGAAGGATCTGGAAATAAGAAAGGCGGAAAAACTGTCAATTCTCCCATGAAGCCACAGAAGCACCGTGGAACGTCCCTTTCCTGTTGCGGCCTTGTCACAGAATGATGCATGGCAGTCTCACGGTCCGGAGAAAGGAAGAATATCGCGTAGCCCTGCGGAGTCCGATTGGCGCTGAACATGGAAGTTGCAGCGCAACATAGACGAGTGATCAGCATTGATCAGACCTCGCCAAGCGCATGTTCCTGGAGAACAACGTGGCCCTGGTTTCTCTTCCCATGCTCTTGTGCAGAGACGGTCCAGCCTGGAGTCCATGAGTCGCCGTGAGTTTTGAAGCTGCATACTGGAAAGGTACTGCAGGCACTGTAGCCCCCATGCAAGAGCCGCATGATGCAGGCAGTATCAGACGTCCAAAGTAAAAAGTCCGAGGGCGCTACGGAGTTGTGCGAGAGGCATGAGGTGAGGTTGGAATGGAGAAGTTGGGGCCGAGCGAAAACATCCGACGTTTCGACGCGCCAAGCAAGAACTCGACGACACTTCTTCACCTTTTCTCTCCGACACGCATCGACTGAAGCAGCTATTTCGATCTTGTTACATACGTCGTCAGTACTGTAGCACCCGCGAATATGCGCCCACCCAATAGAATTGGATCCCTCAATCTTGGGAGCCAAACTAAGCACTGTACTTTCTTCCGATGCGAACGGCTTATGCGGTGTTGATCAACGATGAACTGCCACCAACATCATACCAAGTCACCAACCTCCCTTGCTGGATCTTTGGAACCACTGCAAGCCCGGCTGTTCTTGCGGCTTGATCAAAGCACATTTAAGCATTTCTTGCATTGTGCCATGAGGCAATGACCCGGTGCTTGTCCGTTGCAAGGGCCCTTTGTATGCACACAAGCAAAGCGTTTCAGCTCTTGAACATACCCGTCAAAAGAAACAGCATCGGTGTCACGGCGTTTCAAGCACCGGGCCGCTCTCGACGAGTCAGCATGAAAGTCGGTTCCCTTGCATAAGATCGCGGCTAAGGTCAAAGTCAATTTCGCAGTAAAAGGCTGGTCCGATGAACTTTCCATGCTTGCAAGCAACATACGGCCGCATGATGGACGGGGATAAGTCCCATGTTGATGATTGAGTTGCGTTTTTGACAGGAAGTGACAGCGAAGTCAGCTCATTGGATGCTGAGAGCAGTGACAGCACATATCCGAGCATGGCAAATGCAAATCACCATCCATGAGCACTTCGCACGCACGGTACTGTGAGGTACATGTATTGGGAAGGTGAATATATCGCGGTGCTGCAGAGCAGATCCGTCCAACTGCTCGCAGGGAGTCTTCTTTTGCTGCTATGCTAGCGTTGTAAAAACAAATGGAATGAAGATTCTGACTAACTTCTTCCTCCTCTTCCTCCCCTTCCACCTCTACCTCCACCTCCTCCGCCTCGGCCTCCACCACCGCGGCCCCCTCGACTTCCACCACGATCACCGAATCCACCTCGGCTGGATCCACCCCTGCTCGATCCTCCTCTGCTGGGACCTCCACGTCCGCGTCCGCCACCTCTGCCACGACTGCTTGAACCTTGTGGGCGAGCATTCTTGTCTTGACGGTGCTGTGCTTCTTGTCTGAGCTTGTGTACATCGTCAGCACCTCTGATTTCGTTCTTTCCAGCTCCGTTCTCGAATCTGCCAATACGCTTCTCCTTAGCCGCGTCGACCTTTGCCTTCTGCTTGTGGTAATCATCACGGAACTTGTCGGCGTCCTTGGGCGCTTTAACCATGTTGTGCTTGAAGCGCTGATTGTCCAGGCCGTTTCTGTTGCCTGGGCGTTCCAACTCTCCGACACGGGGAAGAACGTCGAGTTTGTTGTCCTTCCTCCATCTATCGAAGCGGCCACTGCGGAACGAGGCTGCAATCTTGAGACCGCTCTCACCCGTGATCATCTTCGTACCCTTGGAGCCGTCCTCGTCGTTTGCACGTGACACATACTTTCTGCTCTTCTTGTCCCAACGCAGACCACCAGCCTTACTTGGCGCACCAAAAGCCTTCGTGTCGTCATTGGTAAGGTCCATAGTGGCTCCACGGGCTGCGTCCAAGAAGTGAGTGTTGCGTCCTCCATCTGTACCCGAGTGAACGCCGTAGCCTCGGTCCTCAGCCATGTTAATGTTTTGCGGCGTGTATGACATGAAGAACTCCGAATCCTGGCCTGCACCTGATGATTTGGCCTTCTTCTTATCTGGTTGTGAGAATGTGATTTCAAGCTCATCTTCAGATGCTTCATCAAGGTCAACATCGACATCACCGTCGGGTAGGTCCTCATCATCCTCAACATCGTCAAAGACGGAAGCGTCAGCATCAGCCTCCTCGATTTCTGCAGCCTTTTCCTGCTGCTTGCGAGGAATGATCTTGGCGCGTCTATTTCTCATAATTTCCGTAGCCTCGTTGGCGGTACCTCGCTTGCCAACCTCGAAAATGGTTTCCGGGGGACGGAAGCCACTTACTCGAGCTAGCATCTTTTCTCTTTCTAATTCCATGTGTCTGGCTTCCGAGTCGTCCTCGAACAGGGTGTGAATTTCCGAGTAATGGGGAGAGGAGCCGACAACCTTGGCGCGTTTTGCACTCTCAGATGAAGCTGAAGTGCGAGTACGCACGTATTGCTTCTCAGCCTTGACGGAAACATCGCGCATTCCGGACAAGTCAACGTCATCGTCCACGAGTTTTCCGACTTCCTCGACACAGATCTCTAGGGGTGCTCTGACGAGCGTTCCCAGGACGACCTGGTCAGCATAGTTGATCTCGTCGGTTGACTCTCTTCCAAGGACAAGTTTGCGACTCAAGAACAGCTGAAGGTCGAGCAAGTAAGGCAGATCCTTCTGGGTGACCAGACTGTAGGCCCAACCCTTCTTACCGGCACGGGCAGTACGACCGACACGATGGACAAAGATCTTTGGTTGCGAAGGGAAATCGTAGTTGATGACGTTGGCGAGAATGGGAATATCGACACCACGAGCGGCGACATCGGTGACAACCAAAATGTTAGTGAGACCAGATCTGAACTCCTGAATTTGAATTTTTCTGGCCGTCTGGTCCAGGGCACCGTAGACATACGAGACAGCGTATCCAAGTTGGCTGAGAAGGTTGTAGAGATATTCGACGTGGTGCTTTGTGGCAGCGAAAACAATGGTGGAATGCTCGGTCGGAGTTTCGTTGGCACCAGGGCCATCGGGACCACGCTTGCGCTTCTTGGACTTCATGCTATCTTCCTTGGCCTGCTCGACCCTCTCGGTAGGACCGCTGGGCATCTTGATAACGTCTCTGAGGATGTGGATGAGCGCACCCTCCTTCTCCTGAGTGTTGATGGAAAAGTAGGCGGTTTCAAGGTCGGGGGAGACCTTTGTTTCGGCATCGAGACGGATTAGCTTGGGCTCCTGAAGACCAGCACGAGCAAACTCGACCAATGACCTAGGCAGGGTGGCGGAGAACAGGAGAGTTTGTCTGTTCGGAGGGAGGGCGTGAATGATTTCGGTCAACTGAGCTGCGAAACCCATCTCGAACAGGCGATCGGCTTCGTCGAAAACGATGTATTTGATCGAGGACAGATCTAAATTCATCTCAATCTTCAAATGCTCGAAACGGCCAGGGGTGGCGATGATGATATCGGGATTGGAAGCCATGGACGAGAACTGCTCTTCGAGACTGTCACCACCGACCAGCAAGATTGTCCTGAGGTCTGTTCCTTTGCCCATCTCTTTCACAACCTTGAGCGTCTGCAGAGCCAATTCACGAGAAGGCGACAAGATAACGGCTCTTGCGCCAACCTTTGCGCTGTGTGATTTCAACTTCTCGATCATGGGAATAACGAAGGCGGCAGTCTTTCCTGAACCAGTTCTGGCCATACCGACAACATCCTGGCCGTCCAGGATGACGGGAATGGTCTTGCGCTGGATAGGTGTCGGTACTGAGAAACCCTTGCGAGTAATTGCCTTGAGCAGATGTCCGTTCAGACCCATGGATTGGAAACCTCCTCCTTTCTTGATTGTCTTTCCTGTCAGATCCTTCGTCTTTCTGTTGTTGGCGGCCTGCTGAGCGGCAATGTAAAGCTCGTCGCCATCACTGTCGTCGTCGAGTCCAGCACCTCCAGAGGCATCGGGGGCGGCGAGTTTCGGTTGCTCGAAGCCGGCGAGAGTGTTGTCGTCGTCGGAGTCCAGACCAGCTCCTCCAAACAGAGCATTCGAGATGTCGAAGCCGTTCTCCGACGCGGTAGGTGAAACAGCGCGTCTACCCATCTTGAAATTCTTGTCGACGGGTTTGTCGAGAAATGTGCCTTCGCAAGAAAAAGCGCCTCTCCGCAAAACTAGGAAGTCGCAACCCTCAACTTTTGCTGATAAGCTTTTGAGACCCTGCCCTTATCACCATGTGACTTGCTACCCATTCCGAAGGAAAGTGCCAAGCGAGGCTGCCGTCGCGTCGCGTCGCGTTCGCCCGCCATACGACTTTTTGACCTGCACATAGCAAGTGCTGAACAACTCGTCGAGCCACGCCGAAAACTATCCAGATATCATCATCGGACGCCAAAGGACACATTGCCTTTCTCTGTTCCACAACAAAGGAACACAATCACAATGGGTGAGGCGTCCCGCCATCGAGACATACGTACTAGAGGCAATACTGATTCGACTAGATTACGGTTACTCAACAACATCATATGGCGCTCAAGGTGGCAATGAGGATGGAGGCTTCATGGCCGGCAGCCAGGACAGCCCCAGCGCAAAGAGAGTGGGTCGATGCCACACCACTTGTCATCTTCACAGCTAAAACAAAGACAGTCATACGGCAAGGAAACGCTACGCCCCGTCACTATCAAGCAACTGCTCGAAGCCGAACAGCCCGACAGCGAAAACTTCGCCATCGATGGCTCCGAACTCACCACAATCTCCTTCGTCGGCCAGATCCGCAACATCAGCAAGCAGACCACAAACATCACCTACAAGCTAGATGATGGCACCGGCACCATCGAAGTAAAGGTCTGGATCGATATGGAGACGGCACAGAACGAAGATGAAAACGGCAGCAAGGGTGGTTTGGTCGAGAACTCATACGCCCGTGTCTGGGGCAAGCTCAAGACTTTCGGCAAGCGTCACGTCGTTGCTCAACAGATCCGTCCTCTTACCGACCTGAACGAGGTCAACTACCACATGTTGGAAGCCACCTACGTCCACCTGTTCTTTACACGCGGCCCTCTCGGAGCACAACAGCAAGGTCAGCAGGGCCAGGGTGCAGCCAACGGCGGCCATTCAAGCGGCGGAGGTGGCACCCTTCCCGCCGGTGTGTCAAGCCACGCCAGAAAGGTCTTCCAGTGCATGCAAAATACTCCTCAAATCAACGAGGGTCTTCACATGCAAGACATCGCCAGCCGAACTGGTATGGACGTCGCCGACGTGCTCAAGGGTGCCGACGAGCTCCAAGCCATGGGAAAAATCTACCCTACAGTCGACGACCAGACCTGGTGTTTGCTCGAGATGTAGAATAAGCATTACTTGGAACACGACCGGGAAGTATCTGCCTTGTGGGAAAGATTTGCAGGCGACCAGTTTTACTTGTTTCTTCACAGCAGCGTGGTGCGCAGAAACCATGAGTCGGCAACCACCAGACATTTTATTAAACGACTTCAGCCTCATCTTTCCGAACTCGCACGCAGAAGACGCAGATATTAGCAGATATTAGCGTGTTCGCCCCGACCTGGCATTGGTCGATAAGAAGAGTACGCAAGCGGCTACTATTGCCGTTGCAACAACTGTAAAAACCTGCTCTGGCATTAGTAACTCATCTGTCAAGGACCAAGGAAGATGCTCACCACTTGAGTCTTCCAACCTGTTTGTACCAGAGCCTGTCTTTTTGAGTACTTCTTTACCGTCTTTACGTAGTTTGCCGTTCCGCTAGCAAGACAAGCGAGAGCGAGTAACCAGAAGACTATTCCGAATGGCAGTGCTATGCGTCTTTCAAGTGGAGAAGGCTGGCTTTTGAGATGGAAGGAGATGAGGATGGCCACACTGACGACTGCCATGTATATAGCTAACCGTAGCCATGAGAGGAACGCTAAAGAACAATCATTAATCAGAAAAGACTTCGTAATCATCATCCGAGCTAAGGACATTGACCTACTTCTCTCATTTGCACAGTGATCACGAGCGTCAGAGTCGACGTTGTCAAAGAGAAGAGCACCTAGTAGAGGTCGCTCGATGAAGACATGGCGGTCGTATGTCGGCCGACTATACATTGTTACTATCACTGTCGCAAGCAGCTCATGAATGAGTGTACATACTGGTTCACCAAGACAGGCTTCGCATGAGGTATGCACGGAACAGTCTCATACGGCTCAATACGTTCTTCGGTCAAAGTCGCCATGTTGCTCAAAGTATGGAAGAAGGTTCAAGATTGAACTTCCCGATTGAGATGAGTGAGTAGAAAGACACAGAGAAATCACCAGGCGTTAATATCTACAAAGCTCTCGGACCAACACGCCATTCTCGGGATTGGTGATGTCGTGAGAAGGGAAGGAACCGCGATGGGTGGTGCCAAGGCTGACGCAAAAGAAGGGCGGATCGGGTCATGCCGAGCGCAACTTTTGGACTTTGGTATGCGGCGAGCACCACCGAGAAGAAGTTCGAGATTGAGGAGACAAGATCACACACACCACGCACAATCATGTCGGTCCAAGCAGCACTGAAAGCGCCCTTCCGCGTAGGAACCAAGGAGGTCTACCTGTACGTATTGCGCCAGCCTCACACCCTCAATGGCCGAACAGAGTGCTGACAGCGACGATGAACAGCCCCAACTTCACAGTCACCTTCATCCGCACACCGCGCATGCCCGCCTCATTCGCAAAATTCATCGTCCCCTTGAACATGAACAAGCTCGATCTCCGCGACTACCTCTACCACGCCTACAACGTCCGCGTCGTCAGCGTCCGCAGCTACATCGAGCAACAAAAAGTCACCCAAGGCAAACCCAACGCCCCAAAGATGCAAATCAAGCGGTGGTTCCGCCCTCGCGCCATCAAGAAAATGACTGTGGAGTTGGAGAGTCCGTTTGTGTGGCCGAGCACGCCGACTAAAGAGCAGTTGAATGAGCAGTGGAGTAAGGATACGCATGAGCAGGCGAGAAAGGATAACGACAAATACGCAGAGATGAGGGGCAGGTTGGCAGATGCGGCTGTGGATAGAGGAGAGAGAATCAGCATGAGGGAGCAGGCCAAAGCGCTGTTGGAGAAGAAGGAGCAGTGGAAGCCTGCTGAGGAGCTGGGCTTTGCGAGAAAGTAAGCGTGTTGAACGCATCTTCCATTCATGAGCATTCTTGGGAAGGAGTTGGGGCGCTGTAAAAAAAGGTGGTCAATTTGTGCATATGGGATTGCACTGTACTATATTCGAATGAAGTTGGGCATATATCGTCCGCTCGTTACCAGAAGGTAGCGGGCTGTACTCTTACAACATCATTTCCAGACACTCATTAGAGACTTGGTCTTTGGCGTTACGTCAGATCTTGCTTCAACACTTACAATATTCATCATGTCAAGATCAGCTTCCAAGAAGATGTTCTAGGGATTCACGTAGAGGCAGGTGCAACTAATTTTCAAAATCTCGTTGCGGCTTCCTCATGTACGTGACAATCCGCATTCAGCAACTTCAGCAGTCTCGTTTAATCTATCATCAGTGAGCTTATTGCAACTACGATTCTAGTTCTTTCTACTCAAGCGATTTCTTGCAACCGCGAAGCCATGCCAAAGACCTCGGTAAAGTGGCGGGGAACGCGTCGGGAAACCTTTCGGACAACTCGTCTATTGTCTCTCTAGTCTTCATCGCTGCAAGACTTGATTATACTAATCCGGAAAGGCCGAATTCTATTCACATGGAGCCTCCTGCTGGAACAAGACCATACCGTTCACACAAGTTTCCCGCTTGTACAGCTTGCCGACAACGCAAGATCCGCTGCCATTTTGACCAAGTTGCTGCTCAATGCACGCTTTGTCGGGAAAAGGGCTGGCAATGTATTACTGCTTCTCCGGGTCCCAGTGCACAAAAGCGTGAACGTGCATCAACTTCTGGTCCAGGGGAAAGACCTGCGAAGCGTACAACCCAGAGTCTAGGAGCGACTGAGGATGGCTCACCGCGAGTCCAAGTCAGACAACCTTCTCGTCAGGCTTCGGTCATAGGCACTCCTGCTGAGGCTTCGGCAGAGATTGCCCAGCCATTGGATCATCCTAGCACGGAGTCGACTGTTATCGTCGGTCCTGTATTTCAGGAGGATATCCAAATTCTAGGACCATATCTTTCGAAAGGAAATGAAGCAAGACAATCTTCCAAAGAAAGGCAAACTACTTCAGCTGGACCGGGTAGAAACCCGTTACTGTATCTTTCCGTGCCTCGACGCAGACGTGGACTCCAGCCAGCCAAGGATCCTGGTTCTGGACAGAAGCTTATCATACAGCAGCTTGTAGGCCCATTTGCCGGTGACCTTGTTGATCTGTAAGTACTTCGATGCTAAGTTGTGATTCATCGCTGAACTTCTATAGCTACTTCGAGTATGCCCACCCGTGCTTCCCAATTCTTGACGAATTTGCTATCAGAAAACATGGAGCAGCCAACGTGTCTTCAGCTCTTTGGTCTTATATCATTACCAACGCATTTTCCTCGTGGTATCAGTCTCCTAAGCTGAGGAAACATCCTCGGCCTGATCCAATCTACGCATGCAATGTTGCTGTTGCTGCACTCCAAGAGGACTTCAATGAGTCAAGTGTCTCAACAATTCTCTGTAGCGTACTGGACATGATTGGTCGTCCTGTAAGTCTAAATCTTCACCCATGAGATCGATTGCTTATATTCCACACAGATCAACTCCATTGTGGGCAACATCATCAATGAGGGCAGGACGATAGCACTCGCTCACACTTTTGGCATGAACCGTAACCCGACCCATTGGGGATGTTCAGATCACGAGAAAAGATTGAGAACACGCACATGGTGGGCAGTCTTGATCACCAACAGACTGTAGGTTTGATGCAGGACACTTGATGGGTCCAGCTAATTGTTTGCAGGTCTGCATTGGCTCATGGCACGCCACCCACCCTAACAAGGGGTCAATACGATGTACCACTACCTACGTATGCAACTTTGTTAACACCGGACAAGGACACCGAGTATCGCCGTCAGGGTGCAGAGCACTTTATCCAGCTATGCAAGTTGTGCGAGATACTAGGCGATATCATTCATATTGCTACTGATCTTCGCCGACCTTTCGAGGCCAGAGTCCCACGAGAACTACGGAAACTCGAATGTGATCTTGATGAGTGGGAGGCAAATCTGCCATCATACTTTACCAAACCCTTGGAAGAAGGCAAGGGGCCAGGAGCATGCAACTTGCACTTCTGTTTCCTTTCGACCAAACTTATGCTTGCAAGGACGGCATTGAAGGTGTGCAGATCGATTAAGCTCATGAGATCTTCTTACTAACAATCTTAGGTCGCATCTGATGGTCAACAACCAGACAACAGTAGCGAACACCTACGATATCGTCTATCCGTCCTCCGCAGCTCGGCCCGGGAAATCGCAGACTTTGTTTGTGCCCTCAAGAGCCAACATCTCGCCGAATTTTGGCTACCATGTAAGCCTCCTACCTTTTGCACACCCTCGGCCTATTCGTCTACTAACAACAACATCAGATACAGCACATCTTCTGGCCTCCTCAGCTATGATTCTCCTTCGCTGCACAGTCGAAACAACAGACACACTCGCCCGCGAAACCTGTAAACAAAGTCTCGAAAGCCTACGCAAACGCCTACGCTCAGCCCGCGACGAAGACGATTGGGATCTCGCTGACATTTTCCTAAATCAATGCGATGAACCCATCTCCCGTGTAATCGGCAAACTCGACAACCCTACCACTTCATCCGCTGCAGCACCGATTTCTCCTCGACCTCCACAACAGGAGAATATTCATGCGGCTATTAACGTGGAGGATGTGGTGTTGCAACCTCTTCAGCAGGATTTCGTGTTTGATTTTGCTGGAGGTGGTTTAGGGGGAGCAGATCTGGGATTCTCATTTGAAGGTTTGGGATTACCTTTTGATTCTAGTCTTTGGAATGGTGGGTTCGAGGATGGTGGTGATGGCATGGGCGGGTTTTAGAAGATGATCTGAGTGAAATGAGGATAGTGCCTTTCAAGCTCTGTCAACACTTTTGCACATTCACTCGGTCATTACAAGTACCCTAATGCCGAACTTAACCAAGGGGTGGTCACACTAATCTATCGGACACCACTTCTGCACGTGACAATTCATCAATTCCCTTGCATAAAAAGCTTCCCAGGGCCGAACAATGGTGTCTCCCATCAAAGACGTTGACAACTCTGCACTGAGTATCTGTTGACGAAGATTAAGCGATTACTCGACCCTTCTGCAAGAGCATCAGTCAGCGCAGGGCAAAGTAGGCAGAGCATCAGGTCACCGATTCCATAACCCCCTATCTTCGTCCCCAAAGCATGTCCATCGCTGTTTATTGTGAGTGATCGGGTGATACTCAAGGGAGGAAAAGATAGCAAGTTGTCAGGTTAACTATCCTTCTACCCCTGCTCTCATCTCCTAGGTTCTCTCTCTGCTGGAATTGTGATCTTGATGTGCGGCATAGGTGAATGTCCAATTGTTTGGCGCGCTTGATGTCTAGTTGCTTCTGGAGGTAGTTGTATACCCGGTTGCTCCTCGTTCCTCGCTGCTCGTTCCTCGCTTTTCGAGACGGATGCTCTTCGATGCGCTTAATGCGTTGTTGATGGTAACGTATAAAGACGGAGCCATGTTAGGTGAGAACAAGAAGTAGTGTGAAGAAAATAGACAAAAAAAGGCACCAGAAGAAGATGAGTATAAGTATGATTAATAGTTCCTTTGTGGCAACAACTACATCAAACAACAGTATGAAAATGTGAAAGTGTCAAGAGTTCAGATGGAGAGCATTATTCATTTTCATTAAATTACCTAGCTTTGGTCAACTCGTCAAGCTTCACTGTATTCGATATCCACACTCTTCTTCACCGTGATTCCTGTGCCGTCATCGTCTTCACTCCCTCTTACTGAATAAGCTTCGTGACTGTCGACTTGTAACTTATCCTTTTTCGTCGGACTGGGCAAACTCACACTCGTCGGTGTCAACCCCCCACTCAACCAACTCCCACTACTCCCCTTCCCACTCTCGCTAACCCAACTCATCGGTGTCTCTGGCATTTCCTCCCCCTCTTCTTCACTCACCCTTCCCATTTTTCCATTTATAGAGGTGAATGTGGATAATGGATACATTGCATGTATCGTCCCTTTTGAAAAACTCGCATTCGACATATCCAATGATAGAGATGGAGGCTTTTTGGACGAAAATTGCTGTTTCGATCCTACAGCTGTAGTGTCATCGGTGGAGCTGTTGTCGAGGAAACTGCGAAAACCATGACGATGATGAGACAGCCAATTGCAGAATTTTTCGTAGAGGGGTTTTATGCTGGGGAGGCATGCGCATACCTGTGATATAATTGTCAACATGTCACTTGTCTTGGGAAAGGGGTTTTGGGGGGGAGGAGGGGGGGAGATATTGGACTTACGATTGATAGGACGATTTCTACCGAGCCGCAGATGAGGAGGGGGTGGCTTTCCCAGGTTATGTCGTAGGTGCCGATGAGGGATTTCCAGAGGTATACTGTGCGTGTTGTGCTTACTATTGTGACGACTATGCCGAGGGAGAGGAGGACGGCGACGGAGATGCGTTGGCGAATTGGCATGTTGAAGGACAATACGACGGGGAGTGGAAGTAACATGGTGCAGAGGTCTGCAACAACCACCAAAACACCACCGACCAAAGTGATGATCGAGTCGTCAAAGCATTTCGCATCCTCAGGCATTGGATATGTCCAATACGCCGATACAGGACTGTGTCTGTCAGCAACTCCTCCCCACATACAATGTGATTGCAAATACTCACGTGCATCTAAACACAGCAGTCAACCCAAAAGCCAAACTCAACACAATAGTCACAACCACAAACCCATGAATCGTCCTCTTCCACCCAACACTCCCCGCATCCCTCACAAGATGCAAATAAAAACTCAACAGACTCATCCTGATCCCAGACGTACTCAACAGGAAAAACAACACAGCTGTGATTTCAATGATGGCGGCTCCTTTGTATAATCGAGGCGGTAAATCCCAAATGTGGTATTTGTAGCCCCAGAGTTGGGTGCCGAGGATTATGTTGATGTAGAAGCAGATGCCGAAGATCAGGCCAAAGAGGATCCAGAAGTCGTCCCAGCCGAGTCCGCGTTTAATGCGTAGGCGAGCGATCAAGCGGAGGGAGACGAAGAATATACTAAGCACACCGCATACGATTGCTGTAATGCAGGTTGCTTTCCCTCTGGTTTGTGGATCGATGTAGTTGGGTGCCGGATATGTCGCAAAAGCCTCAGGAGGAGGTAAGAATGATTTCGTCATATTCGCAATGACTATCCAAGATCAAGAGATTCCAAAGATGTCAATTTCGTCGCTACCAGAGCGAGAGTGTTGTTTCCAAACGCCAGCGAGAGGAAAGAAGAGAGCAAAATGTGGAAGCCGCGAAGACCAGACATCCATGGGGTATTATCCAGAAAGACTATCAGAGTTCCATATATTTGATTTTTGGATAGGTGGAGACATCATCGGTCTCGGTTCATCGCGACCGTTGCGTTGCAGATGCCCTTTTCCAGAAAGATTTCAATACCGGTGTGGTGGTACAACGGTCAGAACGTTCATGGTAGACGGTGCTTTTCGGCACTTGGAGTTGGAAATCCACGGCAGCAGTATGTACCAACGACTCGATGTGAGACAGTGTTGAGTGTTGCAAGTCAGTGGTCATTTTGCGTGACTTGTCTGCCGTTAGCTATGAAAAAATGATTCGTGCAGGAATTCGCAAAGGAAAGAAGCAAGGGACGAATATTTTCCAACCGATCTTCTATAAAACCTCTTCTTCTGAAGTCTGGTTCCCTTTCTTCTCTGACAATCTAAACGACGTCTCTGACATGGGAGTGTCTTTCAGACTTTCTCCCATATTTGTGCTGCTGCTGCTGCCGTCGCCGCCAGTTCTACTCTTGCTCGCCAATATTGCCACCGACGACGCGAATAAGGTCGACACCGAAAAGGAGAAAGTAGAGGCCTCTCGTAAGCACGACAAGGTGGAGATAAAAGAAACGGAAGTATGCCAGTGTGAATGTTTGCAGGACCGGAGGGGAGGACTTGTAAGGGGGTTTATGAGTAAGGTGCCCGAGGTTCGTCGGTACGAGAGATCTCGAGACCGTAACTCCCGTATGCTACGCAGTTACGTCGGGAAGTATTTGCGTAGAGGCATAGGTGCATACCTGGTTGATTTCGAAGATGCATTGCCATACAATAATATGCGAAGATGATTCTTCCATGCCTCGGTTCGTTAGTAGCGACAGTTGCCATGCAAAACACTAACAAATGTCATTGTTGAAGAAGAAAAGGCTCAAATGTAACGCGCGTAAAAGGACAATGCTTCTAGTTCATCTCATAGACTTGCCTCGGAGCGTTACACTGCCAGTTTTATCGAGATTCAAAAATCCTAAAGCCGGGCAAGCACGACTCGTAGAGCTACTTACAGTGCTAGAATTACGGCCGCATCTGCCGTATCTGCTCTATGTAAGACACACCACAAACAGACGCGACTATAATACCAATGGTATATAGAAGGAAAGGATGAACAAACACGAGCGCAGCGGTCGCAGAACAGAACTTCGGTGCAAACAACTACCGAGCAACCGACGTTGCAAACTCACGATTCTAGCTCAGCCCTACAGACACCTCGATCGCACCGGGTCACGATTATCCCCACGTCAAACACTGCAAACTTTCCACAAAGCACCTTTTTCAAACATCATCCCTCTCACCGAGCAAAAAAGCGAAATTTTGATCACGAGGACTTTTTTTTTATTGCACACATGTACATTCTACAACTCAGCTCTTCCTCTTCGTTAGAAAAAAAATATGCATTCCTTTTCAATGGTCTGGGAATCCTGGGAAAGTGAGGCGCTACGGAGAATGAGGTGGAGTGCCGGGGATGCAGATGCGTGAGCGTTGGGAAGAAGGTGAGATGTGAGATGTACCTGCAGGTGGGGTTATGCATGTGCATAAAATGTTATGTAAGCTGTCAATGATTGATGGTAGGTTTCTTCTTTCCAAGCTATGGTTTGGTTTGAACTGTCAAATTAGAGGAAGCTTTCAGGTATGGTATAAGATCGTGAAGACAACATGGTGAAAACATGCTCCATAAATAGATACCAAACAATTATAAAAAGGAAAAGGTATAACAACCAAAGTCCAGCCGAAACCAAGATTATGTACACCACGTTTCCCATCCATCCATCCATCCAACCTTTTCTCCCCCAAATGCACAAAAACGCCTTATCAGAAAAGATATCGAGGAATTAAAATCTACCAACCGTTTCCAAAGTGGCCGCCCCTGCTCTTGCAGGCAGTCATGATACCAGTAGGTGTGACGGTGGTGACCTTTGTAAACTTGGCGGTCATGGTCTTGGTTTGCCAGATGTATGCGGTATTAACTGTGAACTTGGTTTTTGTGATGGGAGGAAGAGTGATGTATGCTTTTGCGTAGCCGGTCTTGATCGTGGCTGGAGGTAGTGTACTATGATTGTGTCAGTAAGAGACAAACGGAATATCAAACAAAGAGAGAAAAAGAAGCCTTACGTAGTCACGATTGAGCTACTCAAAACAATGTTGGTAACGGTAGTTGGGGCGGCGGTGAAAGTGTTCTGTTACTCGGTCAGTTTCCTGCTTTCCAAATCTTCAATACGCGGCAGAAGCTTACAGTCTGGTTGACTGTCAAAGTGGTCTGAGTGATGGTGACGGTAGGTGCATCAGCAGTTCTCTTGGCCAAGTCCCTTGCATCGATATCGGCAGCACGTCTGGCACGAATATCCGCAAGACGCTTCTTGACGGATGCGTAAGTCTCGAGTTCTTCATCTCTCTTGCCGTTGATGCTGACGCCGGCGGGGACCTTGATAAGTCTAGGCCATCTGCGGCATGGCGGGTCAGGCTGTTGAGGGCGTGGAGGTACTGTGCAGCTGGCTGTTGCGGTTGCAGTGTAGATGATGGCTGTGCGGGTCCAAGTCTTGAGAGTGCGGGTGAGAGAAATTGTCTTTGTGGTGTAGGTTGGAAGGGGAGTGATTGTCACGTATCGTGTTGCCTATCATTGTTAATTGGGCTCATTAGGCAAAATTTTAATATACTTACTGCAGGCACGGTTACGGTCATGGAGTTGTTGACTGTGGTGGTGTTTACGATGAAGGATGTAGTCTGAGATGTGATTGTTGGTGTGGTTGTCATGTTAAAGGTCAATGTTGGTGTAACCTGAATTCGTCAGCTTTGGAATCATAAAAGTTTCTATTAGAACTCACGGTCGAAGTGGCTTGTGCGCCAACAGTCAGGTAGAAGGTTCTTTGGTTCGCAAAAGGTGGTGAATCCGGGTCAACACCGTTGTTCGAGATGAGGATGAGACCCCATGTGCCACTCTTCATCTGATCCTTCTCGATATCGCAGGTTGAGGTTTCGGGAGTGTCGTCAGGTTGCAGAGGGATGTCCGAGCACAGATACTCATCACCGGTGTCCCAGTTGACCAGTTCCACGGCTGCTACATCTACCGCACATCCTGTATTCATGGTTAGTTGGGGGTATTCTGGCTGAACACTACAGGCTATGACATACCCGCAAATTCTGTGACCGAAGTAAAAGATTGGTTGGACTGCGAATTGATAAAGTACTAGACGATATGTTAGAATTGACTCCAGATTTAAAGCATGAAGATGACATACATTTCCATTGTTGACAAAGTCAATACCATAGGATTCACAGTCTGCATTGACTCCTGACAGGTACGACACCGACCATGCCAACGGCAATAGCAAAGAGCGAGAGTACATCTTGAGGCAACTGAGAAGTGAGAGTCTGCAGGAACGAGAGACGACAGACTGCTGCACAGTAACCCTGCAGTAGATTCAAGCACGCAAGACTATGCAGCGCAACAAGAGATGATAAAAAGTCGATGTTGACATGTGAGAACCCGGGAAGAACGCCTACTCTTTATACACTCTCTGACCCCATCTCTTTGAGTATGAATAGCAACATCGCGATCCTCCTCCACTTACCGTAGGCTTGATGCGAGGCTAGAGCGATGACTACTGACCTCGTTCCGCATTCGGATATACAGGATGGGATAGCGTGGGAGGGAAGCGTGGTATCTGACCAGAGTCTGCCCAAACTATTCAGCCAGAACGTCACGAGGGATGCAGCCTCAAGGCAGGGTCAAGCTTTTGAGTTGACTAAGTGCATGTCTGGAAGCGAAGTTGGGTTGTCAGAGTGGAGCGTGCTGCGTGTTGTCAAGGGCTTAGCACGCGCGTGGGCGATGCGGCAGAGCAGTTCCTTTGCAAGGGTAGGTCAAAGGTGGAGTCGCCGGTCAAGCTTTGCTGCCGAATATCCTGAAATTCTCCTTGTAGATGATCATCATACTTGCATGGTACTGTAGTAATATCTGGGTCAGGTCGTTTGTAAGCCCTATCCAGACTCAAGAGCTTCGGACATCAGTTCAAGGCTGTTTGCTGGCGGATGATCTATTGATTCGGCGCCTGTGAGGCTCACCCACTGAGACATTGTGATTCGATCCTCATTCGAGAAGGCGATGCGTCTCGTGTTGGAATTAAGGAAACTTTTTGGTAGTCAGCGATGGTTTGGACTGGGCGGCGTGGCCTGCAGTGGCTTGCGGCTTGCATGGGGAAACTCTGAGAAATGTCCGAACAATGATGACGCCCATGCATCTATATTATCTCTCGACACGATCGATTTTCGCCATCGCGTCTGCGGCAAGATACTTGCCATCTGTAATCCATTCGCTCTCAGTAAATGTCCGATCGTGTCTTGCCGTGTTGTGTTGCAGGGTTGCATGAATTTGTGTCGGTTTGTTGTGCATCAGAGGAAGCTGCGGTTGAACCCCGCTGTCAACACAGAAGCTTGGTTCCTCTCCCCACTTGACTGGCTCGGAGCCTATCTACCTTAATTTTATATTTATCACTGTTGTACAAGATATGCCACGATGCTTCCCAGGGCTCAGTCTTCAGGCTCACGCGATAAGCAATATATGCAAGCCTGAGCAATGCTCGTTTGGCCCACAGCTACAAGGCGCGGAACCCATCTTCAACTTCGAGGCTGACCTGCTCAAGGATCTTGCCCGTCTTGCTTATTCGGACCAGCGAGTCAGTCCCGCCATGGACGATGAGCCGCGAAGGATGGCATTTGAGGCACGGCACGCAAGCATAAACTCCTCTCACACGCTGCCGCGACCGTTATGTTTGCAGGTCCCAATAAACCTTCGTCGACACATGTATTTGTACTCATTCACATGTCATTTTTTCGGTGCCTCCCTATTCAAGTCCAAATATAACTGTAATGCGAGTATGCCCTCTTCTCCAACCAATAAACCAACATCGGAGAATTATTGCTTACTTGCGCCTATGCGGGTTGGCAGGATCGACGGATCACCAGCAGAGGTTTTGCTGCAAAGTGCGAAGCGCATGCTTGCTCGTGCATGTAGCGCATGGATTTCCTGTCTCGGCTCGAGCATGGGTGACCGTACAGTTTCCTTGTGATTCACGGTGAGGGAGGTCGAGAAGTGGCTTGCGCAGTTGCTCTCTGACCAGAGATTGAGGTGAGATCTTCTGATGTTATGCCATTTGGAGTTGTGTAACTTCATGTACATGGGGCCGATGAAGATGTCCCCGTCCCTGAAGAGTTGGATCCTACCATTTCTGTTCGGAGCTGCCTAGCTAGCGATGAACATCAGGGCGAGATGCTCGAGGTTCTAGACAGTCGGTCAAGTCTTGAACCTCAACATTCATGCGCCTTTTTTGTAGGCTGGATTTCCAGGAGGTTGGTCAAATCTCGGCATTCTCATTTTGTGTTTCCATGTTTCGTAAGGTTTGACATTCCTTTTTTTGCTCGCTGGGATCGCACGGCTATGGGCTTCCTTGAGCCTCTGTGTTTGTCGCCATGTATCAGGAGTGGAGATATCCTGATGCTCTCTTCTTTTCGTGCCGGGGCTGCTGGAATCCAAGGGCTCCTTGAACCTCAGTTCTTGGTTGTCGTCTACCGGTCGTGTGTAAGACTTGACAGTATGGTTGTCGCTAACCTCGAAATCGATGTTCTTGTAGGTGTTTGTGTGTTGCCACACATTTTCTCCGGGTGTCTTGAAATTCCAAGGTGAGAAACCAGCGCGTGACCACCCGATAGTCGGAAGAGCCCAAACGGTATCTATCTCGCTCAGGGATTCATCCGCTTGCTCAACTAGAGATCTTTCTACGATTGCAGGTAATGCAAAACGGGCGTTTGCTGGCGCGTGAGGCTTGAGTCTTCTTTCAAGGCTTCCCGTATCGTGTAGTCTCATGTGCGGCAAATCGGTTGGTCTCAGAAATCTGACGACCATGGATGTTTTGGATGGTACATTATGTGGTATGTACCGAAGTCTTATCCACCATCGGTCATGGAACAGCTTTGGGCGAGTCCATATAGGTTCAGAAAAGTCATTGTCACTTTCTTGTTCTGCTAGGAGAACCTGTGTATATCTCTCTGGGTCCTGAACTGGGCGTGGAAGGACACTGTACTTCCACGAGACTCTGCGTTCGCCAGAGCTCGATGCCTTGTCGGACTCGAGTGTTTTGAGAAGAACGATATTACCAACGTTGACACCAGCGTTGGCCGATAGCTCGTGGTCGAATAGAAATGGGAAGATGTACTGGACTGCGCGCTGAGTATTTTGCAATTGAAGTTTGTGTTTGTCTTCAGAGAGTGACAAGAACTTGCGGGTAAGTAGTGCCGCTACCAGAGGAGGATTAGTCGTGTCCCTCAACCAGTCTTCGATTTTTGGATGGATCGAGAACGATACAGAGCTAGTTCTGGTATTGAGTTCAACCTTGCAAGCCTTGAACATGGCTGTGGCAGTGTCATTACAAGATTGGCGATGGCTCAATTTATTCGCTGCGAGGTCCCTCAAACGGACGGTGCTGAGTGCATGTGGTAAGGCTCCGGATCCAATTAGGTGTCTAATAGCGTTGCGAGCAGTCAGAGTCTTGTCGGCGTTTGTTGCATCCTCATGCCAACTGACTTGCCGTGCATGGCAGGTGGCAATGAGTTCTGCTTTCGTAAAGTCAAGTAGTGGTCGATGGATCGTAACGCCGCCAGACTCGACCCAAACTTTTGTGATGGTCCCAGAAGGGTCTAGTCTCCGGGTGGTTCCTGATTCGGAGACCCCATGGGCACCATGGCATTCAGGGATGGGACTGATGGCCTGGATACCTTGTAGACCTGTGCCTAAATAGCCAGCATATATCCTCGAAAGTATTGTCTCAGCTTGATCATCTCCATGGTGGGCTAGTAGAAGAGTGTCGATTTGAGATTTGGCACAGGCACGCCCAAGAAGTTGGAAGCGCAACTTGCGAGCAGCCGTCTCTAGATTTGGAAGCTTGACCGGATCGCGATGATTTGGCCATTCCATCTTGAGGATCTCGGACGCAATACCGAGTCTTTGGAGGTTACTTGCTACTGATATGGCTTCAGCAGCACTTCCATACCGTAGGCAATGATCGACTATGAAAGCTGTAACAGGCGGCATGTTAAACCCCTGTACTTTACTGCACAGACTAGCCAGGGCCATGGAATCTACTCCACCACTGATGGCAAGGCCTGCGAGAATGAATGAGCATGAATTGAGACATGCAACAAGATTATCTCATGCATACCTAAGCGTATCTTGCCCTTGCATATTGGCTGTAGTATGGAGTCAAATCTTTCTTGAGCGATGGCCTGCGCGGCAGAGCGGACGGCGGATCTTTTCAACATCCCATCGCAATTCTGCAATTGGCACAAAAACTACAACTGATGTTGAAGCTGACTGAGGTCTGTGGTATGCGAGTCGTTGTCGGGTTGAAAACAATGGCAAGGCTGTCAAACAATTTCGCCGATTTGGATGAGGGCGAAGCTCGGGCAGGAGCGATTGCGGAACGAGCTGTCCATGGCGTCAACTTTTCGGCTTCACAAATCAACCGCCATGGCTTGACATCGACGTAGCACGAGCAATTGATCTTTGATTGCTTTGAATCTCACAATGGCAGGAGTCACTCAAGAGAAGACTCCCCTGGTCGAGTCGCCGTACTTGCGCTCGCTTCTGGTAAGTACATTTTGTTATTTCTCTCTATGCCCATCAATGCCCTTCCGTCCCCGAGCTGCGAGCAACAGCCATGATTCCCATCCGCGACCCTGACTGAACGCGCATATCCTGCCCACGGTTTCTTCCTCTTTTGTCAACCTTTGCTGTCATTCTGCGCAATGACTTGCACACGAGGTTGCATCCTTCATAACGCAAGCTAATCATACCAAGGCAGGCGCAGTGGCAGGCACAACAGTAGACACATCCCTCTACCCACTCGACACCCTTAAAACTCGTCTTCAATCCTCCTCAGGCTTCCTCGCCGCAGGTGGTTTCCGCGGCGTCTACGCAGGCGTCGGATCCGCAATCGTCGGCTCCGCTCCAGGCGCCGCCCTCTTCTTCGTAACCTACGACGGCCTCAAACGCTCCCTCTCCTCGCCTACCCATACGACCACTCAGTCCGCCTTTGTACACATGACAGCAGCGAGTTTGGGAGAAGTGGCAGCGTGTGCGGTACGAGTGCCTACGGAGGTCGTCAAGCAAAGGGCTCAGGCGAAACAATTCCCGAGTTCGAGGGAGGCGTTTACGAGTATTCTGGATTTGAGGAAGAGCAGAGGATGGGGTGTTATGGCGAGGGAGTTGTACCGTGGGTGGGGTATCACGGTCATGAGGGAGGTGCCGTTTACGGTCATCCAGTTCCCTATGTGGGAGGGTATGAAGAGGTGGGCTGCTAAGAGGGATGGCAGGGAGACGGCTACTGGCTTCCAGTCTGCCGTGTTTGGATCTGTATCTGGTGCTATCGCTGCTGCGTTGACGACGCCGTTGGATGTGCTGAAGACGAGGATGATGTTGGCAAAGGAGAAGGTGTCGGCATCATATCTGTTGGGCAAGATTTACAGAGAGGAGGGCATGAGGGCTTTCTTCAAGGGTGTTGAGCCTAGAGTCACTTGGATCAGCATTGGTGGTGCTGTTTTCCTGGGAAGTTACCAGTGGGCGAGCAATGCATTGGGAGGCGTCAACTGATGCATTTGTACATATACTAAACAACGCATAAGCATGTACGAATACCAATAAACGGAGTCGAATCTATCACCTTTCCTCCCAAGCATGATCAAATAAGTGTATGATGGATGTCATACCATACTACCAGGGTGATGCCCTTGGCAAACTTTTCCCGCATACTTCTCGCCGTACAGCGACGACGACATGAGATGAAATCTCTTGAACATATCTAGAATGCTTCCGAGCATTCAAAGAATTAGCCCACATGAATTAAACTTGATCTTTTCCAACACTATGAGTAATACTCGGAAATATGTGTCCAGCTTTCAAAGCCAGCCCACCACTAGACTTACCATCTCCCTGGCAAAAATGCCGTTTAATCTAGCGAACACATTTCCCGAGCTAGATAAGTAGGATCTTTCAAACCTTCCCACGCTGCCTCTTACAACCTCATCTCTCTCTCTCCAGCCTACGCTGCTCTAAGTACAACACCCACCTCATCTATCCTGATGTAGAGCACTTCGATTCTGCTCTTCTCTGCTCTATTCTGTTCTTCCCTCATCGCACCCGCCGACGTCGATAATCGGGTACCCGTCGCGTATGTTTGATAGCGAGCTTCGCGTGCGCATTGTCTAAGAAATCGAGGATCCTTGAAGTGATGCACGACCGCTTTATTAAGCCTCTGAGGTCTGCTCTGTTACGCCTTGTTAAATGATGTGAATGCGGACGATGGCTTTGACCTGTGGGGAGCTGGAACCCTTCGGACGGTTTCGTCAATGGAGTCGAGTGCTCGGACGTAAAGCACAAGGCTGAACCGGATTTCAAAGAGAAGAAGAGCGAAGAGGAAGGTCAAGTTAGGAAGAGCCCGTGACCGGTACGACAAGGAAGGGAAAAATCAATACAAAGTCAATACATGCTTCTGATAAACAGTGATGATCGGAGGCTGTTCATGCAAGCACATCAAGACAAAGGACAAGCAAGAAATGTTGGAAACAGTATCTGTAGTTTTCTTTGAAAAAGGGGGAATTATGCCATTTCGCTTCCTGCACCTACACCAGATGATAAAGCCTTTCCAGTGTAATCAATTTATGATGATATAACGCAGCACCCAGCACCCGAGAGACAACAAAAAGAGGTAGAAATCGGAACATGTTGGAAGAAGTAGAGGAGGGGCGATAAAGAAAAAGAGAAAAAGTGTACCCCGAAGAAGATGGCGAGAGTGGTTGTGATCATTTTTTCATATAACTTCGTTGCTTTTCCTTTATGCACCGAACTCCTTGATGTCGTCGGTGTACTTGCCGGGGACGAGGGCAAGAGGGACGATACCGGAAACGTGCATCTCGGGACCGAAGACGTGCATGTCGAGCTTGAGCTCTTGACCGACAGCCTTGATGTTCTTGAGACCTTCTTGGTAGTTGGGGCCAGCACGACGGACCCAGATCTTGACGTTGTGCTCGATGAGGAGAGGAGCGACCTCGCGGATGGCGCGGATGACACCCTTGAAGGTGGAGGCGACGTTGGTGAAGTTGGCAATACCACCACCGATGAAGAGGACCTTGCCCTCGGGGTGCATGGGAGCACGGAGCATGAGGTCGAGGACAGTTCTGGCGTAGTGGAAGGTCTGGGTCTCGGTGGGGGCACCAGAGTACTCGCCGTAGTTGGCGAGCTCACCAGCGTAACCAGCAGAGGCAATGGCATCAGCATAGACGACCGAAGCACCACCACCAGCAACGAGAGTCCAGACGCGACCGCTGCCGTTGAGGATGGTCAACTTGAGCGAGGCACCGGTCTTAGCATCCATCTCGGCGATGTAAGCCTCCTCCTTAGAGAGCTCACGACCGAAAGGAGCGGGGAACTCCATGGGGGGGCCGACATCGACGGAGACCTTGGAGTCCTTCTTGTCAGCGACGTTCAAGCCGAGAGCAGTGGCAGAGCGAGCGATGGCCCACTTGGCACCACACTCGAACTCGGCAGTCTGATCGATCTTGGCAGCCAAGTCGAGGAAGTGGACCTCAGCGGAGGTGGCATCGGCGTTGGGGATAACGACGAGAGGGTTGATCTCGAGGTAGCTACAGTGTGTAAGTAGGATGACCTAGAAGAAGATGGATGGTGATGAAAAACTTACGTGAACTGGCAGTCAACGTAGACGGCGTAGAGGCGGGAGATGAAGTCGACGAGGACGTTGTGAACACCCTGGGGGACCTTCTTGAGGAGAGTGGCAGCAATCTCCTCGTTTGAAGGGTACTCCTTGAGGTCGACGGGAATCAAGATCTTCTCAGCCTTAGCATCGACATCACCGACATCAACACCACCCTCGTGGGTGAAGAGGATCCAGTCACCCTATTGATAGCATGTTAGATTCTGACGATAATATGATGGACATTGCAACGTGGTGATGATCTGGGAGGATGAGTAAGGCCAACCATCGACGGCGGGTAGATCCGAAGACGATGGCCTAATGCAGGTACAGATGTTGTGCGTTGGTGTAAGGGATAGAGCACATCTGTGCACGCTTGGTGGTGGGACTGGTGGGATTTCTCCCTTCATCCGAGCAGAATAGCCGGGGGAAATCACCACTGCCAGCCCAACGTGACTTTCACATGCAAAACAATCATATGAAAACTTCCCCCTGGTCTTTGCTCTTTCCCTTGCTTCTTTTCTTTCAATAAAAAGAGAACCAAGGAAAAACTCGACAAGCCCCGGAAGATTGGTCTCCGATGATTGTTTTCGACATGCCGGAGAGAAAAAGAAAAATCGAAAGAAACATGGCACATACCTCACGCTCGGACATGATGTTGATGTAGTACTCGGTGTCTTGGGAGTGAGGCACGAAAGGCTCGACCAAGAACTGTCTCAGGACACCATCGACAGTCTCGACTCTCTGGGGCTTGCCAGCACGCTCCTCAATCCAAGCTCTAGCCTCAGCCCAGGTCTTGTTCAGGGCCAAAAGACCGCTCTTGCCTCGTCGCTTGATGAGCTGATCGGGCTTTGCGACAAACTTGGAACCAGACTGGAGCAACCAGGGGTACTTGACCTCGGCCTCGTCAAGAATGTCCTTGGGGGAAGCATCTGCGGCGAAGTAGAGGGAGCAGAGCTTGGCGTGAGGGTTGTGGTTGGCGGCAGGAGGGAGAGGGGTAGGCTTGATGACGGGAGCTCTGGTAAGGTGGTAGTTGAGGATGGCCTTGCCATCGGCTTCGAGGATCGACTTTGCGGACATGACTGCGAAGGAACTGATGAGGAAAAGTGAGCAACAAGAAACAACACAACTGGTCGACGAGTCGAAACGAGAGTGCAGACAGGAGCAGAGAAAGAGCAAAGACGAGAAGAGTGAGGCAAGAGAGGAAGGTGAAGCAAGAGGAGGGAAGTGGTGAAGAGCTAGGAGCAACAAGAATGCACTGGGGAATGGCTTGCGGCAACAAGTCGTGTGCTTTCGGCTCAACAAGAGTTGGGAGATACAGGAACCGCGCACGGAAGTGATATGCGAGACATCGACTATGAGACTTGCAAAAGTCCGACGGGCAATGTGTCGACGAATCACCGTCGTGGGCGGAGAGCCAATTTTGGGTACACAAGCAGGATGCTGATTCTGGAGCTTGGTGGACGCTTACCTGGTGGGATTGGGAACTCGAGGATTGAAAAGTCCGAAGAGGTGGGTATCACACAATCAAGGAGACGCCAATTGGATGTGGAAAGAGAGGGGAGAGACAGCAAAGAAGGTGTCGGAGACTTGATGGATTCGGGAGAGCACTCTTGAGGGGAGCTGTGGATGAGATCGAGGAGAATATTGTCGGGTCTTGGCTCCAGGTGGCCGCAGAAGGGTGCAGACGGTGAGCTCTCGCTAGCGTCGGCGGGGCGAGTTAGCGCTGCCGTTAGGTCGACAAAAAACGCCGATCCCGCAACGCAAAAGGGCTGGGATTAGTGGTGAGTGGGCTGATTATGCTAATAATGCTAATTTTATACAGGGGTTTTGTGGAGAGAGCTCCAGCACACGCCGCCAAAATGGAACAAAGAGGACACGTCGAACACGCAAGAGGCACGGAAACATGCAGCGTGGTGCAGCAGCCGTGACTCGGCCCGGAGGAGTGTTATCACCATTCAACCACCTGCTGACGCTCACTCAGCGCTTTCTGGCGGGCTATCATCTGTGATTACAACGAGGACTTCGAAATGTTGGACGTCTCACCAACAATCACCGCAAGCCATACCCAGTCCAGCAAGCAGATGAAGGGGGAAATTGATGATGGTACGATTTCGAAAAGTCACGGCCGGACTCGGGAAGTGAGAGGAGAGCCGTGCACTTCGTCGGGGAATTTTTAACCCACACAAACCCAGAAAACGCAACGGGTCCGCCAAAAAAACCACCGGCGACCGGAGCACGCTAATCTCACCTCGGACTTTTGGCCCTGGGTGCTGCGGTTGAAGCCTCAGCAAAGCGCCGTGCGACAAGTCGAACAATATTGCTTGTCTCCAAGTCTCTCTTGCACCTCCCTGAACCTGCCCTCTCCGACCTGCTCATCTCCTTTGGTCATTCATCTTCTGCTGCTCGTCCGTTTCCTCCTCCTCCCTCCTTCCTCTTGTTGTCGCTTTTGATATAACTGTAAGTGAGCTCTGTTTTATTATTGCACGAGGCCGAGTCAGCTTCGGCAAGCTTTGCAAACCCCATCTCTCACCTCAGCGCGCTTCCAATCGTCTTGCCCCTGCACACCTACAGCTCCATCCTTGCACAGCATTGATATAGCGCCGCATCTGCAGCAACTGCCCAGTCTTGAAGCTGTTTGCTTGCTCACGTGTCTCTTTGTCCGTTCCTTCCTCCAACTCCCCACCGCTCCTTCCTCTACAGCTCATCGATCGCGAACGACCTTACTGACATTATCTTCCTCGCAGCTTCACAATGGTTTCCGCAACCACATCCACCCCGGCAGCTGCCTCGACTTCGCAGTCAAACGGCACCAGCCAGCCCAACGACAACATCACTCGCTTCTCTGCGCCCAGCAGAGCATTGAGCCCTACCCCCACCCACCAGCTCTTCCACCCCAAGACGAGATGTTTCGTCTACGGTCTGCAGCCCAAGGCCGTCCAGGGCATGCTCGACTTTGACTTCATCTGCAAGAGAAAGGTTCCCTCGGTCGCCGGTATCATCTACACTTTCGGTGGTCAGTTCGTCAGCAAGATGTACTGGGGCACCAGCGAGACTCTTCTCCCTGTCTACCAGAGCACCGACAAGGCTGTCGCCAAGCACAGCGAGGTTGACACTGTTGTCAACTTTGCCTCGTCGCGTTCCGTCTTCCAGAGCACCATGGAGCTCATGGAGTACCCTCAAATCAAGACTATCGCCATCATCGCTGAGGGTGTCCCCGAGAGAGTGAGTTTTGGAATTTCCAAACTAGCAATCGCAGCAGACAACTAACCAAACCACAGCGCGCTCGTGAGATCCTCCACGTCGCCGCCAAGAAGGGCGTCACCATCATTGGTCCCGCCACTGTCGGTGGTATCAAGCCTGGTGCTTTCAAGATCGGTAACACTGGTGGTATGATGGACAACATTGTTGCCTCCAAGCTGTACCGCTCTGGTGCCGTTTCCTACGTCTCCAAGTCCGGTGGTATGTCCAACGAGCTCAACAACATCATTGAGCAGACTACCAACGGTGTCTGTGAGGGTGTTGCCATTGGCGGTGACAGATACCCCGGTACCACTTTCATTGACCACTTGCTCCGTTACGAGCAGGACCCCAACGCCAAGATCCTCCTACTTCTCGGTGAGGTCGGTGGTGTTGAGGAGTACCGTGTCATTGAGGCCGTCAAGGCTGGTAAGATCACCAAGCCCATTGTTGCCTGGGCCATTGGTACCGTCGCCAGTATGCTCAAGACCGAGGTCCAGTTCGGTCACGCTGGTTCGTTCGCCAACTCTCAGCTCGAGACTGCTGCCATGAAGAACAAGTCGATGAAGGATGCCGGTTTCTACGTTCCCGACACCTTCGAGGACCTCCCCAAGGTTCTTGCCGACCTTTACCAGAAGCTCACCGCCGACGGCACCATCAAGGTCCAGTCCGAGCCCGCCGTCCCTAAGATCCCCATTGACTACTCATGGGCCCAGGAGCTCGGTCTCATCCGTAAGCCCGCTGCCTTCATCTCCACCATCTCCGACGACCGTGGTCAGGAGCTTCTCTACGCCGGTATGCCCATTTCCGACGTCTTCAAAGAGAACATTGGTATCGGTGGTGTCATGTCTCTTCTGTGGTTCCGTCGCCGTCTCCCCGACTACGCCAGCAAGTTCCTCGAGATGGTTCTCATGCTTACTGCCGATCACGGTCCCGCCGTTTCCGGTGCTATGAACACCATCATCACCACCCGTGCCGGCAAGGATCTTATCTCCTCGCTCGTCGCTGGTCTTTTGACCATCGGTTCTCGTTTCGGTGGTGCCCTCGACGGTGCCGCTGAGGAGTTCACCAAGGCCTTCGACAAGGGTCTTTCTCCCCGTGACTTTGTCGACACGATGCGCAAGGAGAACAAGCTCATTCCCGGTATTGGTCACCGTGTCAAGTCGCGCAACAACCCCGATCTCCGTGTCTCGCTCGTCAAGGAGTACGTCAAGGCCAACTTCCCCCGCACTCCCCTCCTCGACTACGCTCTGGCCGTCGAGTCCGTCACCACTTCCAAGAAGGACAACCTGATTCTCAACGTTGACGGTGCCGTTGCTGTCGCCTTCGTCGACCTTGTCCGCAACTGCGGTGCTTTCACCAACGAGGAGGGTGAGGACTACCTCAAGATGGGTGTCCTCAACGGTCTGTTCGTCCTCGGTCGTTCGATCGGTCTCATTGCCCATTTCCTCGACCAGAAGAGACTGCGCACTGGTCTCTACCGTCACCCCTGGGTAAGTTTTGATCTACATCTGCATCTTCTAAACCCAGCACTAACAAATTCTCCAGGACGACATCACCTACCTCCTCCCCAGCCTCAGCGGCGGCGCCCCCGGAAACGAGGGCCGTGTCGAGGTCTCTGTTTGAAAAGATTAAAACAAAAATGATACCAAAGAGAAGGGAATACAACAGTTGGGATATGTGGAGCTTTTTTCTTTCTTTCTTCTTTTTTCACAGACTGGGTTATGTCTTTTCTTCTTCTTTCGCATGGACAGGGGAGTTCTTGTGTTAATGCCTCCCATCGACCCCAACCCAACCCAACCCAACCAATATAATGATCATCAACGTTCAAAGCGTCTTCTACATCTACCTTCTTTTTTTTCCTCACATGCTCTTTCGTGTCGCTCTTGGAGGGCGTAGGCGTAGGAATACCTTGGTGAATTTGTTTGTTGCGTCACGAATCCCAGCTCCGGTCCCAAAAATATCTCCTGCCGGATGTCGAACGCCACAACCGGAGTCCGAAATCTATTCCGCATATCCAATAATATGCTCGGCGTATATTCACACTGGTGAATTGTTCAGAATTGATAAATCGGGCATCCGCTACGATTGGGCGTCTCATGAAGTTTCGTTCACGCTCATGGAGTGAAACCAGCGAAATCACAAAAGTGAACAGAAGGATTTTTACAATTACCGACTATCGTTCACACCCATATCCCACCTTCTGTCTATGTATATCATGCTCTCCACTCTAACTGTATTCAAGACCATCCACGACGCGTTTAGAAGGGTCTATAGGAAGCTGAAGAGACTCGATCAACGTATCAAGCGTCTTGAGACGCCGAACGGCATTACAAGTATGTCTCTTTCCCATTGAGTCAGGTGGGTACACGACTGCATCTAGTCTTCTACAATTATTTCATCGAGTTTGATATGGCTACCTGATACATGGCAAGATGTCGACCTGTCAATAAGGACGAAAATAGGAAAGGCTCAAGAGATGAAGGAAGATGTTGACCTAACCGTGATTGACGAAACCATGAGTTAGAAAAGTCAACATTGCAAGAAAGGTCTTAAGTCGGTTTCGCAATTGATTGTGTCAAATGAAACTGCATTTTCTCACACATCTCCAAACACGAAATTGGGGGCGTAGATGGCGAAATTAGGTTTCGTAATGAACAGCGCATTCTTAAGAGGAGATTTGGGTACTTGTTGTAACATTTTGACAACCATTTTGACTGTTTCAAAGTAGATTTGGATGTTTGGTAGAATATGTAGCTACTTAGTATCTGGTCGTTATCTCAATACACAGAAGACTACAAACAAGTGTGAGTACAGGATAGAACGGGATCAAAGGGGTACGTTCTACCTAGCAAGCATGTCACGTGCGATGGTACAATAAAACAATCTCGCCATTTCTGAGCAATCGAAAAGTGGTATTTGGGTATCTCTACTTACGTTCAAGCAGCATGGATTAAGGACGGAACAAGCTTGTCTCGAGATGCTCAAGCATCAGGGTCGTCGGAGACCTCGTTGTCGACTGCGCGGTAGCGTCTGCTTCTAAGGGCGACGTCGTTGATAGTGGCCTCAGGGGCAGCAGTCTTGAGCTTCTTGGCAGGAGGAGTCGGAGCAGAGATGACCGGATCGGTAGCATCGACGGCGTTGGTGGTAGTAGCTACACGGTACATTAGAGACTGCAGGGATGGAAGGAGGCACGAAAATACTTACCCTTACGCTTAGAACGATTGACGGAGGAATACTCCTTACGAGGCATAAGCTCACAAGGGATGTCCTTCTCGCGGCAACGGCTGCAGATCCTGCTGCCGGCGGTCTTCTCGCAGTGGACCTGGAGTTTGGTGCAGGCTTGACAAGTCTTGTTGTACTTGGTCGTAGTGGATCCGTCAGACTGGACGGGAGTGAGGGCAGCGGCTATGCGTTACTTCATTAGATGATGCGATAGTAGTGTAACAAGGATGGAAGACTTACACTCAGGAGTAGAGGCAGTAGCTGTGTTGGCAGGTTCGTCGAGACCCTCGTCGTCTTGCTTCTCATCCTTGTCTCCATGCTCCTCCATGAGAGCAGCGGTAGAGGTAGTGACAGAAGGAGCAGCAGCAGCAGCGGCGGCGGCGGCGGTACGATGACCATAGCCGTTGGGGGCAGCAACAGCAGCCTTCATCTTTCCCAGGAGGTGGCCGAACTGAACTTTGGCAGCATTTCTCTCCATGCCGATACCCTCAGCAAGGCGGCCCCACTTCATCTACAAGATTAAAGAGGTCAGAAGATGATCAATTGCGAATAGGAGGGTCAGATAACGACTCACCTTGACAGTTCCATCGTACTCGAAGAAGGCACGAAGGAGCTCAGTCTGGCGGTCGGTGAGTTTGATGGTAGTAGGCATTGTTGGCGAATCCGCGACGGGTATATTGACAGAAGAGAAGAGATGCAGATCTTGTTTTATAAAAAGTCGACGCGCGCGCAGAGCCCAATAGTACCGCGGTGTGAAAGTTCCAATTGTCCGCGGTTGCTAGGACTGGAAAGACAACCGCGCCATCACTCTGATTGGACAGTAAACGACTCTGCATGTGTTGGTAATGGAAGATTCGCGGCATACAAGTTGAGCAGTTACTGGAACGACCTGGGAGATGATTCATGATGCTGAAATCTCGTGAGCGGAATCTTAGAGAAGTCGCATTGGCACTAGTTTCTGCTCCTTCTTTTGAACAAAACAGCCATTGAGACTGGAAAGGTCTCTGATGACTGAAACATGACCAGCGAGAGCGAAACATTCTCAATCTCTTCCTAAAACTCTTCACGAACAAATGTCTCGTGAGATGTCTTGATAGTTGAGCTTGATTGGTTTCGAAGATTCTAGAGAAATGTATTCCTGATTTCATGCAAAGCTCGTCGTGCAGTCATCGGAATGAAATGTAACATGACTTCCAATATCACAATCGTCTTCGTCGAAAGTCAACCTCACTCATGCTCTCTTTGGACATACACAATAACCGTGAAATCAACCTGCATTCTGACAGACCAATTTGAACGGTATTCAGGTAGCTGAGATGAGAACCGCATTTGTTGTAGCTTCTCTTGCTTGATCAACTCTCTTTGGGTATGCACACATACCTGAAAAACATCTTGCAATTTGACAAATTTACTGATGAGCGACTCGGTGGTCGGGATAGCGTCCTGTTCTAGTATGGTTAGCAAAGTCTACGCACTCTCACTGGACCCTCTTTCGTACCTCGAAAGCATCTTGCCTGATGATATGCGATACCAACGAGCAGCTGTGCGCCCGAGATAGCGCTTGGTATCTGGTGTCAGTGGTACTCAATTACTCTCTTTGGACATTCGCACGAATTCGAAAAGCATCCTGCCTTTTTAATGTTTTGTTTAAGGGGTTGCCAGGCCACTGAGAATGGTAACAGCTTCCAGCGGTGTTTGACTCTCTTTGGACATTTGTTCGTACCCGAATAGTATCTTGCATTTTGATGAATGTATTGATCGATCAGGCTGCTGGGAATGATAAGATTAGCAACTCATTTGGGGGTTCTCACTGGACAGTTGTTCGTACCTCAAAAGCATCCTGCATTTGGACCGCTAGATCAACAAGCAACAAGCAGGGGGTGGGGAGTGATACGATTAGTAGCATTCTAACGCTCTCACTGGACGTTTGCACATACCTGAAAAGCATCTTGCATTTTGACGAATAAAATCAACGAGCAGCTGGGCGGCCGAGATGGTGCACACTCGGTGCATGTTCACGCGTACTGTCACTGTAAGAAGGTCTCACATATCACATAAGAGGTGGACGCAGTGTTCGGGGTATCAAGCAGTGGTATTTAGCTGCTCAAGGCAGCGAGGAGAGCGCAGGGTGCTAAGACGCCTAAGCGTCTGGGTCGTTGGTGACCTTGGTCGACTTGGCCATCTTGACCTTGATGGTCTTGGCCTCGTCCTTCTTGACCTCGGGCTTCTTGGCCTTGATCTTCTGGGCGTTAGCCCTCTTGGCCTTGGGGGCGGTGGTGGTGGTGGTGGCGGCTATAGGCATATAGTTAGTATACAGAGCCTGATATAGTGGTCTAGAGATCTTACCCTTGCGCTTAGCAGCGCGAGGCGCGGCAGCAGGAGCCACCGGGGCGATGGGAGGTGCGGCCGGGGGAGGTGCGGCGGCAGCGACGGCCGGAGAGTTGGTGGCCTCGGTGGCCTTCTTCAGGAAGCGGACAAAAGTGTCCTTTCCGGACCTCTCGGTCTGCAGACCGAGGCTGGTCGTGACGGCAGGCCAGTCGATCTAATAGGGTACGTAAGTTAGATGACAGTCTACAAGGAAAGGGGTATAGGGTAGGCTTACGGCGCCGTGCTGGAGGACGGCACGGAGGTTTCTGACCTCGGCAGGGGTGATGTTGATGGAAGGCATTTTTTGAAGGCCTTTTTGGTGGTTGTTGGTAAGGATATGTGATTTTTTTGACGATCTTGATGGAATGAATCGTTACGCGCAAAGGAGAAAGAGCAATTCGCGGTGAAAACGTCTATTCAGTGCCTAGCGTCAAACACCCAATGAGGCGTTGCGCTGATTGGATGCAGCAGCGGGATGTTAAGTGATGAGTGTGCCGGTTGCGGCATCAACCATTGACTGGGGGAGGTCATGATCCAGGAAGATAGTCTCTGGTCTTCTGTTGAGACAGTAAAGCAGATACTCGTGCTACCCAGGCCACCACTGCCATTGATAGTGCTGCTTGAGGTTCAACGTACAGGTGAGTGTCCCCCGACCGAACAGTGGCTGCTCATAGCTGACAATGTCTTCCAGACGGCCTCCTGCGCCTTCTCATACCGCCACCTTGCTCCTCTAGCAACAAGAGACGGCATACAATCGATTGACCGGCAACGAGCTCGCAGACACCACGAACTATACTCCCGGTAGCGTATAGCGTACTCGAAAGCATTGCACCACGCCAGAAGGCTTGTTCTTGTATTCGAAGGAGTCCGCCGAGCAATTCGACGTTCCTGCCCGTCGATGGCCTGACATCAGCAGACGGCATGGTCTCCTGAGCAAGAGTATATTTGGCATCCACTGGTGAGGATCTCATGATGAGCAGCTCGACATAGCTACTCGCTGATGAGTCCGGCATCAGGAGACGACATAAGCGCTGCTGAGGGAGATCATGCAAGGCTCTCATGCCGAGCAGCTCAGTACTACTGTCCATCGATGTACCCGAAGTCAGCAGACAGCATGGTTGCTCTGTGAGGGGCCCGACGAGAGCACACTGTAAGTTTGTTCCTGAGTAAGATCATGTCGAGCATATGCTGGAGAAAGCTTCATGACGAACAGCTCAACACAGCTGCCCGTTGACGGACCCGGCGGCAACCGACTTCAGCATTACGGCTGAGAGAAAGCACGATAAGACCTTCTGAGTGTAGCCCCAGGACGAGCAGCTTGACCCTACTACGCGTGGGTAGACCCGGCGGCACAGACTGCAGCATTACGGCTGAGAAACAGCACGATGAGAACCTTCTGGCAGGGTCCCGATAGCGAGCGTACATGGCCAGCATCTTTCATGGCGTTAAGCCTTGCAGATTCCAGTGGAAGAGGTGGAGTATTGGCGGCTGGTATGGTCCTGAAGGAACTATCCTGGAAGAGCCAACGGCATGGCAGGTGCTTCAGGCGTTGCTGCCCCTGCTGCAGGCGCCGACAGCGATGTTGAGAGGCGCACTGGGCGAGAAGGTGATTTCCAGTGACCAGGAATATGTTTTGATACACGCTTCGAAAATGGTCTTGGTGGCATGCAGTTTGCTACCAGGGGAGAGGTTTGTTGATTGACCAGCGGTAGTGGGCCGCCCGAGTTGTGCCGAAGTTCATCCGGCCGCAGAAAAGCTCATATCGGGCTGACTTGCAGGATGGCTCTTGGTCTGTCTGCCTCGTGGGTTTGGAGATGCATGGTATACTCCATCTGGTGTCTCGCTCATGCAGCTTGCTTCCAGATACTGGAATCCTTGAAGTCCTGGACAAGCATCGGAACACTCAAAGTGGTCTGGTGTGGTACTTGCTTCTGGCTACGAAGATCAAGGGATCCAAAGAATACTTGCAGGGACACCGGCAAATAGCATCACCATGCAAGGCATGTCTTGCAGACATCCGAGACCAGAAGAACGTGTTTGAAGAGCTGGTGTGCTTGCTTCTTGACAAGATACAGAAGGAAAATGAAAACTGGTGATGAACATCACAGCTGCCATGGGCAGAGTACAAAGGTCAAGAGCCAACAGTACAGCATGATAGATACAGAGACACAGGAAACATATGGAAGCATAGATCTGAGGACAGGATGTTTGAAGAGTGTGATGTGTTGAAAGCTCGAGTAGTCTTGAGATATCGCATGTGCTTGATGATCGAGGCAGACCAAGTAGACAGCAATAACACTTAGAGCAGCATCAAGCATACATAGTCGTCATATTTATAAAAGGGTTGGGCGTGTGAAAGAATAGGTGTTGTTGGTACACATTTTTCAGGGGATGCAGAAAATTTCTTCTTCAAAGCCCGGCCATAGGCCAGGAAAACAGTTGATGAAAAAAAAGAAAAGGGCCTGTCAGAAGCCTGCCAATGCCTACCCAGTCAAGCCGACCGAAGCCAGACGCTCAAAAGGGTCGAGATCATCACCATCGAGGCCGGAGCCAAGATACTAGGTATCACTCTAAGGCATCGGAGGTATATCTCATCCGCCAGGTTGGAGTTCTGTGGCTCTTTTGAAGAGTTCAGATAAGAAGACTAACTAAATGAAAAAGATTCTATCTTGAAGGGGGTTAGCAGGATGCTCGATGAATAATGGTAGAACACCAAGGGGGTGGTGGAACATACGAAGTAAAGTCGACTAAAGAGATTAGGAGGAGGGCGAGGGAGCACGCTGTTTTATAGAACTCGCAGCGGCCTGTGCACGCAGAGCATTTGCACTGTTTGACTGACAGAGTTTTTCGGATTGTCAAGGTGGTACTGAAAATATGCTGTGATGAGATATACGCATTTGGGGTGAAGTCTGGGGATACGACTTGTGATTTTGAGACCACTTTTCGCCCGTGTCTCCCACCTCTTGCTCTGCCCTTAAACAAAGTATATTCTCCTTTTAATGAAGTGTCAACTGAGACTTTGAGTATCATACGGAAGATTGGAAACAATGTCGACTTAGAAACGCAGGAAATTACGCCTGGCTCACATTCCTGATCTTACCTCAATCTACTCAGTCCTCATACACACATCTCAAAGAGCTGACTGTATCCTCCCTAGATTGGACTCTGTGGCTTTCGGCCTGCAGAAATGCACAATGTCTCTGAAGTTCTTGCATACCTCCGCAGAGAAGCGCTGATCGAGACGCTCTCACTGTATGCACGTAGTTAGTCGTTTGTGCCATGGACCTACAAGTCACGACATTCCAGGGCTATCGATTTTCCAGATGAATAAAATGTCAACACTCGAAACCAAATAGTGGATAGACTCCCCTCAACGTCTACCTCCGTACAGTCATTACCAGTCTTGTCGAACATATCGCTCTGTAAACGAAGCCCAGTTACTGTTGCCGTGATCTCAATGAGCACTTTGAGGCGTGAGCAAGGGCAGATATACATACACAGCGGAATATTCTTGTCGTCTCCCATCAGTCAAGCTCCCTCAACGCTTGGAAGAAAAACAAGCTCGAGGAACAGCAGAGTCAAAGTAAATTATGCAATGGTTCGAAGCAGATGCTAAAAGCGAAATAGCTGGTACGAAAGTGTTCGCAGCCATCATTCAGATAACTGCTTCGCCAAAGCCACATCTTCCTCGGCGATAACCAGCTCCTCCCGACGACATCTGAGCTCCTCACTGCTAGCTGCAACCCGTGCTGTTGCTTCCTCAACTTCCCTCATAAGTCTCCTTTCCTCCTTGTAAAAGTCACAAGAAAGGCATGAAATGTAATGAAAATCACTGAAGCTGAATTTGCGCCTTGGAAAAGCAAATGAAGAAGTTATGGCCGCATAATTCACTTCCCTCTTGATGTCCGGACCTCTACTGTACTTACGAGGCAATGCACATAGGTTTTGACCCGGTATCTCATTCGGCGAGAGAGCATCAGAGAGTCGCTCTTGAAGACAGTACGACCTTTCTCGAGGATATCGCGCATTCTGACATATACAAAATCCCGCTCATGGTTGTAGGAAGCAGTAGAAGTGAGTAGAATATAACAGGACATTTTCTCATATCTACCTCTAAACACCGGTATACAACTTTTACTTGATCAAGATCAATTTAACCCTTGATGATCTCACCAGGACCACTGCTGGCCTTGCCCTCCATCTCGAGCTGGACTTCCTCACGGACAATCTCTCTGACGTCCTGCCAGCCAGCACCGTTCTTGACGATGGTGACACGGCGAGGCTGTTGCTCGAGACCGACGAATTGCTCGGGCTGAACAGCCTCGAAGCTGAAACCTTCTTGCTTGCCCAGTGCTGTCTCAACAGCAGATGAGAACTTGGCGGGGTGCGCAGTGGCAAGAGCGATGTGGTGGGCGTTGGGCGAGCGCTGGATGGAGCGCAGGGAGGCGGCGATACCAATGGCACTGTGGGGGTCAAGGATGTACTTGCCCTGGTGGACGGTACCCTGTGTAGCGTAGGCGCCGCTGTTCTCGCCAACAGGAGTCATACCATTGCCTGAAGCGTAGGTCTCAGTGATCTGGTCAAGAGTCTGCTTGTCAGAAACACGCTCAGACTCGAAGTCCTCATGTGCGGCATCCAAGATGGCCTTCTCGACTCCGAAGCCGCCGTCGGTCTTGAGTGCTTGCAGCCAAGTCTTGACTTGCTCACCAGCAGCCTTGCGACGCTCGGTAACATTGTCGCTGCCGTGAGTGCGGTAGGACAGGTACCACAGCAGACGCTCGAAGTTGCTGCTGACCAAGATATCCATGGCAGGTGCCAGTGTCTCCTTAACGCCATCGAGATGGGCCTTTGCTCCATCGTGTTCGAAACCACCCTCTGCCTCACGTCCATGGACAGGCTTCTTCTCGTAGTGACCACTGCGCCAGAAACGGTGCAGAATGTCGTTCTCATTTGTGGCGATGACGAGCTTCTCAGCGGGCAGACCCATGCGCTTAGCGAAGTAGCCGGCGAGGATATCACCGAAGTTGCCGGTAGGGACGACGAAGCGGACTTGGGGGTTCTCGGTATCGAGCGAGCGGGCAAGGGTGAAGTATGATTGGAAGTAGTAGGTGATTTGTGCGAGGATACGAGCCCAGTTGATGGAGTTGACGGCTGCGAGGCGGTGGGTGCTGTTCATGTCGGCATCACCGAAGAGAGCCTTGACAAAGTCCTAGAAGAACATCAGTATTGAGTTAGAAGGTCTGAATAGGATGTACACACCTGGCAGTCATCGAAAGTGCCATCGACGGCCAAGTTGTGAACGTTGGCATCAAGAACAGTCGTCATCTGTGCCTCCTGTACAGGGCTGACCTTGCCCTTGGGGTGCATGATGAAGACCGAGACGTCCTTCTTGCCGCGCAGACCGTAGATGGCAGCAGAGCCAGTGTCACCACTGGTAGCGCCAACGACGGTCAAATGTTGTCTGTCGGTGCCCTCCTTGCCCTTGTTCATGCGCACAAGGAAGTACTCGAACAGGTTGCCAACAAATTGCAGAGCGACATCCTTGAATGCAAATGTAGGTCCGTGGAACAGCTCCATCAAGTGGAGGTTCTTGCTCTTGTCAAGAGTCACAACGGGGGTGACATCTTTGGCGCGGAATGTCGCGTAACTGCGATGGATGATGTCCTTGAGATCGTCTGAGGGAATTTCGCTTTTGGAGATGTACAGGCTGAAGATCTCAAATGCGAGCTCTTGGAACGAGAGGTTGCGCCATTTTGATTGCCAGTCTGAGGGCAGAGCGGGAACTTCTTCAGGGATGAACAGACCACCGTCTGCTGCAAGACCCTTGAGCACGACGTCTTCGAACGACAGCTAAAACCAGCTTCTTCTCAGTTGGAGACTTGTCGTGGGGGAGTGTAGTGTATTCATACGTCGTAAGAGCCTCCTCTGGTGCTCAGGTAGCGTTGCGATGCGGTATGCGATGCCATCTTGATGGATTTTCTCTTCGTCTGTGTCGCTCGATTGTTCTTCTCCTTTCTCCCTTGCTCTTCTGTATAATCGTGATTCGTGATGGTATATTTGTGAATGAGTCACGCAATGTTAGGAAACATTCAACCAAGTCGCTAGAGCCGTTCAATTGCTGACCCCTCGGTCTAACTTCTTGATTCTGGCCAGAGCGTCATCCCCACCAAAAACTGAGCGAAGTCGGAGGTGCTGAATTTCAACATTGTCCGACCACGCTGTAAGACAGGACTACAACATATCATCGTATATCAGCGAAGGTAAGTTAGGCATGTACATACAGCCATAAAGATGCAAGAAATCTCATCAAAGTCAGGCTGTGTAGAAACACTTAGAAGAGTGAAGCTTTCATCAAACGACACCTTTGTGCATTTCGATCATTGACGAAATTTTCGTTGCTTGGGGTCACCCTGTCAGTACCTCTCTTCTTCGTCTCGAGAATTCCTTTGGAACGGTACACTTCTGATGTTGCTTTCCATAAATTTTCAGTATCGACAGTGAACTGCTGCGTCTTCTCTGCTTCTACAGATGTCCTATAACGCGACATTGATTGTCATGGTCCTTGAAAACAAGTGTTTGACGGTTTGTGTGCGTTTGGCATCCATTTCATGGACAAGTCACATCATTTATCGCAAAATCGACATAGAGGCAGTTCCACCAAATATCATGGTACTGTGATCAAGAAGGAGATACTTGGAAGTGTACAGTATCTACAGGACCATATATAAGACTGAAAAAATCTGTCGTTGTTGCACAATGGCACTGTCGATGCTAAAAATGCTGGTTATGGGCATCACCCTGGCTGATGGAGCTCAGTGTTGAGAACGTCGCGTTCATCCTGATGGACAGCGACATGATGTTGATCATGATATCGTGTCGACATGATCCTCCAAGCATGCAGTCGCATGCGAATGTCATCTCTGCAGCGGTCATATCTTAGTGATGTATATGTGTCAAAATACACAAGCCTTTTCAGATACTCAAATTCGCCCCTGAGAGCAGCGACTTGAGACGCTCTTAATGGATAGTTTCTCGACGCAAAAAGTCTTGTGTATTGCAGCAGCATTGGTGGCTTCGCTGGCGGTTGGGATGGAACATGATTAGGGTCTGCAGCTTGCGAGATCATGATACAGTTATGATAGCCATGACGCTCATCATGCTAAAGACAGAAGGAGACACCAAAATCATGTTCTAACAGGATTCTGACGCTGCTGCGGTATTTTCAAGGGACGTGTTGATACCCACCACAGTGATAGGTCTCTAAGATGTCTCTTACTACGAACACGCGTCTTCGTGGCGAGCGCTTCATCACCCAGCCGTCGCTGCCGACTTCGACCCACGAATGGTTCGTGTTCCTGCTGATTTCTTGGAAAAGAGCTTGGTTAAAGCTTAAATTCCAGCCAGTGCTGGCTGCTGGCGCGGCCGGAGATGCCGTTTTGCGGGGGGTCATGATGACTTCATACTTTCAGACATGTGGAATAAACCAACAAAACGCTGAGGACGCCGGCTTGTTTGTCAATTCCTTTTTCCTTATTCAATTCTGATTTTGTCCATATCTATATAGACAAATCACAACTTCACAATGTCGCACGATACCAAGGTTCAGCAGCATGGAGAGAACCATGACATCCCCAAGGAACACCACGTCTCCAGGTAATTTCCAGCCATTGAACTCGTCAGAAGGTCCAATGCTAACAACACTGCAGACCCGGAGCTTGGTTGCCTTCAGACCACCGCACACACCACGAGTGGCTCGGCGAGCAGGTAGATAACGCCAAGAAGAACCAGAAGCCTTTGATCCCTGTCCTTCAAGAGTTCAAGGAGTTCATCGAGGGTACTCCCAGAGTCTACATGTACTTCACCGCCATGTTCGAAGAAGTTCCCTACAAGCACGTCTACAAGAGAGATCCCACCGGCCGCAAGCAGATCCGCGATTACAAGCACATGCTGGAGGTCTTGAACCACGTCTTTGGTTCTGCACCTGTCTGGACCGACTCTGCACAAGCTGTCGGTATGGTCGGTGTTCCCATGTGCGCCATCTTGGACTATCCCATGTCCACTCCTTCCGGTCACGCCGCATTCCTCGACCCCGAGGTCAACAAGATGATCAAGAAGGTCCTCAACGAGTGGGGCAAGTTCTTGCAGAGCCCCGAGTCTGCCGGCGTCCTTCACGAGGGCAAGACCGGTTGGTTCGGCGAGACTGGAGCTTCCGACATGATGGCTGTTGCCAACGCTCCTTACAAGACCAACCACAAGTTCGAGGACTTCTTCGTCTGTGACACCAGCAAGAAGCATTACGGCTACACCTCATGGGACAATTTCTTCACCAGAAACTTCAAGGAAGAGGTCCGTCCTGTTGAGAACCCCGACGATGACAGCGTCATCAACAACGCCTGTGAGAGCAAGGTCTTCCAGGTTCAGGAGAAGGCCAAGCTCAGAGACAAGTTCTGGATCAAGGGCCAGCCCTACAGTATCACCGATATGCTTGCCAACGACCCCTTGTCAAAGGAGTTCGCAGACTGCACTGTCTACCAGGCCTTCCTGTCCGCTCTGTCTTACCACCGCTGGCACTCGCCCGTCAGCGGAACCATCAAGAAGGCTTTCGTCCAAGATGGTACCTACTTCAGTGAGCCCTTGTTCGAGGGTCTCGGTGACCCCAACACCAAGGAGATTGATGCCCATGGTATCTCAACTGGTCAAGGTTACTTGAGTGCTCTTGCCACAAGAGCCATCATCTTCATCGAGGCCGACAACCCCGCCATTGGCTTGATGGCCTTCATCGGTATCGGTATGGACGAAGTCTCAACTTGCGAGATCACCGTCAAGGAGGGTCAGCACGTCAAGAAGGGTGAGCAGACCGGTATGTTCCATTTCGGTGGTTCGTCTCACTGTCTGTTGTTCCGCAACGGTGTCAAGGTCACTGGCTTCCCTCAGCCTGGTAGAGCCGAGAACGTTCCCGTTCGCAGCAAGCTCGCTACCGTCTCCAACTAGATTAACCAAAAAGTCATGACCACAGTAATGTAACGAGTAATGGATACCTTTTCAATGTCAACATAGATTCTTTGTACTATGAATATCGTACATGTCTCCTCCCCATGTGCACAGTTTGGTCACCTTGATCACCTTCCCACAATCAATCATCGAGCCACCAAAGCTGTAGAAATGCTTGAAGCTTTTGATTTAGTATAGTCGTCCAAAGAGATCAATCATACAGAAGACTTTCACTGGATACGACTCTGGTTTAGAGTTGTTGTGCAGTTCGACACTGAGTGGCAGTCCACGTGACTTAGGCCGTGAGCTTCATTTCCATCGTGGTCGACCCTTCCATCACTTAACAACATCGTCCCAAATATGACAGCATCAACACCGACGACGTAGATATCCTCCGCATGGATGCGCCAATCATACAAAAGTATACGGATGGCCTTCGTTGCCAATTTTGGATTCCGGCAGCAAACTCGTGACGACGTCTCAACACTCCCGCTCTCCCGATTCAACATCGAGTATGCTCACGCGACAGAGCCCTCGCATACAGACTGGCAACCGCTGAAGCAGATATCGCACACGGATAGGGAAAGAGATAAAGAAAGACAGACTAGGGATACTTAGGGGCATGCCGTCGCTCTTACTCTACGCGTCCCTAGCGCCTGCCTTTATACAGTACAGTCTGACGAACCTTTGGATGGCATGCACCGTGGAAGCTGGCGAGAGTCATTTCATATCATACTGGTTTGATACGCGGTCTAGCGTTCAGACCTGGAACTAAATGGTTCGTGTTAGGGGCTGCGGACGGCGAATCAATTCTGGACCCAGCGAGCAAACTTCCAGACTTCGTCCTTGCGGACGGATATTGTAGATGAAGCTGACAGGAGCGAACCCCGAAACGTAGGTCATGCTCATAAGATGTTTAGAGCCTCACGCGTTAGATGACGGCCAAGTCCAGCGATGTTGGCCAAGAATGTTGGTGGGGGGAAGATCAGCAGCCAAGCGACTTCTATACGAATCTGACTTGTAAGTACAATCAAAGGATTCTGATAAGCAAGGTATGTGGAAAAGTCTGAAGAGTTCTGGAGATGAAGACTCCGGAGAAGGCTTCTTGCGGGAGGATTCAGGTACGCCGAAATCATCTCTGCCTTGCATCAGCCTCACTTGGCACCCTCTTATATGCACTCGCTGCAGTGCCAAGGAGCTATTTATGGGTTGCAATCCATCTGGTGTCCGCTCGACACCATATCCTCATCCATAGAGCTGCTTCGCTCGAGCATGCTGTGTTGTTAATATGCTTGGCATGTGTTTGAGATGATGCTTCCGCAAGACCGAGTCCCTCTGATCCTCGCAACATAGCCTTCTCACACTGTGTTCCTGCAATTGCTAACCTTCGAATACTGACCAAGCGACTTGGAAACCAACAACATTTCTTCCTTCAATGCTGATACTCAGCCTCCAGGATCAGCTATACTCGTCTGCGAGATGTCGAGTCTGTGATGAAGTGCTAGCTCGGATGTAGTATATTAAAGACGTGGTAATGCCCTTGTAGGTCCTTCTTCATCCACTATCATCAAGAGCAATCAGCACCAGTTATCAGCAACTCTTCAATCCAATTCACCCACCCGACCAATCCACTACTTCACTTGAATCACCCTCGCAATATCACAAACCCATATCAGGATGTCTTCCGTCCTCGCCAAGCTCTCCGTAGCAGCAACTTTACTACTCACCTCCATCCTCCAACCCACGTCAGCAAACCCTCTTCCCCAACAATCCCTCGAAAAACGCGGCTGCTACGGTGGCTTCCCCTTCAACCATCTCCATGGCGGATACCACCACGACCTGACCTCCGAAGTCCTCTCCGACATCACCTCCACCTGCCTCGCCGCCGCAGGCAAAACCATCTCCTCCTCATCGCCTTTCTGGCGCTGCACGAACTGGCAAGAAACCAATTCCTGGAAAGAGACCTGTTTCTCCGACTGCGAGGACGGATGCGCCGCACTGCCTAAAGACTACGGCGCCGCACTTTGTGGCTTGGGCTGTGATCCCAACTGCGACACAGGCCCCACTTATGGGTATAACCGTATTGATTGGGCGATTGAGATGAGGGATGGAGGGGCGGACAAGGTTATTGATTTTGAGACTTGTGTTGATGCTTTCAAGACTGAGTTGGGTGGTTGTCAGAGTGGGAGTGAGCAGTATCATGATGGGTTCTGGTTCCGCATTGATCCTGCGCAGGGAGGGTGTTGAGTTTGGAGTAGATGTTGCTCTTGGGTTGAGGACAGGAATGGGGGATGAGAGAGTATGTGTTTACTCGTTCTGGGGTTTCTTCTTTGATGTGCTGTCATTGTGTTTCGTATATAGGCTGTCGTCGCTTACTGCCTCCAGATTACAACCCATGTTTTAATCTTATGTTGTTTTCAATCACATCCCAATCTAGAGGTCTCCCCTGGGACAGTAGCAAGGTGTGTTCAACCTGTTGAAATGCAGAGTAAGTTTGACATCTAGGATACTGTCCAAGAAGACGGCTCAGGTGCAGTTCGATTCTGCTATCTCAACAACGGCAGATCTTAGATGCACAAAATTGGAAATCAAGCACGTACGGCCACAGTCAGCTGAAAACTGGGCATCCCGTCCGCTCTGCCATACATAAGCAGTTGAACGGCAGATTAGTACTACGGTGGGTGACCACGTGGGAATCCCTGCTGCTGTACGTTTTGCATCTTTTGCAACTCTTACTGTAAGATAATGTCAAGTCTCTTCCGTTTTTTTTTTGCTCCTGGTAGCACTTTGAAACTGAAGCGACATTGAAGGAAAGGTGGAATGGGCGCAGAAGCAGAGAAGGCTGTGCAGATCATTCATTATACTGGAGAGGCTATACAACTATATGCAAGAGAGTGTGCAGAATTCGCTAGTAACTGTAATCGATATACTCGTCAACCTTTTCGTTCTCGTTCTCATTCTCAACTTCCTGTGTCTGGATTACAGATCTGCCTCTTCCTCTTCTCTCGGGAGCAGGCGACTCCATAGAAAAGGTCGTAGATCTGCTACCAGGAGTCAGGGCACTGGGCCACCAGAATGGACCGGGTCCGCGACTTCTGCTTCTCTCGTCTGCTTTGTCGGCTAATGAACTTCTCTTCATTTGTGATTGGTAGGCTTCGCCTTCCTGTTCGTGCTCGGCTTGTTCCATACCGCGGGCTACCATTCCGGGGAAGACGTCGGGGCCGATGGCATCGGTGGTTTCGCGGACCTGTTTGGCGAGAGCGTTGCGATGGGCGCGCAGCTGGGTGAGTGACGCCGATGATGACGGGTTCAGAGCGACGAAGAGTGGAGGGAGCGATTTGAGGATATCCATGCCAATTTCGCCGATGCGGAGAGCGGCAAGAGAGACAGAAACCATGAGAGCCCAGAAGAAAATGGAGAACTGCCAGAGAGGAACAAAGTCGGGGATGTAGGTGTTTGCTCGGAGATACCAAGGCAATGAGTAGGTGTAGGATCCACCAACACGGTTATAGTAGAGCCAGAAGCTGACAAGTGCAGTGTAGTAAATATACAAAGCAGGAGCGAGAGCCATGGCAACAAGAATCTTCCATGTTGCCATGACGTCGTGGCCTTGAAGTTTGACGACCGATCCAGCGAGAGCTTTCCTTTGTTTCTTGATGGAAATCATCTTTGAAGTCACAAAGACTGGCCAGAACATCAAGATACCAGGAAGTGTGCCCAGAGCCAGAAGCAACAACTCTCCCAAGCGGTAGAGAAGTGTAGCCAAGCACCACCACCAAGGGCGAGCAGAAGCATCGCCCCACTCAACTTGATGGTCCTTGATACCTAGAGCTCGAAGATGGCGATTGTAATCAACGACCGCTTTCTTCAGTCGTCCTACGCGCGGGTCATCCTGGTACTTGGTGTAGCCTTTGAGCAGACGTCTGTTGAACTCGATAACAACAGGTAGAGGAAGTTTGCGACCAGGAGGGTTATAAAGACGGCGTGTAGCTTGAATGAGTTGAAGCGTCTCATGATCCGGACTAGGTTGTGTGACTGCGGCCAAACCCTGGTAGATTGTCTCCAAGAGTGATCCGATAGCATCGCGTTTCTCAGCACCTCCAGCTTTGAAAGCCTTTACTTGATCAGGATGTACGTCGATAGGGTTGCCAAACTCGATGACAGCTCGCGAGCGGAACTTGTGTGCATGGAAGTAGTTCATGCCAGCGGGAATGATGGTCAGGCCGCAATCTGGATCACGGGCCAAACAACCCAGAGCCATGATGGCAACACCAGCTTTCAGCGGCAGCAAGTCGCTTCTGTCGTGAGATCCACCTTCAGGGAAGATTCCAACACAAGCTCCCTTGGCGAGCTCACGGTAGACCGCGTCGAACATGCGATTTTGGTCGATGTGAGGTGCGACCTTGAATTTGGTACCCTTGATCTTGCTTCCATCGGGTGCTTTGCTCTCGCCAGTGAGTTGAAGAATTGCATCTTCGGTTTTGAATGCTTCGCGTAGGCGAAACTCCCTGGGCCCTAGAACCTCCTCGATATACTGGCTCTCGGGTGCTGCTTTAGATCCAGGTCGCTTAGGCATGATGATGCTGCCGCCATGCATGTATTGGCCATTCAAGAAATTGGTTCCCATACCACGAATCAGTGTAGGGTCGTTCTCAGGATCCGGCAGGCAGATGTATCCTTGGCCAGGCTTAACATGATCCATAGCTCGAGTGACTGGTAATGAGCCCATCTTGCCAGCCATAGCACCGATATAAGGTTCTTTCATTGACTTTTCGGCCACCAAGAAAGACATGCGGCGTCCGACATGTTGCTTCAACAACCGCATGAGAATGATCGAGTCGGCAAATTGGTTTGCATGAGGTGCGCCAACAATAATAACAGGACCTTTCTTAGGAATTCGGAAAGTGTTTCTCGGGTAGATTTCTCTGAAGAAGACATCCAGAGCCAGATTGAAGGTACCCAGTCCGAGATCGTACACCCATGGCGTCAATACTTTGCCATTTCCTTTACTCTGCTTCACGACTTGTTGCTTGTTGTCCTTTTCGTGAGACTTGTGATGTTTCTCGTCCTGTGTTGTAGGTCCATCCTGTGTTGAGGCCTGGGTTGATTTCCGGTCATCCGTTGAGGCCATCTTCGCGCCGAGCGCAGCTGAGCTCTGGGGTCAATTCGCAGGCAGTTGATCTGTCTCAGACAACGCAAGCTTGTATCAAATCACTTCAACAGTATGCGCACGTCTTCTAGAAAGACGTCTGAGGTGAATCTCAACAAAGAGGTGTAAGTGGCGGTTCCTTTAGTTTTCTGTGAGATCTTTGATTGAGGAAATTGGTGCGAGTCAGGATTTCGTCGTTAAATCAGCCCACACAGACCGCGCAGGTTTTGCCGAGGTTGAGGTTACATCACAGGTTTGATTTTGGAAAACACATTCTATGAAGTTTATGATCACTAAATACTGTCGCACTGCTTGAGGCATGTATTGAAACGCGACAACAGTTTCTTGCAAGCTGCTATGTCGAGAAACACGTGTGTTACGAGGCTACCGGTCTGAGACGAACAACTGCCATATGTGAAGAAGTGCCGAAATAGTGGGCCGAGCTGGCCATAAATCATGTCCCGAAACACCCAAACGCCAATCATGTCATTGCAATACTATTCTCTTCGGTCAACCTCCGATTCCGAAACATATGACGACCTTCGAGGGGCTAGCTGGGCATCTGTGTCTGCAAGTGCGGCTTCAAAACTTATGCCAAAGGACGCTGCTAGATACGAGGCATAACGTCTTCGGTAAGCGCATGATATTTGCGCCGTTGAGGAAGCAGAGTCTACACAGATACTCAGAGATGTTGTGAATGGGTCTTTCACATTTACAACTTACCAGTGTGTACTGTCGTCTCAGGTGCTGTGGGGTATCTGAATGCGCTCAGGCTTGGTCGCCGAAAATTTGATGCTGAAGACGTCGAGGTCGACGTTGGCAATTGCATAGAGGATGTGACAGTGGTGGTTGTTGATTCAAGCATTGTGAGTTTTTAAAGAAGATATTGACTGGATGCAGTGTCTTTGATCAAGGAAAAATTGTGAATGGCATGTTCCTACCTCCATTACTTGAGAGGACCCCCTCTTTATACATGGGAAATGCGGTGTACAGGCACTGCAGAAAGTAGCATCACGTCGTACTGCACCTCGATTACGTGAAAACACAAAGAAAACACATCTTGATCAAACACCGCCACAAAACATTCCTCGACAACCGATCTGCATCACTCCTGCGGCTCTGCGCGATTTCACGTCTACCACCAAGTTGTGAGCCATTTTCACGAAAATCACGCAACACAATTGCGCGTTTCCAGACGACAACAAAGCATATCGCAGGAGAAGTTGAGCCATTTTGGATCAATCTGACCAATTCGAGGCTGAGTTCAGAGTCGCAGGGAAATATGACTACATGTGATGAACCAAAGTCGCTAGTCTGTCAATATCTCATTTCTCGTCTCGAAACAGCAAGTGATCATGAGGTCAAATTGATCATGTTTGCTGCGAACATCCCTCTGGCCGACAGAAACTTACACCGCTTGAGACGCCTCTGCGAAATATGAGCTGTGAATAGGCTCACAACCGTTTAACCTTCTTGTTCTATGATCCATCACATCGGTACCTTGATCTCAAGTTCGCAGCAAGTCCTCTTCGGTTATATACTGTACACAGACTCATCTTCTAAAGCAGTTCAAGCAGCTTTCTCGAATTGAAACCTGTGCCTGTTGAGACTCTGTCAATGTCGTCAGCCAAAATGCGGGGCCGGGGTTCGGCTCCTCCAACCTCTCTTTTAGGATAGAGCACCTCAGTTCGCTCGCTCTTCCAGTCCCGTACGACGAGAATGATGAAATTTGCAGTTTTAGATCAACTCAACCAACTGTTGTAGAGCGAACTGCTTCATATAAAAGAGTCGTATTCAAGAAACATCGGGATCACTATTATCGACATTATACTACCCTCTCGCAGTTTCAGATCGACGTCATGGTCCTACTCACAATCGCCAGCGTGCTGTCTCTCGGCCTTGGAAGAGCACTTGCACAATCTGGAGTCATCAGTCCTCTTGCGCGGGCATGTCCTGGATATTCAAACAACACTGATGTGGTGTGCATCAACCGCTATGCCTCAGCTATGCCGCCTTCTTTCGAACGCCAAAGCTCTACTGGAGGTGTATTCTCGCCAAACGACACTTTTGTGGAGACTCAAGTACCTTCCGATCCGTCTTTCGGTCTGGTGAAGAACGCAACATTCGTCGTGTTCGACCAGCGTGGTAGCCAAATTCTTGGTCCCTCTCCTAAGCTGGAGTCTGTGTTTGCAAGCCGCAATGATTCTATTCATGAAGGACCAGTTTATGTTCCTTCGCTGGACGCTATCATTTTCTCCCTACCTCACCAAGGTATCTACCAGCAACAGATTATTCATCTCAATGATTCCACACCTCGATTGGAGAACTATACCACGACTCCTCCTGTTTATGCAGTAAATGGTGGCAAGCTCTTCAACGGAAAGATCTACTGGGCTGTCGAGGCAGGTTTCTCATTTCCTTCACCTCAGAATGGCTCGCTGGTAGCTCAAAGACCTGGCATCTATGAGCTTGATCCATCTACTGGCGAGGTCACTACTCTGCTCAACAACTACTTTGGCCAAGCGTTCAACAGCCCCAATGACCTCTGGGTAGATGATCAGGGTGACATCTGGTTCACTGACTCGTGGTACGGTTATGCCATCAATGTCACTGTATATCCAGTACTCCGACCGGCAACCTACCGCTTCAGGCCTTCTACTGGTCGCGTGTCCATTGTCGAGGACAGTATTGCTCAACCGAACGGTATTGGGATGTCTCCTGACCGTCGAACTATGTACATCAGCGATACTGGTGTGACCGATTTCGAGAACTACCCAGCGGACGGTCCTCTCGTTACAGCTACAACTCACTGGGAGGAAATTCTTTGTATGCCTTTGATGTCGTCGTATCACCAGTGGGATCTTACATCATCAACAAGCGACCGATCTACCAAGCCCAGACGTTTGGAGATGATGGTTTCCATGTCGCTCAGAATGGGTACCTTATAGCAGCTGAAGGGGGAGGTGTTACTGTCTTGAGTGAATACGGAGAGATGCTTTTACGTATCGAGACTGGCTTCACAGTCAACAACATCCAGTTTGCTGGTCCCGAGAGAAAGGACCTTTGGGTGTTTGGCGAGGGCGAGATTGCTCGTGTGACCTGGGATTTGGTCGGTATGGCAAACGAGTGAATCAAGACACCGGGGCACAACAAACACGTGTCTTCGTGACGAAACACGATAGAGAGAACGATGTAGAGATCTAAAGATATTAACAGATTTCACAAATTTGAATATTCAAGCATGTGAGGCTAGGAACGCTGTGAGCGCAAACGCAGAAGGGGCGGCCAACAAATCTGTCCATGGAGGGTGCTGAATTATGACCGCTGTATGTCGGTCTCGCGTGGAAGCGACGTTGCTCAGACTTTCCATCTAAAACATCAGTCATAATTCATTGTTTATTTGTTTCGCTCAGTATATCACCACCTATCTACTATCTCGACGGAATGTCATAAATACTGGTTGCTAGATATGCACGTGTTGGTTGCCGCTGCCTGAAATTGGAAGAATCCGGAAGAACGTCAAAGACACATCAAGCAACAACACAATCGCTTTCTTCAGCCAAGCCTGATACATACAATGTTCAACTTCTGGTTACGGAAACAGAAAATTAGAATTGATCTGGAAACAACGTAATGTCGTCGTTCTTCAGATCTGCCGCCGACATCAGTTCATCACGCGAAGACAGCAGCACTTCAGATGGTTCAAGCGACGAATCCGACAGCAGTGATCGACAGATTACTAGGATCCGCACGCTAGGCTCTAGCACGACAGGTGCAGAGGAGCAATCAGAGCCTGGCGCGTCACAAGCACTTGCGGAAGGATCTCGTAGCTCCAGTTACCACCGCGACCTGTTGTTACATGCTTTACTCGAGGAACGCTGCTACAATGAGGCACTGGATGACTTGAAAGCTGCCGGTGTTCAAGTGGAATCAAAGAACGATCATCGTGTACAGACGCTAGCCAAGGAGAAGTACACCAGGCTCTCACGACAATTGGGTCGATATGGCCTCGAGACTGGTGATCTGGACTCTGATCAATTCGGAGCTCTTCGTCAGACTTATCGGGATGGTTTATCTGTAATCACACGAAAGTCTGTTGATCTCCAGACACCAATTGAGGAAATCTTGGCGCAGTCACAAGGCAGCAATGTGCCAGTGCCACTACTTCGGCTGATGGGAGGAGAGCCATCAGCGACTATTGACATGAGTCGACGCTTTAGTGACTTGGCCATCGCTGGCTCGGACCTGCATGCGCAGCCGAAGCTTCTTGGAAACGGCATACTACCTGGTCATCCACTACTCAACTCAACCCGATACACGCGAGATTTCGAAGAGTTCGGAATACTTGGGAAGGGCGGCTATGGTACTGTGTTCCGATGTAAACACAACCTTGATGGTCGACACTACGCCATCAAGAAGATACCTCTCGGACCCACTCGCATGCGCAAAATCCAAGAGAATGGCCAAGCAGAACTCGATCACATCTTGGTAGAAGTCCGGACACTAGCCCGCCTGGAGCATCCGAATATTGTTCGATATCACAGCGGTTGGATTGAGTGGGCGCCTCTACTCTCGGCTAAACAAGCTATCGAGCACAATGGTCGAAAATTGCTCGAAGCACCTAGGGATTCACAAGACAACGACGACGCTTCAGCACAATTTGACAGACCCGATATACCGGCTATCGATGTTCAATTCGGCTATGACGACGACGACGATGACCCCTTTGAGATGTCGACCGGCCAAAGTGCGACTCAGCGCTTTGCAACCCAGGAGGAAGAAGACATATTATTTGAGGAGTCTAGCAGAAGGTCAGGACCTGCGACTTCTGATACGCAGTCACTACAACCAGGGTAAGTCGATAGATAAAAGCTCTGCCAGCGCGTTATGTTAAAAAGTGCTGACAATCTCTGTGGTAGTTCATACTCCGAAGGCGCACCTCTGCAAAAGATACCGAGTCGAGGTACAGTCGCATCCGTTAGCGACGAAAGCGAAGTTGAAGTCATCACACGCAGAGAAGACCCATCAAGCAGCTATGACACCTCATCCTTCAGCACCAACGCTAACCACCATCATGGCAATGCATCCGAACCGTCACTCGCCCTTCACATCCAAATGTCACTATACAGTATGACACTGTCCGACTTCATGTCGCCCACCACCTACCCCATCGCAAGCAACGACATTGCATCTCTCCGCCACTGTTTCCACGCCCACTCCTCCCTCGAAATCCTCTCTTCAATAATTGAAGGCGTCGAATACCTCCACTCAGAAGGAATAGTCCACCGCGATCTAAAACCCGGAAACATCTTTCTCGCCGTCCGTGAAGGTTCAAAGCCACCTCCTGGAGCCTTCTCATTGTCCACCTGCACGTCCTGCCACGCTACAGACAGTACTCGCCCATTCAACGTAAGCATTTGCATCGGCGATTTTGGTCTCGTTTCCGCAATCGCACGCCCCGAAGACGAAGTACCATCCACAGCAGCAAAAGCAGTCGGCACGGAAATTTACCGCCCCTACACCGTAACTCGCGACAATCACCCCAGCTTAGACGTCTATGCTCTCGGCATCATCGCATTCGAACTCCTCCACCCCTTTGGCACTAGAATGGAAAGACATGAAATGTTGCACAAACTCAAGAAAGGGGAGATTTCTGATGAGCTTGATAAAGAGGTTGGATGCGAGGGGATGGGAGAGTGGATTAGAGGGATGGTGGGGGCTAGTGAGAGTTGCTGTCCTGGGTGGGAGAAATTGAGGGGGGAGTTGAGGGATCTGCTGGAGAAGTGTAAGGGCTTGGAGGGGAAGGGTAAGGAGAAGGGTTGATAAACCCTTTCGGACAAAGCTTTTGCGGCGATGGAGATTCATGGAAAGCTATGAGTGTTTTTCACATAGTTGATACATGAAGGAACGTACACAATAAAGGCATATGACCATCAAGAAATCACAAATCGGTCAAAGATGATACATGCTTGCATCAATGAATCTTCATGAGGTTGACATGTGGGCTACAAAAAGAGTAAAGAAAGATGATATATTCAAGAAGACATTATATACGTGATAATCACCAGCACTGAGTTTTTTCCATCGCAAAATGACTTTCAATCAGCAGAGAGAGAGCGAGAAAGAGAAAAAGGCCCTACATCACCACCATACCAATCGCACCGACGACCACGGCAACAGCAACAGCATTACCAAACACATTCATCTCCTTCCTCGCTCCTCCCGTAGAAACAACAGCAGGAGCACTCCCCTGCACACTCGTCCCAGCACTTCCCAGCGAAGTAGTAGCCGTCACGACCGAACCCCCTACAGTCCTACTCCCGGACAGCGAACCCCCCTGCAACCCACTAATAACCGCCGCGCCCAACCCTTGACTCACCGGCAACGTCGAAGTCTTGCCATCAACAACCACCACCGGTTCTGCAGAAGCAGGTCCAGAAATGCTGGTAGGGATGGAATAAGTAGTTCCGTGGATTGTCACCGCATCACCTGGTGACAGTGTTGTAGAGCCGATTGCGAAGAGAGGAAGTACCGTAGAAGAAGGGAGGGGTTGGGTAGAGTGGTTTATGAGTACAGCGGTTGCGGAGGAGGAGGGGAGTGAGTATATCGTTCCGCTGATTGTGAGTTCTGAGCCGGGAGATAGTGTTTGTGAGGCGATGATGAAGTTTCCTGATACCGAGGTTGCGAGAGCGGGGTCGAAGGTTGAGACGACTGTGGATGGTGTGGGTAGGGCTGAAGTTTCGCCATTGATTACTACAGCGGTGCCAGAAGGTGCGAGAGAGTATATCGTTCCTTGGACTTCGAGGGCGGAGTTTGGGGAAAGCGTATGTCCTGCTATGATGATTTCTGGGGTTTGAGAAGCAGAGAGTGGAGTAGTGTTGCCATCGATGATTACTGCGGTAGCAGAAGATGCGAGCGAGTACGTCGTACCCGATATTTCGATGGCCGAACTTCCTGCTACAAGAGTTTGTGTACCGATGACATATTCCGAAGCAGGGTTTGCAGTGAGAACAGTAGAGCCGACCGTGATGACAGGAGCAGCTGCATTGCTGACGACAGAAATCACAGGGGCTGTAGAAAAAGCAGCGACGGGAAGAGCTGAAGTCACACCGTTTTCGACGATGAAGGTGGATGATCCAGAAGTCGCAAGCGAGTAAGTCGTGCCTTCTACTTCGATAGCTGAACTTCCAGGAGCCAATGTTTGCGTTCCGATTATGAATTCTGAAGCTGAGTCCGCAGTGACGATGCTCGAACCAATTGTGATGGCAGGTGCAGCGGTAGTCGTTTCCGCACCTACGGAAAGAGCAGAAGTCACATCATTCTGCACAACGAATGTCGAAGATGCAGAAGTTACCAAAAAGCAAGTCGTCTCGCCAACTGCGATTGCCGAACCACCGGCCTCAAGCGTCTGGGAGCCAACAATGTACGCAGATTCAGAGTCTGCAGTGACAACCGAGCTTCCAAAGGTGATCGCTGGAGCTGCAGTTTGAGAAGGTACTGGGTGCTGAGTAGCTCCATTCTCGACCACGAATGTTGCAGAACCAGATGTTGCTAGTGAGTAAGTGACACTACCAGCTGTGATGGCTGGCCCTCCAGCAGAAATGGTTTGCGACTCATAGACGAACTCCGAGCTTGGGTTCGCTACTACAACCGAGGAACCAATTGTTATCTGTGGTATGGTCGATAAAGAACCCACCGGAGCAGGCGTTTGAGTCTGACCATTCTCGATGATCGCGCTAGGGGAAGTGGCAAGCGAGTATGTCGTTTGACCGACTGTGATGGCCGGGCCACCTGGTGCAAGAGTCTGTGAGCTGATAATATTTTCGCTGGAAGGGTTAGGAGCAATAGTCGATGACCCAAGAGTGAGTACTGGTGCAATCACAACCGTAGTCTGAGATGCAGACGGAAAAACTTCGATGCTTGACGCGATAGTGCCAGGTTGTTGAGTTTCGGTAAAGTCTCCACTAGTGACTGCTTGGTGGTTCGTTGGGATGGTTGCAACAGAAGATGCCTGAGTAGCTTCATTGGAGCCTGCATTAGTCGTGGTTCCAGAAGGATTTGGTGCATCGTTAGATACTGCGGTTGTTCCTGAAGATCCTGGAGACACGCCATTGCTTTCGGTGTTGGTGGGCTGGGCCGCAGACGAATGGCCAGCACCGCTTGGTGCATCGCTTGGTGCATCGCTTGATTGAGCCGTGATCACCGCACCGCCAGTGGTCCCAGCATGTGTTGATTGGCCGGCAGAAGATCCGCCATTGCTCGCTACGTTTGTCGAGGTGTATGTCGGCTCGGTTTCAGCACCACTACTCGCTCCTGTCGAACCTGCCGCCTCAGAAGTAGCAGCAGATGTCGGTGTGTCAATGACTGATGTTGGAGCCTGTTCAGCGCTGGTAGGAGGAAGTTGCCCGGTAGCAGAAGTTGGCTGCTGAACGTTTGATGTCGAGGTTTGCTCCAAGCTTGTGGAAGATACTTGCTGAGCAGTCGTAGGAGATTCCTGATCAGCAGTCGTGGCAGAGGGTCTCTCCACAGCAGTCGTCGAAGTCTTCTCAGCAGCAGTCGCAGAAGTCTTCTCAGCATCAGAAGTCTGCCCACCAGTCGACACAGTACCCACAACCGCACTTGTAGTAGCCTCCGCACTAGACTTTTCCACAGAAGTCGTCGTTCCACTAACCACCCTACTCGTCGGCAAAACGCCACCGAAATTGCCCGGACTAGTCGCAATAATCGAACTCGTCTTGTGCGTAAGCGTCGTAGCCACAATGTGCACAGTAGGCGCTCCAGTCGGCTGCTTGGAAACGAAATTCGTGCATTCGCTGAGCCATGGGTATTCGGAAGAGATGTTTGGGTTGCGGGCGGAGATCCAGTTGATGTATTCGATGGGGACGGAGTCGAACATGACTTTTGCTGATTGCGGAAAGGGTCAGAAAGGAGCAAAGGGGAAAGAACGGAGGAGATAAGGTATGGATGGGAGGTAGAAGGGGATACTTACAAGGCCAATCAACATCAGGTTCCAACCACAGCCCACCTGTATATTCTTGTGTATTCAAATTGGTGAAGTTGTAATCTTCAAGCACAATATCATCTGCGTTTTCTCCATAGGCCACAAACAGGAGACCAAGCATAGGTTCTACATAAGGCGTCGGCGATGCCCTTGTTGCAAAAATAGTCAGCCATCATATCCATCATTCCAACCCTTTCGCAAAAAGATCAAAAAGAGACACAAAACTCACACGACAGTATTAGTCCTAGTAGCTTCCAACCCCCACTGCGTAGTAATCTCGCTAAAAGTATGGAACCTCGACATGGCATATGTAAACTCTTTCGTCGTGGCAGGAAGCAACGAGATCAAATCCGTCGGGACGCCGGGGAATTTCCACTGCATGCTTGCCAAAAGGCCCGTGGGGGCGAGTGTCGCGAAATCTGTGAAGACGGTTGTGAGCACGTCTCCTGAGTAGTCGCCTGTGGTGACGGTGTAGGAGGCTGTAAAGCCATCGTAGCGGGTGGATGAGTTGGCGGGGACGAGGGTGTTGTTGTATTGGATGTAGTAGTCTATTTCTGTGGCGACCTGGGATAAAAGTGTTAGAAGGAGCGGTGTGGTGATTTATGGAAGGTGACGAACGGTGAATGTGGCATGTTCGGTCCACCATGAGTTTAGGAAGATTTCGTTCGGTAACCAGAAGCCGCATTTTCTCGAGAGACTGGGGCCAGGTGTGGTGCTAGCGGTAGACGAAGTAACAGTCTGAGTAGCGACGAAAGATGTCGAGTTTACATATACTGTGCCTGTAGCATTTGATCAGAACTTAGAATCGTAACAGCGCCTGAGAACTTACGCTGAGGCATTGCAACAACGGCCGGTATAGCAAAGGTCAACCCCACCACTGCCAGGCGTGAAGCCTCACCCACAGCTAGCTTCATGTTTGCTGATCACTTTCTCCTCAGAGATCCTTGTCGAATTCAATACGATGCACAACTCGATGAAAGCAGACCAAGCTTTGCTGAAACGAACGACAAACACTTCTCACCTTCGAACGAAAGACAAAAGGCAGAGAAGTAAAGACAAAAAGAGAAAGTGCTTACAAAACCTCCCCAGCGCTTAACCTACCACTCATATATCTGATAGCCCGAAGGATCCAACTAGACTCTATGCACACTGCCGACCCAAGCAGCATACAAAACATGCACACACGGGCCGTGCCTGTAGCATGTGAACAAGACACTATCCCTCCCACCCTGCGAAGATCATCGGAATATTTCTAGGCACCTATAAAAATCTGCAGTGTGACTTGTAACCCCATAAAGTGTAGGAGAGCAAGAGTAAAGTCGAAGCGAAGGAAAGAGATGGACTGCAGGAACAAGCGCTTGAGCCTCGCGGTGTGATGTGCATTGTATTCGTACGTGATTGGTGGAGGTCATTCCGAAGGATTCCAGGCACAAGGCGCAATAATCATTAGTGCTGCTGTGCGAAACAGCACTACCCATATTATGGACATGGGAAAAAGCGGCTCAGAAATGGCATCCATGCAACATTTTACTGGATCCTTCAGATAGCTGCTCGAATAAAGTCGTGGGTGATGAGGTGAAAAGATCGGGATGTCCAGGTCTTGTTTCGAGACGGGGTGTTGTCCTGCATGTGCAATATATCCAGTCTTGGCGTGCATGCTGTTCGGTATTGACCCCATTTCTGGACAAAGGTTTGGACATCCTTGGGTAACACGTGAAGTGCTGCATGCAGAACGTCCATGCCGGAGTAATATCTGAGATACCAGTGTCTGACTAGGAGTGAAAATCGTGGACAGTAGTATTGTGTAAGTGTTGTTCTGTGTGCCTTGTTCCTTCATCCTGGAGCGGTAGACATACCAGCTCGTGTTTCTGTGGTATAGAGCATATTCGGTAAATGTGAGATGATCGATGGTGTCAAGTCAGTCGCGCGGTTGTGGCAGCTCTTTTGACTCTTTCTAGATAGATCTCAAAGGGGTAGCAGAGAAGATTGAAAGAAAGCACAAACCGAAGATTTGAGAAATCGAAGCATAAATGTCATATCGGGACCGCTCTAAAACAGCAATACCCGAAGGTGGGGGGTGTAAAAAAAAAAGATGATAGAAAAACAACACACGAGAGAATATCCAACTCCCTTCCCAAGCCCGCAATGATCCAGCCGCTCCCCTTTCCTTTTCGCAGAAAAAGAAGAGGTACGGTTTACCTAGAAACAAATGCAGCGCCCGCCAAAAAAAAATATAATGCCCAAGACTATAACACCTTTTAAGTTTCTTTCTACTCATCATCCTTGACATTGCCGTTGGGCTCGACTGCGATTTCGACCATTTCGCCAACACCTTCGGAGGCATCGGTGGTGATTGCTTGTGCTTCGTCGAGGTTGATTCCCAATCTGATTTCTTCCTTGCGTTGTCTGGCGGCTTCGGTCTCCTTTCTCATGGTCTCCAAGTTCCAGCCATCGTCGTCGTCGGCATCGCTGTCGTCGCCGTCGTTCCAGTCGCCCTTTTCGAACAGGGCACGACCGGTGGCTTCCTTCATCTTTTGGGCTTCTTGTTCGGCGGCCTTCTTGTCCATACGTTCCTTCTTCCATTTCTGGAAAGTCTCCTCGTTGACAGGTGTGAGAGTACCGGTAAGCTTGTGACGTTCGGAATCGAGGAAGTCTTCGAGGGTAAGAGTGTTGAGAGGAGATTTGTCCATGAGAGCCTTCTCGGCAGCGCGCTGTTCTTTTGTCTTGAGGACGAAGCTGGAGGGGGTGGAAATTAGCATGTGGAAACAGAGGTAGGAATGATGATCGCAAAACATACCCTGGTGGTAAACTGTGTTTGTACATGCACTTGTCGCCGCCGTTGGGACAGGTCCAGAACCAACCGTACTTGCCGTTCTCGACAGCCTCGATGAAGAACTTGCACACCTTGTCGGTCGTCGTCTTTGGGTTTCCGTGCTTGGACTTGACGACATCGCGCAGCTTCTCCTCGTCCCAGTCTGCCATGTCGTCCTTCTTTCTCTCCTCATCTTGCTGCTCCTTCTCCAACTCTCTCGTGTCGGTGTACAGACTCTTCTTCTCTCCCTTGATGCCTTGAGACAGGTCGTGACTGAACTTGCACTTTCTGCCCTTGTCACAAGCACCCTTTTTGAAGAATTGACAGAGCACCGTCTTGGGGTCGACACCGAAGGGAACCTTTTGGATCTGAACGGGCTTGAAGAGTTCGGCGGCCTCTCTCTTTGCGGCTTCGGCGGCGAGCTTTTCCTTTTCGCGGGCAATCTTCTCGGCTTCCTTTCTCTTTTCGTCCGGGTTGAGTGAAGAAGTGGCGTTGATCTGCTTGATTTGACGTTGGGCGGCACCACCCTTCTTGTTCTTCATACCGAAGGTCTTGTCGACGGCGACCTTCTTGGGCGCGTTGGCATTTTTGTCCTGCTTCTTGGGCGGCATGATGGCGGTATTCGTAGGGTGTGGTTAGATAGATTGTGTGGCAATGCGCCTAATGAGGGTGTGTAGAGTCAAGGCCCGTGGTTGGGAAGTCGTGTGCGTGAATATGTACGAAGAAACTCTCGAATATTCAAACTTGTCTGCTCCCCACTTGCGAAGAACGTCACCGTCGAGTTTTGAAAATGCCAAGATCTCGTACCTTCCTCCTCGGCAGACCTTCCCCTTGCAGCGTCACCACTGTACACGTACACCTTGATCGACGACTATACCCGCGAGCTGCTCTACCATATCACCGCCCTCACAAGCTGTACCAATCTTCTGTACAAACACAACCTCGCCCTCATCTCACTCTCAAACTTCCCAAACAACTACAAACTCGTGCGTCTTCTCGGTTTTCCACCGAGTCGCCGACAGCCAGCTGACACGCAACCCCAGACACACACACTCTTGACACCCGCAATCATGATCTCAGACGACCAACTCTACCAACTCGCCATCTTTCTCGGCAGCGTCAGCATGCTCCTCATCGTCCTCTACCATTTCCTCGAAGTCAATGCCGAGAATGACGACAAGGCCACTCCCCTGTCTGCAGAGCGCAAGGCTGATACCGTGCCTGGTGCTAAGCCTGTGAGATCATAGAGCTGTCTGTCCGTTATACCTGTGTGTGTCGCATGGGGCTGGAGTTGCAGGGCATGCGAAGAGAGATAGAGAGAGGAGAGACAAAGGATACAGAGGATCCAGTCGTTGATTTGACATGGCTTGGAGTTCTGAGGAGTTACAAGAGTCGGTCGCTGTTATCAGCACTTTGTATGCGATCGGCTGTTTTCATTGCACAGGGAACAGGGGATACCAAAATGTTTGTCAAAAATGCCATGTATGCTTTATTGGGTATCGTTATATGCACAAGAAGAAGGAGCGACTGTTGTTCAAATGTCGTTCGTCGCCTATTGATGAGCTATCCATCTGTGCTCATCTGTCTACACGCCAGGAGCCCATCCGAAAGTCGGAGAATCAGGTGGATAACCTGGTCCTTCGTTCGGGTCCACGACCTCGTAAAAGTCTTCGTCGTGAAGAAAGTTGCGCCTGCGCTCTGCAGTCATCAACGTGCTTCCAGCTCTCATCATAGCCGGCCCAACGATCCTGTACTTCTCCTCCATTTGCTGCAACAACTTCTCGTCGTTCAGCTTCGTTCCTGTAAGATTGCTAAGTCTTATTGCGTCCGCTTCTCTTGCTTGCTGGTGCCTCCATTCCTTGGTGTCCTTCTTAGGTGGCACCATCGAAATGATGGGTGTCACCAGTCTTCCCCGAGAGTCGGAAAGATAAGCATCTGATATTTCTGAATTATGGTCTGAATAAGCCATTGGTTAGCAAGAAAGGGTGAAATTCTGATGTTTCTGTGAAAGGGATTCAACAGCCACCTGAGAGTCCTGCGCGAGGTCCATCACCCAGCTTGTGCGTGATCGGCTTGATGTGCTCGTTCTCCATGTGTGCCATCCAGGAGCCCATGTCGTCGAATGCAGTAATTTCATCTTCTTTGAAGCAGGCAGACCATGCGCATTCGTAGTCGTCCTCGGATGTCTTCTTGCCATGAATCTTGATGACGTGCTTGCGAAGTGTATCGATGTTGTGCAACTCAGAGCCGCAATCTTCCCACTCGCATTTGAACACGTTAAACTCGACTTCAGGCTCCTTGGACTCGACGGCGACGGCTGGCTTTGGCTGTCTGGCGCGACGCTGTTTGGGTGGTGCATAGCTTGGTGCTGCCTGACCGCGTGACATGCGCTGAGCAGCCGATGACTTTGATGCCGATGGAGTTACACCGTCACCGCTTTGACCTGTTGCAGCTGCAAGTGCCGCCTTACTATGGATGCTCTTGCGCCAGCCGACAGGGCGACCTTTCTTCTTGATCGGGTTACCGTTCTCATCAAACTCGGTGACTTGTGAGCGGAACGCCGAATAGCCGATGGGTTGGGTTGAAACTGGTGTTGACGACATGTTTGTTGAGTTTTGCTTGTTGCGAGGTGTGTCGGGCACGATGGAGGATGTCGCGCGGTGATGCAGGTCGGTATGTCGGCGGGTCGAGGGTTTAGCCGGAGATCTTCCGTTGGTGAAAGTCGCGCTCGCAGTGACCGGTAAACTCTTGCGAGGTTGTCTACCCTTGGCCTTAGGGAAAGGTTTCCTTGTACGACCGGCGTTGCCCTTGTTTGTGTTGATCTCGACTGCTACAACTTGGTTGGTTGATGCGCGTCGAATAGAAGCTGAGGGTGCTGGTGTATTTTCAGTCGTAGAAGCTCTGTCGGTGATAGTGACAGCGGGTGGAACATCGGAAGTGAGGGGCGCTCCCCCTTCGTCTTCACTTCCACCTTCGTCATCGGCGTCGGTTGCGATGTTCCTTTCTTCCGAGGTGGTCGACTCTCTGTCTGCCTCTGCGGGCTCAAGAGGCTCAATTATCGGCTCTCCTGGATCAATCAAGTCCCAGCGAATAGTTTCGAGATCAAACTTATCCAACTCTACACCTTCTGAGTGGTTCTTGAGAAAGTTGTGCATCACGTTAAGATGCTGGTTCAAAGGCCGCATGTCTGGGTGACGCCCAGTAGCCAGGAGCACGTCTCTGCAGATTGTTCGCGGATCATATCTGGACTTGCGCGCGACCTTAGCACGTCTGACTGGCTCTACTAAAGTATGATGCTTGAGTTCGACGTGTTTGCTGATGATCATTGGACGTGCAGCTGCAGCAGCTGACGGTTGAGGGGCTCCAGTGGGGACATATGTAGGATACATATGACCGTTGAAGTAGTACTGCTGAAGGTTGACCGGGGCTGCTGGGGCTGTTGGGTTGAAGTGGCCATTGCTGTGGACATTGTTGACTTGATCCATAGTCAAGCCCATATCGTACTGTCCAGTGTTGGCCTGCTTTGCCGGAGGCATGTCTTCGTCAGAATCAGAGTTCATAGCGGACATGTCAACAAGCTCAGCAAAGTTACGTTTGCGAGCTGCTTCTCCTTTGTTGGCTCGTGGCGGTCTTGGTACTGCAGGAGGGGGCGTTGATCTTGCGACATTCGATGCTTGCGCTTGAGGCTGGAAGTATGGACTAGAGTACTTTCGGTGTTGGGCTTGAAGGTTCTGGATCGCTGCCGCTTGAGATGGTTGAGGTGGTTGAGGAGGAGTGTAAGCGGAGTTGTAGTCAGGCGCATCATCTACTGGTGGAGCCCAGTGGAAATCTGACTGATAGTTTACAGTGGGTGCATCGTTAGGATGATGTCCTGAATGATACGGCTGCGAGACAGGTGGACCGGAGTTGGTAGGAGGGACTGAGTCGCGACCAGTAAGATCCACAACATTACCTCTATCCTGAAGAGCAGCCACGGCGGCTCGACTAGGTCGGCCTCGTTGGCCAGGGAACTTTCCAATATTGGGCCACTGTTTCTTCGCTGCAGACCCGGGGTGAGAGGCATTGTTTGAGGACGAAGCAATGACTGCTGGTGGAGCTTGGACGGAAGGAAGAGCTGGAGACGTTGGTTTGTTTTGGTTGTTTGCTTTAGCAGCATCAGGAACAACAGACAACAAAGCTCGGGCGAACTGAGCACGATCGACATACAGCCCCATACGTTCGAGGCTCTCGCAAAGTGTCATGTACGAAGGGTTAGGTGCCAATAACGCATGAATAGCTTCGACAGAAACCAGCTTGTTGAGATTCTCCTTCCTAGCATTCAGCCACTTTGTAGCTGTCTCGGCCAGAGTCGCTTTCTTGCCGGGAGGCCAAATCGCATTTGGGCCGCCTCCTCCTGCAGGCGGAACGCTAGGTGGTGCTGTCTGCTTTCGAGCAATCGAAGGGGCATGACTGCTAGGTCCCGCAGTAGCTGGATGAGGAGCAGGTACATGAGGCTGTGTGGGTGGAGCAGATACCATTGACGCTTGCGGTGCCTGGAGTGTTTGAGCAGATGCTGGCGTAAACACAGGACGGGCTGGTCCTTGGGAAGGTCTTGCAGGTGCGGCTACAGGTACAGGTGCAGCAGCAGGAGCAGGAGATTGAGTGGTGCCTTGAGCCTTTGTGAGGTGGGCTTGTCTTTCCGTCTCCCACATGCGCGCAAACATCTGAGGGTCAGCCTGGTTCAAATCGCGCATCCTTCTAAAGATAGCAGCCATCTCGCTTTCCAGGTTGCCACCTTCTTCGCCTACAGTCGATGGTGGTATACCAGCCATGGCAGCGGCCATCATGCGTCGCGTGTCCTGGACTGTTGTTACAGCAGGCCTGACCTGTTTTTGAGGCTGTTGGCCCTGCATGTTCTGAAGCTGTTGGTATTGTCTTCGCTTGGCCTCTTCCTGGTTGGCGATTTCTCTGGCAAGGCGCAAGCTTTCTGCTCTCTTTGCGTCCTCTTTGCGCTTCTCTTCAGCCTTTCGCTCTTCTTCGACTTTGCGTCTTGCTTCTTCCTCGACCTTGCGCTTTTCCTCCTCTTCCGCCTTACGTTTGGCCTCTTCTTCTGCCTTTTGACGAGCTTCTTCTTCTGCCTTCTTCCTGGCTTCTTCCTCTGCTTTCCGTTTCACTTCCTCTTCGGCCTTGCGTTTTGCCTCTTCTTCAGCCTTGATCCTTGCCTCTTCCTCTGCTCTTCGCTTCTCTTCTGCTTCAGCCTTTCTTCTTGCTTCTGCGAGTTTGCGTTGCTGCTCCGGCCAAGGATCATAGACTTGGGTAGGATCCACAGTAGTAGGTCCAGAGCCGTAACCTTGATCGGGTGGATGGGACTGTCGGGCGTATGAAGAGCTCGCACGCTGTTGGATTGAGCTTGGAGTGACGCTAGGTGCACGAGGTTGGCTGACGTTAGCAACCGGGTGTGATGCAGTTGATGTCAAGTGGTGATCACGAGGCGCAGTCGAGGCAACGGAGGAGATGCTGGACCGAGGAGCAGTTGGTTGCTGTTGTTGCTGACGGGCCAGATAGGGACTTGACGCGCGAAAGTTTGAAGCCGAGTAGTCGTATGAAGTTGACTGGTTGGTTGTGCTTGTCTGAGCTCTCGGCTGCTCTGATTGCGAGTATGAGGAGTATGAATATGTTCCAGTATTGCTCGCCGGCTGAGTGTATGATTGCGCGGGACTGTAGTTAGAAGCAGTGCTAGCCGGTCGGTGTTCCTGCTGGTAGAGCGGTGAAGGGTTGGCTGCACGGCGGTCAGCGTTGTGCCAGGAGGTTGAAGTGTCGCGTTGGTGAGTTGAAGGACGATCTGAAGTATTCCATGAAGATTCGGCACGGGTGTTCGTATCATATGCGGTACTAGTCGGGCGAGTTGACGATGTGGTGGGATGTTCCTGGGCACTCAGATGGCTCAAAGTTTCAGCAGCACGACTGTCTGTTGATTGATAGTTGTTGTAGTATGACTGCTGATTTGTATAACCAGATGTGTACGACGGCTGGTAGCCGGGCGGAGCAGAAGATTGTGGTTGTGGTGTTTGAGTAGTCGAGCGCTGCTGTGACGCGGGTTGTTGCGACGAGCCAGTATAATAACTCTGGTGATGCTGCTGGTTGTGCTGGCTGCCCACTGGATCGTAGTGATTGCCGTAGTGGCTGTTGTATGGGGCCATGGTCTTGCGAAACGAAGAATGGTTATGCGACAGAAGTTCGAGCGTAGCAGCTCAGTCGAGATATCCAGGACGCGACCAGCGGAGATGAAATGACGCGCCGTGGGATTATGGGTGAAGCCTAGTCTTGTTGTTTTCACTCGACCGGGGTGATATATATCCAGTTCATAGTATTGACATGGACCAGACAGACAATTGCGACACAAGCACTTCCTCGTCGCGTGCTGCTGTTCGCCTTCAACTATACATGCATCAAGCAAGAGCAAGAGCAACGCGAACCTGAAGAGTCCGTGCACGGGCCCGGGGAGAGAAGCCGCCGTCACGAACGGGCAAGAGCGACCGACCTCAGCCAAGACCACGCTAAAAGCTGTCGCATCTTCCCGAGAATCTGCCGCACTCACACACGAGAATTTGCAGGAGAGTGTGAAGTTTCTCGACTCTTTGTGACGACCAGCGACTTCGATTCCGACAGACACGCCCAACCACCGACAAGATGACCAAGATCAACACCTGTATGCGCAAAGCCTTCGCCGACTGAACGTCATGGACCGCCCAACTGACCCTCTCCCGCGCAGCTCTGTCTTCTTCCAGAAGAAAGTCGCGCAAGGCGCACTTCTCTGCCCCTTCCAGCGTCCGCCGCACTATCATGAGCGCCCCTCTCTCCAAGGAGCTCCGTGAGAAGTACAACGTATGAGCACACCGCCTGCCACCGACGACGACGCATATCCACATAGAAAGAGACGGAGGCATTGAGAGAAACACGGCACGACCAAGACTTTTGCATCCACCGAACCCACGCGCGCAGAACCTATCGCATTCGAACACCACCCTCTACACCAGACGCCGGTCTTCATCGATACCTCGCGCACGCCTCGGCGAACACATCCACCACCCACAATCATCCCCGTCGACAAGTCTGATGCCGCTGTTTCTCTCAAAAACCTTTACTGCCCCATAACCCCCCCACAACCAAAACAATGCTCGTCGATCGGCTGTCTTTGTATGATGCTAATCAAGTGTCAAACAGGTCCGCTCGATCCCCATCCGCAAGGACGATGAGGTCACCATTGTCCGTGGCTCCAACAAGGGCCGCGAGGGCAAGGTTACATCTGTCTACCGTCTCAAGTGGGTCATCCACGTCGACCGCGTCGCCCGTGAGAAGTCCAACGGCCAGTCCGTTCCCCTCGGCATCGCCCCTTCCAAGGTCGTCATCACCTCCCTCAAGCTCGACAAGGACCGTGAGGAGATCCTTGCCCGCATCGCCAAGGGCCGTGAGCTCAACAAGGAGAAGACCCAGAAGGCTTAAATGTGATAAGAGTTTGATACCCCATCTTGTCGTATGAAACCTCAAAAGCTTTGCTGTCTCTCCAAACCTTTTCTCTCCCTCTCTGGCTTTACATCGCAGAGAACGACCGAACCAAATCCTGCTTCATTCCTCCTCCCTTTTTTCTTCTAGCGCGTTCCGGGGTTTTCACTTTCCTCATTGGCAAATGGGGATTCATCAAATCAAATGGTTTATGAGGAGGTTCGATCAACACAAATGTCGGCAATGAATTCAAAACATTCAAAATTGACATGTCCATTGTCCGACCGCAAAACGAGATATGAGAAGTCTTCTCTTTTCGAATCTCACCAGTGACTGACCATCTTTTCTCCCTCTCTCCTCTCCTCTCATTTATATCCGTTCTTCTCTTTCCTTTACCAACAACCGCTAGTATTATCAACTCACAAGTTCAAAAAATCACCATGACTTGTACGAGCTAAACAACTAGCGAAGAACAAACGCTCGGGACTGAAAATCTCTCTCGCCTGCAGACCGTCTGCTCTTGAAAATTCAGTAGAGTAACCGGTTTGATGGTGAGATACAATGTAAAGTCATTCAAAAACCTTTCTGATTGTCTAACGATGTCTGCTTGTTCGCTGTATTGGCGATTATACGGCGGTATAGATGTCTTGTAGGCAGTGGAATATCACTTTTTGCTTTGAATGGTTTTGTGTTGGTGGCTTGAAGTGCTTTGTTGTGATGCTGTGATGTTTGGTTGTCTATGTGCCGAATGCATCTCTTCGAGACCTTGAACCTATACTCCGTATCTGCCTTTCCCCCACGTGCTCATCAATCAACCGAGCCTCTCATCCTCTTCCTTCCTATAATCAGTCTATCTCATGCACACGTCTCAAACCCTACAAGCCACTGCATGACTGCACAAAGGACTTCAATCATCGTGAGGTGATCCAAGAGATGTACCAATATACAGTACTTCACTCCTGAAACCGGCCCCCTCATTCTCCTGACGATCTGTGAACCATAATCTTCCTGGATCATGTACCATAATACCTCTTTCACTTCCACACCTCTTAGATTCAACTTCTTGTCTTACTGAAACAAGAATGTGTTGGCTCAAATTTGTTGTGTTGTCACGGTGCACTCAGCAGAATTCCACCATCAAATTGACAGACTTACACCAAGTAACCACATTCCCCTGTGCAAACCCATTAGACCCTTATAACTATACCAGTAATATCTTAGAGCGAAAGGAACACAAAGTAAAAGTATTATACAATGCTGCAACTCGATTGCGTGGATAAATTCGAGGCAACAATTTAGTGACAGGGTCACCTCGCTCGTTCGAAAGATTGATCTTGTTATTGCACTAACTGCACCAAATGCAAAGGTCAACAAAAAAGTCGAATAACGAAATGCCATGCATTTCGCTTATCGTGCAGTTGGTATACGTTAGAATATGACAGATCGAAAAAGAAAATGGACGTATTATCAATAAGCCTCTCTGTTCGCATCTCCAGCCTCAGTGCGCACTACAAAACCCCGGTAAAAATGCACAATGATTTTCAAAGCACGACTAGGTCCAGTGAGAGTCGGAAAGGAGGAAGCCCCTTTCGCTTTTAAACTCCAGTACACGCTGCCAAACCCCTTGTAAAAATGCGCAATGTTTTTCACAGCTTCAAAAAGTCCAGTGAGAGTCGAAAAGGACGAAGTATCAGAAGTAATGTATAGTCAAGTAGAGTAAGCCAATTCTAGGTGTTGATGACCGGCGACCCCTTTGCCCCTATTCCGCCTGTGAAGCTCTTCAATAGTGTCTATCTGCGATCCAGTCGATGACATTCGTCACATTGGCCATGACCTGGACATCACTCTTGGTTTCACAAGACTCATCCCCCTCAGAAGCATACAAGCCCACGAGTCTTCCATCATCATCAAACGCAGGACCGCCAAAAAAATCATCGAGGTTGTCTCCAGTGTCACTGTCGGACTCGATGCGGTCGAGCTGAATGCAGATGTGTTGTCCGGCAACATCGTGGCACGAAAGCGTCTCTTGCTGACAACGGGCTTGCGAAAGTGCCAGGTGTGAGTATTCTTCAAACTCGTACGTGTAATTGTCGCTATACCAGGCACCGATGTGGACACTGTAGGATTGTTAGCTTGTGTATGACGATGATATGGCAGATGGAACCTACCGTTGCCCAGAGGAGGGAGTAGCATGACGCATATGGCCGAGAGCTTTAAGAGTTTCATTCAGCTTCAACATAGCAAAGTTCCACTGGGACAAGCCGACGTCGTCATCATCATCGTCGTTGTCATCATCATCGTTGTCATGGTCGTTGTCATGGTCGTTGTCATGGTCGTTGTCATGGTCGTTGTCATGGTCGTTGTCATGGTCGTTCTCATCATCATCGTTGTTGTCATGAAGGTCATCGACATAAGTTGCGTTCTTGTCGAATTTGGGGTGATGCTCCATGACTTCGACAGAGGCCCAGAGAGTGGGTCCCACATCGGAGCTCATGGCGACGAGAAGGCTGTCCACTTTGGCGGGATCAATGCAACGGCCGAGAGTGAGGACGGTGCGACGGTCGAGCAGCACACCGTTGCAGACAAGGGAAACTTTCGTAGTGTTGGGGTTGATTCTGAAGATCGCAGCCGTGTGATCACCAATCGAGCGGTTGCTGTGGATGAGTTTGGGAAGTGTGACATTGTCATAGTGGACATGGGACTGAGCATGGGCGATGGCGATGAGGAGGCCAAAGATGTATGTGAGGGCGAGCATGGTGTACATGATGATGATGCAGGCAGTGACGAGGGAAGTGTGCAATGCTTTGTAAAGTGTATTCAACTGAAATGGGTTGATGTTTGATGTTTGTTGATGTTGGAGGGATGGAAGAGGATAAGTGAGAGGTAAGTTGGCAACTCGAGAGAGCTGGTGGCTCTTTCAGAAAGTGCTGCTTAGCCCCCTTCTCTGGCAGCACTTTCCCTACTTGCGTGAAAGTGGTTGTTTACTCTGACAACTTCCACATGCTTCGCATCATCCAAGCTTGGCAGAGTGAGCACGTCCATGGAGAGTGCATCAACACAGAGTAGTAGTACCTGCCAGAACCAGATATCGCGCTGTGAGTGGAAGAGGAAGAATGGTAGAAATAGACGTTTAGTGGAAGCATTCAAGAGACGAGGTACTTGGCAGCCATGTGGGCGTCTCTGCCACCTACTTGAAGATTTGGCGAGCACTAAGGTGATATAATTCAAGTTCATCGGGAAGCAAGTGCGCCTGAGACGGCCACTATTGATGGTATGTTAGAAGATAAAGAAAAGAATAATATGAAAAGTGAAGGGAGTAGGCAGAGCTACTAGATCTGTCCTTCGTAGTTCCACATGTCATGAAACAAGACGTCTTTATTCCCTACGTTGCGAGTACTGAGGCGACGCAAGTTCTTTGTCGACAGGCGAATCACACGGGAAATGGCGCCTCTTCATGATTGCTACAACAGCTCAGACACATGTCTGGCAATTGGTAGTAATGTCTCTGTCTGCTAAGAAGGAACGTTCAGATAGAATGCGATGGTAGAGAAAAGAGTGTTGGAAGAATCGCAAGAAACGACCAACCCTTTCACTTGGCCCATGTCATCCGCACCCCTCTTCACGCGCGAAACAAGACTCCACTCAACGCGTCTTCCCACTTTCCGAGTGTATACCAGAAATGCCACGCACGTTACCATGGCTTGCAAATCCAGCTCCAGCCGATCGCAAACCAAAAGCCGCCGCGACGGTAAAGCGACGAAAGGTTGAGCCCTCACCGCCGTCCTCACCACCCGATGTGCTTGACGAGTTCATACGCACGCCGAAGACAGTCGCCAACCACGAGACCAATGCACAAGTCCCGCGTTCGCCTTCGACCTCCCCGCCGCCCGCGCCCCCTAAGCAGGAGTTCATGCGACCGGGATGGGATAATGACGACGCCTGGAGGATGGTCACGGATGAGTTCATGTCCACGGCTCAACTCTTCACTGCACATCTTGCGCATGCGGAATACCGGCGGCAGAAGACAATGGCGAGAAAGAGAGAAGCGGCTTTAGGTGGAGCAGACGCAATCGCCAGACCCGTCGTTGGCCAATTGAGCAAAGACGGACAGAGGAAGAAGCAAGGAGAGTTGCACAGAGCAGGTGTCAAGGCTGCCTTGAAGGGTGAGCTTTCCGAGGAAGAAGAAGACGACCCTTGGGCCGGTACGCAAATTGCAAGCCTCATGATGAGTCTCAGAAAAAGAGACACACTACAACCCAAAGCTGCTGTGGGTCGAAGCAGTACAAGAGCTGCTGCAGGCTTCAATCCAGCAAGACCGCTTGACCTGAGAGGAAGACCCATCACTCGAGAGAAGACTCCAGACATAAAGAAGGAAATCAAGATGGAGGCCGATCAAGACTCGACTGACGACGACCTCGATGCTCCTGCTCTGCCTAGATCTCTGTCTCGTCCACCACGACAATCGCGACCTTCGTCGCCTACTCCTTCCTGCCCAAAGACCGATATATTCAAACCATTCGCAACCCCCAGTGCAGCCAAAAAGTCCTTGCACCGTCCCTCGTCTTCTACGACTCGCTCATCGGACCTGTCCTCTGGCAGATCACGGACAAAGTGTGCCAGCATCGATCGCGAAATCTCTCGTCCTGCTCCTAAGCGTACGAAGCGTGAGCCATCACCACCAGCAATCAAGCTGGAGCCAGACTTTGGCTTTCCTTCAATCCCACAGCCCAGCCAGACAGGTTCAACCGCTCTGGCACGACGCAGAGAGGCACGTCTCAAACGTGAGAAAGAAGAGGAGAGAAAAATAAAGACCGAGAGCCAGGCATACGATGTGGACGAACTTCCTACTTTCCTCTTCTAATTCTCTCTTTCACATCAAGCAAAATTCTTGGACACGGCGTTTTGATTTTTCTGACATTCACAAATGATACCCCTGGGAGAACAGCAAAAGGCGAATGGATAGATTTAATCATACTCAAGCATGTTTACCACTTCTCCAACATTGGTCTGATGTCAATCTCATTCGTAAATGCCCTCTTGCTCTGGGTGTGCAGATTCCAATATGCCTCGGCAATAGCATCAGCCTCGATCTTGGCCTCTGGAGGCATGTCCTTCAGCCATTCCTTCGTTCTGGGAATATCAATCACACCGTCAATGATGGCGTGTGCAACATGGACTCCTTGAGGTGCAAATTCTCTTGCGATGGATTGTGACAGCGCTCTCATGGCGTATTTGCCGGTTGAGAAGGAAGACATCAAGGCATTTGATTTGACACTTGCCGTGGCGCCCGTGAAGATCAGAGTTCCAGGGTGCTTTGCGGAGGAGTCTTTGCTATGCGCGAGAAGGAGAGGTAGTGTTTGTTGGGAGAAGAGGAAAGCTCCCTTGCTACTCAACTGTTAGCACTAACGATCGCATCATAACATCGAAGAACGCTCTCACCAAGAAACCTCATAACTGCCCACGAACTCTCGCTCGGTCAACTCGAGCACACTCTTTCTGAAGAATGGGCCACTGGCATTGAACACCGCAGCCGCACATTTATCTCCAAACTTTTCTTTCGCTTCCTCTACCGCTTTCTTCACCGAACCAGCGTCTGAGACATCGGTCGAAATGCCGATCGCCTTTCCACCGGATTTATTGATCTCGTCCACGAGGGAGGTGTAGTTGTCTGGGTTGCGAGCGAGTAGAGCAACTGGATACGAGAGGGCGAACCTACGAGCCACCGAGGCACCAGTACCAGGGCCTACGCCTGCTATTATTGCGAAGGCTGGTGACATTGTTGTGTGGTTCGTATGGAAGGTTGAGCGGAAGAGTGCTTGATGACGAAGGGATCAAGAAGACGGGCGTCAAGAGCTAGAAAGATGGATGATTGAAGGTCAGTGATATATGTTCCGCTGTTGACTCAACATCAAGGTTGATTTGAAAGCAATTGTCAAGCTCTGGAGGTGTATTCAGTGACGTGATCAAGAGGGGTCAGCACCGGGGATTGGGAGTTGCGGGTTCGTAAACGCCGAAGTTGTCTCCCCTCACCCCTCACTTGTGTGACTCTCTCCATCTCTCCACTGCTGCAACAACTCATGATGTATTTCACAGAGAAGATACACAATATGAGGAACTGACACAGCAGCTATTGACGCTCTCCAGGCCACTATCAGCGATTTTCATCCAAGATTATCTGAACATCAACTCGACTATCCCATCACCGCGTCATGCCAGCACAACCACAATAACAGAAGCCACGATGCATTCTTGCGCACCTTCTTCCACCGGACAGAGAGTCTCTGAACGGACCTGTGATTCGGCTTGACAGTGATCTCGATATCAACCTCTACAATCTCGACAACCACATTCACTCCACCAACAGTCGTTCACCAAACACAAGACGCCTGGCAGTGACGGTATGCCACGACTCATTACAACGGAAACATGTCGTGGTCGTGAAAACATAGTGCCTATTGTTGGCTCAATCTCCATCAATAGGTTGCGTGGCCCAATGGCAAGGCGCTTGACTACGAATCAAGAGATTCCAGGTTCGACCCCTGGCGTGATCATGTTTTTGTGCTCAATGCAAGATTTTAAAACTAACATCTTTCGGTCCTAATGGACGGCAACATCTTGCTGTGTGATCGGAATTTTTTTTCTCGAAGGCATTCGATCGTAGAAATTTTCCAACTCATGCCGTGCCACGAACTGCATCTAACTCCAAACCTCGATCGTCTGCACGGTCTCCATTCTCTAACTGCCTCAGATTCTCGCGCCTACCAATATACAAACCAATCACCTGCCGGACCTTTCCTTGTCGAAGACCTCAATTGCGTTAGGAATGAGGCAGAAACCCAAACTGCAAAATTAGCAGTAGTCAGTAAGAGGTCATTTGAGTGAATCACTGCAGAAAACGTCACCAGCAGAATATCGACTGATGACTGTCAATCATATAAGAGAGCCTGCTTTCTGCTTCCTCCTGCCTTCTTTCATACTCTTCTTCACAAGGATTACCAGAATCAAGCGAGATTCATCTACACATCCTCCATCATGAAACCCTCTCTTATCACTGCCTTTCTGGCCTTCGCGATCAGTACCCTCGCTATCGCTATACCATCACCAACATCTGCTATCAGCACTGCCTCACCATCTTCTATCCTTCGCTCTGCACACTCGAAACAAACCGACGACAACGATAAACCCGGTAAATCCGCCCACGAATGTGACGAGATCCTCGACGAGTGCAAGAAAGGCGCCAGGACCGAACGTTTCTGCCAAGAGTACACATGCTACAAGACCAAAGGAGCCTGTTACAGTGGACATTGCGATACTTATCCTTTGGCTAGAGGTTTGAGGCATAATGAGCAGGGTATCAACGACCTCACTATCGCTGCACCCACTCCGACTACTTTCGCGACTGAGACTTCTTCAGCTTCCAAGGCTGGGGATTCAGATGTTGATGAGGGTTACGCACCAAGACCAGAGGACCTGGATGACGATTGCATGAGAACGAACGATTTTTTGAAACAGTTCAAGTGGAACGATGAGGATTCGTTGAAGCAGTCCGAGTGGAACGATGACACACCAAGACCAGAGGACCTGGACGACGATTGCAGGAGAACGAACGATTTGCTAAAACAATTCAAGTGGATCGACTTGGAGAAGAAGGACAGGAATTAGAAGGAGACAAGCACGGCTATGAATTTGGGTTGACCATGGATAGGGGGACGGTAGTTCCTATCTAGTTCCAAAAAAAAATCGATGCAGAGAAAACATATGTAGCACAGTTTCAACACACTCTACACTCAAATAGAAACAAAAATAAAGAATTGACTTTTATTTTATCGTCTCTTCTTAACATACTATCAACCCAGTTTTGGACCCGGAACATCAGAAACGAAATGCTGCATCATTGTTTGATTATTCTTCCGTTGCAGTCGTGCTTGCATATCTCGTTCCTGCCGTCTTGCTTTTTGAAGTTGTTTGTGTTGGGAAGATAGGATGGCACGTTGTTCGGAAGCAGGGAGATGTGCCAGGGCAAGACGATCGCTCGTGCGGAGGGTGCTGAGATGTTTGTTGAGGGTTAAAGCGCGCAGGTCTTGTTTTGTAAGTGCTTGCTTTTGAGATGCTTGGGTGGGCACAGGTGAGGTAGTGGTGGGTTGGTCGTCGGATAGCGGAGTGGAGGATAGCGAGGCTTGTGACAGCGAGAGGGAAGTCATGTCTGAAGTTGACAGCCTCTGGTGCCGTTGTGTAGTTCGAGTCGAGCGATGCAGTACTGTCCTCCCAGACGGCAGAAGAATATTGTCACCATCCACTTCTACTTTCGTCTGCTCCCCACTGAAATCCCAAAATTCTCGATATTCGGACTCCACGTCTGAGATGTCGAATGCACAATGTCCCTTTCCAAGCATGTGTTGTTGGATTGCTTGAGTGTTGCGTCGCTGGGTTCCGCAAGAAAGACATTCGTGATAGACTGAAATCACAAGGTTGAGGTATGTGAGCAAAGTCGTTGGGTCGACAGTCAATTGATGTGGCGATGGTATAGTCATGCCATGCGATCTTGACATGTGAATGAGGTTTGTGTCGATGCTCTCGGACATGCTATTGCAGAAGAGACAATGAGTTGTATCGAAGTCTGTAACAGATGAAGAATTTGAGCCATCATCACTATCGCTGGAGTGATCCGGCTCGTCACTAATTGTTGGTTGGATTGAAGATTGAGCTGAAGGCTGAGATGCTGGGTTATGGAACGAAGTCTGACTGGTGGCATCAACAGATCCAGACATGCTTGTTGCAACCATTTTTGAAAAGAGAGTTGAAGATTGAAAAGTGAAGAAAACCAAGAGCGCTGGATACTCAATGCACTCACCTTTCGAAGCAGAGTGTTCACATTATATACAATTTGCATGATCTGTTACGCCCAAAAATATTGCCATAGGTCACCTCTGAACAGGTAGTGCTGCAGCCAATAGCACGTCGAGCGCATTCTCATTGACTCACGCCTCAGGATACTCAAGGCAGATCAGTGGAACCTCGGCCAATGCTTGAGGGTGTTGTAAGCCTCAAAGAACATTCATCTCATGTTCGTATGGCGCCCTCCTCAAAGCAGTGTTATGATAGGTTGTTCGGAGGATGGGTGTGGTGAGTCACAAAGTCGACGACACATTCGGGAGAATCGAGCTCCGAAGCGCCAAGGACAACTCCACGCTCATGCTCCGTGCATGGTGATTGCACAATCCGATCATAAATTCGGATGTCCGCGCCGTTCCCATATGGTTAGCTTCCTTGGCGGGTGGATCTCAAAATCTAGACGTTGGCCAAATCGCCGATCCTCGCGGTCGTCGGCAGGTTGGACAAGATCTCGACGGGGAGAAAACAGCAAGTCGCGAAAGCCCCTTCGCGCACAGAAGCGCTTTCAGTCACTCCTTTGTACAAGCATGATATGGATATGAATAAAGCCCCGCTCGGTCCTGCGTCTCCAGACGGCGTTGACTGGACCCAGGACATACCGGACAGCGATCACGTCCGCTTTTTCAGGTCAACCCCGTTTCATTACTCGCAATTGGGTCCTTTCGAGTCTTGGAGCACCACACTCCGCCTGTACACTTATCAACTCTTCGCGGATAACCGCCCTGGATGTATCTATTGGTGCGTTTATCTTAACAACTGAAGACGTCCGTATCTCTAACAAACCTCAAAGGGGCCCGGAAAAAGTCGCCATCTATAATGAGGCTTTCGTTGAACCTGCTGGGGGTTCGCACCCATTTCTGATGGGCCACACGTTTGCAGAGGTATACCCAGAGATTTGCAACGACATAATGCCCGTCTTTGAGATGGCGATACAAACTAAAAAGGCTGTCCCCGTTGTGGAGATTCCTCTCATGGTCAATAGAAACAACTTCCTGGAGGAGACTTTTTTCACAGGCAACTTCAATCCGCTTCGTGGCGATGATGGACGGGTCGAAGGCTTCTACAACTCGTTGACCGAAGTCACTAGACAAAAGATCACGGATCGCAGACGGAAGATGCTTAACCTCATTGCGGCCCTCCCAGATGGTTGTACTTCTGATACTTTGGGATCTCACTTCATGAATTGCTTCCAGACAAACTCATCAGATATGCCGTTCGTTGTCATGTGGTCGGCAGATGGAGACACGTCACTCTCAACGAAGCCAGCCACTCGATTGAAATTTATGGGAAGCATCGGTTTACCAGAAGGCCACAAGCTTCGAGCAGAACGTGCCTCATTGGACGGCGAGGAGGAGACATATTCACTCTTGAGGAACGCCGCAATTGACCCTGTCACATGCCCACGTGGACCAGACTTTGACGATATTCAATGGCAAGGCTTTGAGGAGCCCTCACAACATATCTGCACTGTGCCGATATCGAACGCTGGTCGCCTATACGGGTATTTGATGGTTGGTGCAAACCCGCGGCGACCGATTGATGATGACCATGAACAATTTATGCGCGATCTTGCAACGCAAACTTCCTCAACCATGGCATTCTTAGTCTCCATGGAGGAATCGAGAAAGCGACAGAATAGCTTGGAGAATCAATTAGCTGCTAGTGAGCGTCATATCAGGTATATGGCCGATCACCTGGACGTTGGACTTGAGCATCTAAATTTAGACGGCAAAGTCATCTGGGCCAACGAACACTACTTCAGTCTGATTGGCCAGGAACCTACGACCGACTTTCAAACGCTACGCCTACCATTCAAGAGTCATGTCTTGGAAGAAGACCAGCCGAAGATCTTGGCCGCCTGGGAAGCAGTTGTGAAAGGTACGTCGACGAACACCACCGAGTTTCGTATGAAAAAATTATGGACCCCGCCATCTGGCCCTCCCATCAACGCAACCGTGCTCCTCTCAGCAATACCATATGTGGAGGATGGCGAAATCAAGTCTGTCGTGGCTTGCATGACAGAAGTCAGCCGACTCAAATGGGCCGAAGCATGGCAAGCTCGGGCAGCTTACGAAGCACAAGAAGCGAAACGGCAACAGAGCGAATTTACAGATGCGATCTCACACGAAGTACGAAATCCGCTATCGGCGATGCTGCAGCTGGCCAATGGCATATCTGGGTGCTTGGAAGACATTACGGAAGAAGATGCAAGTCCAGAAGAATGTCTACAAATTATCCAGGACAACATCGAAGCAGCAAAGACGATCATCTTCTGCGCCAACCACCAGAAAAAGATTGTAGATGATGTGCTGATCCTGTCGAAGATGGACTTCATGCTCTTGACGCTATCGCCGAGTCCTTCAAGACCACTTGATCTAGCTCAGAATGCTGTTAAAATGCTTCATGCCACCATATCTGAGGCGAAGATCGACTTGAAAGTCGAGGAAGACGAGTCAATTACGAAACTGGGGCTCTCATGGGTACTCTGTGATCCACTACGAGTCGCACAAATTCTGATCAACCTCCTCTCTAACGCCATCAAATTCACACGACAGGAGAGCCGCCGCTGTGTCACTGTGTGTTATGGCGCTTCTATAGAGGAGCCAAGCAATTCATTTGGAGAAGGGTTCGCTTGGGCTTCCTCAAAACACGAGCAAGAAGATGTCACCAACGGTCAAGAGTGGGGTGACGGGGAGCAAGTCTATCTCACTTTCTGTGTGAAGGACACCGGCCCTGGAATGACAGAAGAAGAACGTAGCCGCTTGTTCAGCCGGTTCCAACAAGCGAGTCCGAAAACGTCAATCAAGTATGGTGGTACAGGCCTCGGTCTCTTCATCTCCCACACTTTGACTGAGAAACAAAACGGAAAGATGGGAGTGATATCAAAACCCGGGCAAGGAAGTACCTTTGCCTTCTTCGTCAAAGGTCGTCGGGTGCCAGTCCCACCTACACCCTCTTCAGAGTCTACGCAAGAGTTCGTGTTTAGGCAATTGAAGGCAGCTCAAGAAAACGTGACTCCGGATGCGACTGTCTCAGAAAAACCCAAAAAGGTGCAGAGACCAAATATCTTGTCAGGTCCGAAGATCCCCCAGTACTTGGATCCGTCAGATGTGGTGTATCACATTTTGCTGGTAGAAGTAAGTTTTGGGAAATCTTGCTTTGTCTTCACTAATCTAATCGTCACAGGATAATATCATAAACCAACGCATCATGAGAGCACAACTCGTCAAAGCCAAGTGCAATGTCTATGTCGCCAATCACGGCTTGGAAGCTCTAGACAACCTACGTCGCTCTGACATCTGGGAAGAGACAAACGGCACCGGTCACAAACTCGATGTCATATTGATGGACGTAGAGATGCCCATCATGGATGGCCTCTCAGCCTGCAGGGAAATCAGATCACTGGAAAAAGCCGGCAAGTTGACAAGACATATCGAGGTTATTGCTATCACTGCCAATGTGCGACAGGCTCAGGTCGACCGGGCATTGGATGCTGGTATTGACGAGGTGATGTCGAAACCATTCGTGGTACCAGAGTTGCTCAAGATGATCAAGTCTCGTCTTGGAAGATGAAGGAAAGCCTCAAGGCCAGAACTTGGCGACTGAATGTTGTCGGCACGCGCTCGCAGTCTACATACGAACTCGACTTGCAACGGCGAAAACTTGCGCCCTTGATACCGAAAACTGCCTACGATTGGTCAGAGAAGGCAGATGAATAGGCGCGCGCCAAGCCTAGCTGCATTCCTGCTTCGATTGGAGCGTATGCAACACTTCCGACTTGGCAATCTCAGCTTTTATTCGATCCATGTGTCCGCCCCAGCCTCGCATCCCCCTCTCCCAATACCAACTTTTCAGCTTGTTTGTACGACATAACATGGATGAGCCACAAACTCGCCTTTCCCGGCTGCTGTTTGCTGATGGGAATCCTGTCACTTCTCCGATGATTGGATCAGGGATCGACGGCTTCATCATTCGTACCGGACCAAGAACTGTCATGAAGATACCCAAGCTTCGCGCGGAGATTCTTTCCGACGGGTCGTTGAAGCCGGAAAAGGAGAATGAATGGCTTATCGGTAGCCTGGAAGCAGAAAAAGCCGTATATCAACGGCTCGAGGGCGTGCAAGGTCTTGCTAACTGCTTGCGCGTCTCTTCAAACGGCATTGAGCTCGACTACTATCAAAACGGAAGTTTGGAAGACTACATGAGAGTGAACGATCCGCCAGTATGGGAACAAAGATTGCATTGGATAATGCAGCTTGTTGATTTTGTTGCGGCATGCCACGAAAAGAGGGTACTCTGGTTCGATATAGCGTTACGCAACCTTCTACTTGCCGATGACTGGACGATCAGAGCTATCGACTTTGCAAACAGCACGGCTTTACCTTTGGACCGATCTCGCCACTACGGACTGGGACGGATACACGCAGAAGCTGGAGGTACTCCATGTCACGAACGTCATATACTCAATCTCACAGTGGGAAAAGTTTCAAGTCAATTGTGTGTACGCTCATGAATGGCCGCTAGCGGATTCATTTCCTTCTACCCAACATCTCGACCTTGGACCTATCATCACCAAAGCATGGAACCACCACTATCAAACTATAGCCGAACTTCGCCGCGCCATATCATCTCAATAAGTACAGTCGATCCCCGACCACTAAACTGATCAGTCCTCATTTGCTGCGCTCTTGCCTTTGAGATCGTCAGCAATTTCGAGTCTTGTCGCAGCCACAGGAGAGATTTTGCACACAGCTACGCAGTTCGGACATTCAAACAGTCTGTTTGTACTCGAAGCTTCGGTCGTGACTTTGATTGTAGCACAATCACAGCCTCGCAAGGCACACTCTTCACACGTCAAGAGTTTTCCCCTGCGCTGGAAGCATGACGGTGTGTTGTCACTTTTGTGCATCTGACGAGCGCAGAATCGTCGTGCCAGCACATACTGAGTTTTTGTCTTCGATTGAACTTTGAAACATAGGTGAAGGGTTGACGAAATGTCGAAAGGGAAGAAGATGCTCTGGTGAGACGATATTCACTCCATCTAAGCAACAGAATGCTGTATATCTAAATCTCGAGAACCTTCATTTCAGCTCATCATAATGCCGAGCATTGCCTGCTACCGCTGTGACGATGAAGCAGTATAGACATTTGCATATTTGAATCAGGAAGCGATCGGAAAAGGACGACTCTCATGTATGTGTTGTGTTTGTAGGATGCAAGTATGTAAGGAAGAGGAATCGCGATTCCACTGTGATTTGATTGTAGCTACATCTCAGCTATCTGTAGCAGTAGCCTGAAGGCCTGATCAGGCTTGAACGTTCAGCATTGGAGCGTTCAACCAAATCGTTCAAGAAAGTGCCGTCCGGCAAACTCAGATCTTCCTCACGCATGACCTGTCTTCCTGTTCTTGGCGGTGGCACAATAGGTTCATCATCATACTCCATGATGTGATACCTGATGGGTATGGTGATGCCAATCCATTTATCTCTCAACCATGTGATCTGTTTGTGGATACTCTCTGCGTGTTGAGTGTCGTCGACGCCGACCATAAACACAGGATTGCCTTGCGAAAAGTCCAAAGTCAACCAGGCTTGATGGGTAGAGAATCTGGCTTCTGGCTCTCTTAGCTTCATCTCTTGGAAGCGGAGGTAGGTGTTGCTGGCGCGTGGATCGCGTGGAGGTGTGTAGTAGTGTGGCGGCTCGTTCTCCTTGTTCTCGGTGGCGAAGTCTCTGCTTAGGCAAGGGTCTGATGGATCCTGAGCGTGAGGTAGATGTTGGAGGTATTTGGAGATGCGATCGAGGGTGGTGGCAGCAGTGGCTTTGTCTTGCGATGCGATGGCATTCGAAGCTCCACTGATAAAGGTGCTCGACGAGTCGCTCTCTTCGTCACAGAGTCGCGACTTGGATGCGTTTGACCTCGGTGGACGTATCGGTTTGCTGTGATGGGCATCGGGGTTGCTGTGGAAGCTATCCTCACGCGAGGCTGGAGACGAAGTTTGGTTTCTGAAGTCCATTTTTTGAATGTTGCGGAATATAGTAAGTCTAGAATACAAGTGTCAAAAGATGTCATGATATTAGCAACATGGACATTCACATGACTAGTCACAACGTGCAGGTGCTGCTTTTGAGTTTGGGTATGGTATTCATGCAGGAACTGCGGCATGAGCGTGATTGAGGTTATTGTTAGTGACTCAACGACGCCTGAAGTATACGTAGCTGTAAGTTCATGAGGTTGAAAATTCGTTCGCCGAGAGCGACTTCATCATGGACTCTCGCTGGAATTGCGTCTGACTTCCAAAAGTTTTGTGCGTTGTATCAGGAATACACCAAATAGTCGATATAGCTGGTAGTTTATGCTTCTGGATCCTCACTAATCGTCCATCAATTCTCCTGTGCGAAGAATCTTGTATGACAAGACATTGTCTGGCTTGTTGAACCAAGAATGCTTATGCGCCGCAAAGCTTTCCATCTCAGGTGTCGGAATGACTGGCATCATGCCCATCTTGATAATAGCCTTGCCTGGCAACATGTCGACCTTTGACATGACCGGACTGCAGAGTCAGCAATCTGTGGCCAGCTCTCATGAGCCTGCAAAAACTCACTTTCCATCTACAGAGCAGAAGTATCGATATACGGGGTTGCCGCTGTTGGTAGCTTTGTCCTCGTAGGATTTTAGAGTTCCGTCCCGGTCCTTGATGTCCACTTTCTCTTCATCCATGATAAGATTTGCAGAGACGACAGAGCCAGAGACTTTTCGACAGTTCGCGCAGTGGCAGAGGTGACCGCGCGGTTTCGTGAAGAGTTCGGTGTCGTTGATTGTGACCGTGATGCTGCCGCAGAGACAACTGCCGGTCAAAGAGTCCTTGAAGGTGGAGAGATCATGTCTCTTTGGGTCGCCAGTCAACTCAGGCATGATGGTGTATGGAGCTGTGTGGAATCTGGCCGGAGACAAATATGCAGCTGCGAGAGTGCTTCGGATATCATGTTGATACTTCAATGATTACATACCGCTTTTCGAGACCCCGCCGCCATTGCCGTAAACCCCGCAGATGATATTAGTAAGGTTCGCGAAGACGGATGGAGCGATCTTGGATCTTCTATGGATGACAAATTGCGGCACTCCCCATGGAACAGAAAGCAGATATGCTCCACAGAGATCGTGTCGCAATATGGAAGGATAGTGAGTGTTGATTGACAAGACGCAAGAGTGCAGTTTCGCGAAATTGACGCGCCGTTAAAGGCGGCGAGATTCTGGAAGGTCGACTAGAGCTACAAAACGGCGAACTCCCCAAAATTCTCGAATCCTGGAATCTGAAATCCTAGGTCCTCCGGGCGCAAATTGGCGGCTTCGTACGTCAAAACTGTAAAACAATTATTTACACTCTACAAGTCGCTATATTAATTTTCTGAGTCGATAGCTTCATTTTTCAAGTACTTGTCTACCTAGTAAAAATATCTAATACATAAATATAGATAGTTCAAAAATTGTAGTACATAGAGAAATCGAGAACGCGCCCGGCGTTGTTAAGGAAGCAGCGTTTAGAAGCACGTTTAGAACACGTTAGGAATTTGTTTAGAACAATCTTTGACATAATCTAGAGTAGGTAATGTAAGCTCGCGTAGGTGGCTCTAAGCTACCCCTAGCTTTAAGCTAGCTTAATGCGACGATTGCGAAACACTATATATAGCAATTATTGAAGATAATCATCTATCTGCTAGCTGTTTTAATAGCTTTTAAAGTCCTTTACGCGTACGGCCCTCGTAGCTAATTTAGCAGCGTTTTCTAGCTTCTTATAGTTAATACAAGCCTGTTTTATAGCCTTAAGACGCTCCTCCTCGGCCTAAGCCTCTTACGTAGCTATAATCTCTTCTATACTAGCAAATGTCGTATTTAGGTTCTTCTTAACCCTCTTCCTCTTAGAACTAGATATGTTCTCTATTTAAGCTTCAAATTAGCGTTATGCGGCCGTGTATTAAGCCTTCTAAATGTTACCGTTATTAATAGCTTTTCTAGCTTTTTAGAAGCCCTAGAAAATCATACGTTTATCGCCACTTAATAAGGGTAGATCTCTAATTTTTGGAGCCATAATCCTATATAAGGCTTAATGGCTTACTAGCGTATAAATGGCTAGTAATTTAAGTTAATTTAGTAGTGTAGTTACGCGTATTAGGTGATTTTTGACTTAGCTTAAGTTAATGCTCTTATATGGATTCTATAGGAATAACCTAGCAGTTTCCTAGCCTTTTCGAAGGATATTGTTACGGGTGAACTACGTATATATAGAGGTTTAGGGTAGGTTAAGATTTAATGGGTTCGATAAAAGTAGGAAGGAGTCTATAAATGTACGGAATCCGATAAAGAATATACGGACGCTAAGAACGTACGGGCGTATGCCCGCGTCCTATCCTAAGGCTCGCCCTTTATATTACCCCCTCCCCTCCCCTTCTAGTCGCCCTCCCTCTAGAACTAGCTAGT